TAACCACAGTCCCACTGCCACAGTGGGAAGCACAGGGGACCAATGCCCTCATTAATGGCAGGGCTCAGGTGACACAAAGATCTGTTTGTCAGGCTAAGCTGGTTCCCAGCTGTAAGGAGCTTTGTTTCTGCAGATGAGAGGTACTGAGCCAGGTCAGGGTTGGCCCAGCTGCCAAGAAAATAAGCCCTGCAAGAATCCAAAGCGACTACAGACCAAGCACTAAGCCTGAAACATTGAGTTCTGCCAGGTCTGAGCCAAGTGAGACATATGTGCTCAAGAGACTCATTTGACAAGGGCAATACAGGCACACTTCAGTTCTGGCCAGGGCCAGCTCAGCCCAGAAGACCAATTACCTCAGAACCAGTTCCAGGCAAGTATTGCTGTACATTGCTGATCAAGTCTGGCTCTGTGATTCCTTACTCTGCCTGATCTAAACAATGAAAGGGTCTGGAGGCTCTAATTTGGTTTCCCAGGAACCATTTACAGTACAGAACTATAAAGTAGTTCTGTTATGACATGGTTTCCCCCCTATTCTCCAGCATATCCTAGTCACTATCACTCCCGGCAGTCAGATGGAAGCTCAGCATGCTCTCTGAAACTGAGTCAGGCCATCCATTGGTGAGGGAAAGTTGACTGTGTATTAATGGCAAGCACCATCACCCCTTCCTTCAGTCCTGTTCTAGAATAAGAGTGAGTCATGGCTCTTTTGCAGAACTAGTTAAACACACCAGCTCCAAAAGAAGATTCTGGAGCATACAGCCTCAGGACTGCCTTGCTGGAGTCACAGAGAGATTTCAGATACATCTCCTTTCCTCAGAATTTTCAATTGCTAAGAACCAAACAGCCTCTACAGTGGTTATCCAGGTTGAAGGTGTGTCTGTCTTTAGTGCATTTTATATGAAACAGAATTCAATGCTTGGACTTCAGTTTGAGATAAGAACCTTAAAGTCATTGTGTCAGTGTTGAGGCTCCTTAGTGAGGCTCAGCATTTAATTTCTGGTTTTGCTCATTTTCTGCAGAAGGAGAATGATACTCGGCTCCCTGCGAGGAAGGGGAGTATTTAAATTGACAAAGCACCCAAGTACTTTAGCAAAGAAAGTGGAAAGCTGAGAAGTCATACAAAGTTATTGATTAATGATTATTTTGTTTTTTCATCTACATATGCTTTCCTAGTTCACATAAACATTTAAGACCTCATCTGAAAACAGGAAAAAGAAAACCTTTAACATGCATTTTGCAATCAAGAAACAAGGAGGAACCCAGACATGATGAATAGGCCATTGTCCCAGGCAGTCTGCTGGCACTGCAGCCTGGGAGACTGGCTGGCAATTGTATGGCACAGCTCAAAAGCAACAGGCCATCCTCAGCCACCCCATGGGGAAGTGCTGCTTCTTGAGAAACAAAAAATCACTCTGTTCAGTTTTGCCTCGACAAGTACATTACTTTCTACATTGCTTTATGTCAGCAAAAAGGTGAATGAACATGCTTGAAGCAATGAAGTCTTAAAAATCTCAAAGCAATAATTAGGAAACTTCTGTTTCTCCAGATTATCACTGATGGAATTAATTTTTGCCTATGTGTTAGCATCATAATTTAATGTCTTGGTTCATACCTCACTTTTGAATGATTCTTCTCTTTATTGCCATGGATAATTTGTGCCAGTGTCTGGCTCTAGAATTACTATATAATGTCACATACAGTAAATCAGTGTGTGATATTCCCAGGAAAAGCACATGGTTTGTGTTACACCTGCATCCACAACTCCTGCCAAGATATTATGGCTATTTGTACCAATATGGAAACCTAGATAAAATACAGTTATTGTTTCTATCTACCTTGATTTTATAATTCTTGCTTCTGACAAAACTAAGCAAAAATTATTAGAAGACCCCCAAATATTTGGGTTCATTACAGAAAGTGGTAGCAAAATTACAGATTTCACCTGCTCTTATGCAAACATAGGATGGTGTGCAGGAGTTCACTGAAATAATCTGAAATTTGCAACTCTGTAAATTAGTCTGGACTCTGCTGAAAACAGATGCCTCAAGTCTATTTCTCTTGTGCATGGAAGAGTACAGGGTTTTCCACCTGCTGCAAAGCAAAGTCACTGCAGAACCTCGTCAAGCCACAGGGATGACGCTCTGCACACTTTCCACTGATGGAAATGCCTGGAACAGTACAAGAAGACAAAAGTAGGACCTAGAGAGTTGTCATCTTTATTTCATTCCCCTTATACTCCAGACTTCTTGTGAATTGCATGGATTTGGCTTTGCTCCTTATGGCTATCAAATCCTGAGGCTTCTAGATACCAACACGATTTCCAGGACATATTCTTGTGTTGAAGAAATACTGAAGAAAACTAAAGCAGCAGAGTGCTGTGTTGGTTTCTGTCTTGCAGATCAGTCACAAGCAGCTGTTGTGCACAGAGCAGGGTCTGGCTTAAAGCGTCACATCACATGAATACAAGGAATCATCACTGCAAAATAAAGTACAAGAAGGACCTGAATGAAGAACCTCTGGCATGGTAATTCCAATTTTCTGAACTGCTTTTCCCATCTGCAATTAATTCCTCCTCCTCAAAAAACTATGCCTTGAGTATTAGTGCCACATACTGGAAATCAGGATAACATACTCACTTGAAAATATTTCATAACACAAAATGAAGGTGCACTGGCTTTATGATGTATAGTTAATGAAACAGCAGGATTTATCTTTCTAAAGCTAGCTATCTATATGTTGTAGTTGTATTGTCCTATAAATTATAAAATAATTTCTTAATTGCATGATAAAATTATGTTTGCTCCTTAAAGAAACAAGAGATTCAAACTGTGTGTCAAATTAAGTTACTTGCCCTTGAGAGTTAGTAAATCAAATAATCTGTCATAATTGCTCTTAAAAACCCCAACTCAAGTGGTTGTCCCTTGGAACTGCTGGATTTTACTATTTTTCCTATGTTTTGACACCCTCACCCTTAAAGAGGGATTGCTGTTCACCAGACCAATGTTCACTGCAGCATCTTAGGAGCTGCAGTACAAACACACACATCTAGGCTGCTTTTTCTCTTCACCAGCATAAAGTTTGTTGAGATTTGTAGTGATTTGTTAAATTCTCAACAGCATTACCAAGCTAATTTATTCAGCTTCTGGAACAAAACTACTGGGTACACCCAATGTGAGTTTTATCTCCCTGATAAAATTCAGTGTAATTAGGGAGGTATAACTGAAACTTAAGTCACAGGTTAGGAAAAAACCTTAAAGTTTTGTAGGAAGTTCTGAACTCCCTATCCAAGTACGACAAAGCGAGCTCACACCATTAATTTTTGTTTTATGGTGAAAATACAAGAAACACTTATTTTTATCACTTATAGTCCAATAATTAGGTGCTATTAAGATTGCTCATTGCTCATTTGGATATGCTATCCAAAACTTTATAGTCAAATGTAAATGTAATAAGTAAAATATTCTATCAACCAGGCAAAATCTAATCACTTGAAGATCCTTGCTACTTTATTACAAAAATAAGCTTCATATCTTAGGTAAACTTTAAAAGAACACACAGCTTCCAAAAAAACCCACCTCACATAAAAATTCAAAAAGGTGCACACCAGGAACACTTGCTCTTTAAGCCAATTCCTTTGTTCTCCAGTTAAAATTTTAGTCTTCTCTAATGCTAAGTGCTGGTTAGGCCTGAGGTCTTTCTTTTGTTTTCTTTAATTCCTACAGCTTTATAGTTACCCATCTCTGGCTGTTCTGGCTGAATACCAGGTTTGGCTGAGCACTCCAACACCAAACAAGGCGATGTGAAATCCCAACTAAAAGTTCAGCTGTAAAACTGGCAGCTGAACTGCCCAGCTCTGAGACACACCAACCCCGGGGACCAAGGGCTCTGCCCCGGGCAAGAAAGGAACCACACAGGCAGGGCTGTCAAGATAGGCTTTAAAGGTTTTTATTCTCAGTGGAAGAGCCCAACAGAGCAGTGACAGCAGCAGGGGAATCACAGAATCAGTGAGGTTGGAAAAGATTTCTGAGATCATCGAGTCCAACCTGTGCCTGGCACAGTCTGAGATTATACCCTCGGGTCCTGTCCTGGTTGCCCAGGAGAAGAAGCTGATCCCACCAGGTTACAACCTCCTGTCAGGTGGAACTGAGGAGGGCCCAATTCCTTTCCACAGTCCCGATGCTCTGGTGTCATCCCACTCCTCATGTGGCACAAGCTCACCCTGCGAGCCCTCAGGATTCACAAGCCACCTCTCCCGAGTCCAGCAAACCCGGCAGCCTTCCCCATGTCCAGTTCTGGGCTCAGAAGGAGCTCCTGGAGCCGCTCCAGCGGAGGATGATGGAGAGACTGGAGTGTTTCATGAGGAGAAGCTGAGGGAGCAGAGCCTCTTCAGCCTCGGGAGGAGGTGAGCTCAACAAGGTGTCAGAGGATGGAGCAGGCCCTTCTCAGGTGGTGCTGAGCGACAGAACAAGAGACAACGGGCAGAAAGTGATGTGCAGGAAGGTCCACCTGAGCATGAGAAAGAACTTTCCTGTGCAATGACCGCTCACTAGAACGATTGCCCATAGAAGATGTGGAGTCGCCCTTACTGGAGATGCCCCAGAACCCTCTGGACGCAGCCGTGTGCCACGTGCTCTGGGACGACCCTGCTGGCGCTGGGAAGTGCGGCCAGGGGATCGACTGTGGTCCCTTTCCGCCTGAACGGTTCTGTGATGCCCCTCACGGTCCCCAGCCCACCTGCCCCGCTCCTCTCACCGCCCGCCTCTCTGCCCTCTCCCCGTCCCCTCCCGCCGCCGCTCCCCTCACACCGCCCCCCCCGCGGGCACTCCCTCGCCTGCCCGCCCTCCGCGTCCGGCGTCAGGATTGGCTGTCCGCGCCAAGGCCCCGCCTTCCGCCGGCCGCGATTGGCCGGTCCTGCCCGCGCGGCGCTGCCATTGGCGGGCGGGCGACGGCGCTGCGGGTCGGGCCGCGCCGCGGGCGGGGAGCGTGGCCGGGGCGCTTTTGTTGCTGGGTCGGCGGCGAGAGGAGCGGGCGGGGGCGGCGGCGTGTACGGGGGAGGTGAGTCCGGCGCCGCCCTCCCCTCCCCCGCCCCGCGAGGCGGCGCGTGCAGCCCCGGCGGGCGCTTCCCGCCTCCCTCAGCCCGGCCCGGCGCTGCCGCGGCCCCTCCGTGCCCCACGCGTGAGGAGGCGGCGGCGGCGGGCCTTGTTTATGTCCTTGGCCCCGAGGTGTTTCCGGCGGGCACCGCTGGCACCGCGGCCTTGGGCAGGATCCGCAGTACCAAGGTCCGGAGAAGGTCCCCGCACTTCGGGAGCCGGGTGTGGTTCCCCCGAGCCCCTGTGCACACCCCCTGTGACAGCCGATCGTTTCCGGCGGGTTTCCTTTAGGATGTGCATAGATCGGCAGGGATCGGGCCCGTAGGGTGGGCGCTTGGCGCTCTGACCCCTTCCCTCACACGGCTGATGTTTTCAGTCCCACCTTCCTCATCCTCATCACCCGCAGGGGCTCTGGGCTTGCCTGGCTTCGTGTGAAGTTAAATTAGAACTTTTTGAAAGCTTTGTCTCTCGATCCGTTTAGCTGCTACTACGTTTTCCCTCTTCTACTAAAATTCTCTTCCTTACACCAAACGGAGGGATTGCAATGCCCCAGTTAAAGCCTGTCTGCGGTTTTCCAATAGCTCTCTGGTAGCCGGAGTTCTGGATAGAGAAGTTTGTCCTCGCTTTGTAAAAGATCCCTTGATTTGTTTGTCTTGCTTTCCCAGTAAAGCAGGCAGTGGGCAGGGAAAGGCCAGGGTTGCAGAAGAGCGTAATAACCATTCTTTATTAACAATCTTTTCAGATGAAGTTGGGGCTCTGGTTTTTGACATTGGCTCGTACACAGTGAGAGCAGGCTATGCAGGCGAGGACTGCCCAAAGGTGAGAGAATCTGCCTCGATGGAAATTCAACATGAATTTATGCCTTAAAAAGTCTTTGCAAGTTACAACCCTTCTGAATACACTGGGGTTTGTTCTGACTGTATTGTGTAAAGAAATTTCTGAATTTATGAGAAAAACACCAACTTGCAGAACATTACTAATCCGTATGTACTGCCTGCCTCTTGCCTTGCAGGTGGATTTTCCAACAGCCATTGGTGTGGTGCTAGAAAGGGACAATGGCAGCACTCTGATGGAGATAGATGGTGACAAAGGCAAACAAGGGGGCCCAACTTACTACATAGACACTAATGCCCTGAGAGTTCCAAGGGAGAATATGGAAGCCATTTCGCCTTTAAAAAATGGAATGAGTATGGTGCTCTTGTCTTTTTCTACCTGATTTTACAATAGCATTGCCAGGCTGCAGGAAGTCATGGTCGTGTTGACAGATGTTATGTACAGCAACAGAGGCTGTAAGAAGAGATGCCTAGTTTACAAATTGCATGGAAATGTGGTTAGTTTTCACTGTTATTGGGCTTTCAGCATAATTGTTGAAGTCATGGTGGTTGTGGAAGAAGAGAATTCTGCGGATCTGTTAGAGGATGTGTGTATCTGCTGAGGACAGCTTTTTACTGAAGAGCTCTATGCAATAAACTAAATTGGAAAGCCTTTATGTGTTTATGAAATGAAACAAAACTTAGAAGTAACTAACCTGTTTGTCTCAATGTTATTACAGTTGAAGACTGGGATAGTTTCCAGGCAATTTTGGATCACACTTACAAGATGCATATTAAATCTGAAGCAAGTTTGCATCCTGTCCTTATGTCTGAAGCACCAGTGAGTAAAAGCAGCTGTGCATTTTGACAAGTCTTTCTGATAACTCTGTGAACATTAGTCCTGGATAAGTCTGACAATGGCTTGTAGGTGACAAGTGCTAAAACTTAGCTACAGAAATGACAATTTAAAAATACTTGGACAGCTTGTGGAAAATGTCTAAAAAAACCCTCAATTTGAAAGAGTTCATATGAGTTGTATTAGAAAGTATTTACAATATGCTATTGTTTTTCACTTACTGAAAAGAAGCCAAAAGTTAAAAAAAGAAATTTTACTGCCTAGAATAAAAAGAAAAAATATGCTTGGATGTCTTATATTTTAAGTTACACGTAATAAAATGCCATGAAAAATCTTCCTTCATTCAACTCTACAAGTAATATTGAATGACACAGAATAATATTTATAATGGTGAAGTTGTAATTTTTCTGTCTTTGTTTCTGTAAGTGGTCCTGTAAGGCAGCTGAAGTGGATAAATACAAATTTCTGGGAAAATCTGGACAAGGTTTCTGTCATTTTAAAATGCTCAGCATTTGAAGGCAGATCTTGAAGTCAGAGTAGAAAAGGTAGACATGCCATACACAAGTGATGCCTTTCTTTAATAAAACCTTATGAAAAGGATTTTCTTGAATTTCATTGTTCCCTTGTGTTGAATCACAGCTTTTGGAGTGTGGATGAATTTGCAGTGGCTGTTTGATGGCTCAGTGGGTGTCTGAATAGAGACATTTCCATTGAAATTCTCCTTAAAAACCTCATCTTACTTTCTTCTGTTGGCTTGGAAAAAACTTTACATTTTCAGTTATGTGCTGAATATTTAAGATATCTTGGCTTAATCACAACTGCAGTAGAACTGTAGAAAGGTACTTTGGGAACTGGAAAGTCTGGATTTATTTTTCTTCCCACTGGGCATGTTCCTTCATGTATCTTCCCCCTTGTAAAAGGCCGGGTGCTTGCTTTAGAGAGTTCTTTGGGAACCTGACAGTGGAAGAGCTGTAGAAGTGTAAAGAAATGTATTGTAACATGAAAGGTGTGTAGCACTTCTGTGTGACAGATAAACATTGATGTATTGTAGTATAAGGGGAATGAAAAATGTTTTAAAGACATAAATCACTGGAAATCCATTTATGTAGAATTTTGGTGTCATTGAAACTCTGGCTGCAATTTCTCTAATAACTTCTTTATTGTGTTAGCAGTCTGTTAGTGTGCAGACACAGCTTCCTTTTGGTCACTTCCTTGTGGTTTGGGTTTATTATTTTTTAGTGGAACACCAGGGCAAAGCGTGAGAAACTGACGGAATTGATGTTTGAACACTACAACATCCCGGCGTTTTTCTTGTGTAAAACTGCTGTTCTGACTGCGTATCCTTTGAAATGTTTCACTGCATGGTTTTATTTTCCTCCCCCCGAGAAATTATGGGAAACTTTTTCCAGGCAATTCCAAGGATAACAGCATGCCTAACTTTCTTCAAATTGATTTTTTCCGTAAATATCCAGGGAGGAAGTAAACAAATGCATTTTCTCAACTTTAAGGCATTAGAGCTCATTTTTGAAGTTCTCCCAATCTGACTCTGTCCTTGGGGTCAAAGTCTTTCTTTAAAATGTTTTTTTTTCCCATGGTATACTATGGATAAGAATATTACAGACCTGAAATGGTGGTGTCCACACTACTAAATACGGTAATTAGAGCTTGACGTTTTCATAGCCTTAAGAGGAATATTTGTAATTATTTTAAACTAATAATATGTTTCCAGCTTCAAGTCTAAATGAGTTGGATGTACTTAGAGCTTGCTGCATAGTAGTGGCATGAAGTCTCACTCTTGTGCCTCCAAAGCTTGAGTTAGTTCACAGATGGAAGTTAAATGCTGCTCTCTCTATGAGATTGTGCACTTCGCAGAAAGATGGTACACTCTGGAAAATGGCAAATCCCTTTGCAGAGGAAAGGTTGGAGTCCTCATTCCTGGTTATGATTTAATTGTATGGCAGCACTTCTTTTCTAAAGTGAAAATTTCAATGTTTTCCTTAATCACTTTGACTAGTTTTGCTAATGGGAGATCTACAGGTCTCATCTTGGATAGTGGAGCAACACACACCACTGCTATTCCAGTGCATGATGGATATGTGCTTCAGCAAGGTAAAACTTTCATGGGTAACAGCGCTGAGGTATCAAGTGGTTAGAGTGATTTCTGCTTGTACAGTTTTGTTACTGCTTTTACATCTCTGTGCCCCCTTAAAAAGGAAAAAAACCCTAATAGTGTTCACTGACAAATAGTTGGGAGAGTCTGTTCATGCTCAGATACTTTCCAGATTAGTTGTTTTGGTTTTTATTTTGGATCCCCTCTTGCCTTCTAGGTATTGTAAAATCACCACTTGCAGGAGACTTTATCACTATGCAGTGCCGGGAGCTGTTTCAGGAAATGAACGTAGAGATAATTCCTCCATATATGATTGCTTCAAAGGTGGGAAAATAACTTTATTTACTAAGTGTTGTCTTGGGGAGAGGCTTAAATGTTCATCTGATGACTTTGTACCCTACAATCTCAGGAGGCAGTCCGTGAGGGGTCGCCAGCAAACTGGAAGAGAAAAGAGAAGTTGCCCCAGGTCACCAGGTCTTGGCACAACTACATGTGTAATGTAAGTAGGTAATTTCTCCTGCTCTCACCTCCCTTGAGTGTTCCACAAATAAGTTTTGTTTGCAAGTGTATCAGTTTTCTCTTGAAGAACAAGAAAATCTTTGAACAGTCAGTACCAATTCTATAAATTTTATAAAATTGAAGACTGAAATTCATGTAAATTATTGTTATTTTTAACTCCACAGTGTGTCATTCAAGACTTCCAGGCTTCTGTCCTCCAAGTATCAGATTCAACCTATGATGAACAGTATGTGACATTCTTCTTTCTTGTAAAATCTGTTACCAGTTGTGCATGTGATGCTCAGCCTATTCACTGCTGTTGGATGGTTTTGTTATAGAAGAAGGTTTTATCTAAAAATGGGTGATCTATGGAAGTAGGAGTGCTACATATACCCAGGTGATAGTTTTTTGTTGAATATTCCAAGATGAGACTTAATAAATATTATTGGAAGTGTAAGTCTTATGAATCCCAGTGTTCTCATTGGAACTGCAGTTCATAACACTGCTTAGATAAGTTGACATCCTGTTTAGAGAGCACTTTAATGTGTTGCTTTCTGCCTGATGCTCCAGGGTGGCAGCACAGATGCCAACAGTTCATTACGAGTTCCCCAATGGCTACAACTGTGACTTTGGTGCTGAGCGTCTGAAAATTCCCGAGGGATTGTTTGACCCTTCCAATGTAAAGGTAAAACCACTGTGAAGCTGTGATTGGAAGGCTCTGCGTGACTAGGCTGTCACATGGCTGTCTTTTGTATAACGTTTTTAATCTTGTGATTTGGATGTATTTGCACTGGGGGGGTTCTGGGGGTGGAGTTTGCCTGTCTTGAATTATAGCTGGGGAAGGGAAGGATGAAATGTTCAAATTGGGTGGTGACTGGAAAAATAGGGATATTTTTGTTCCTTCCCTAACAAAATGCTTAGCTCCCTCTCCAGTAATACTTGTAAAATTCAGCTCATTCAGGGCTTTTCTATGCCTTGCTCTCTTGAAGCAGTGATGTGTAGATTCCTGATTTTCCCTGCAGGGTTTATCTGGTAACACGATGTTGGGTGTGAGCCACGTTGTCACAACAAGCGTTGGAATGTGTGATATAGATATCAGGCCGGTAAGTGTTACTCAGCCAGGCAGTATTTTAAGGCATAGATATTTCTGTGCCAATACATGTTTTTGGGACTAGAACAGCAACAGTGAAGAGATTTCTTAGGATAATGATAAATATGTTAGAATAATACTGTAAGTATTATTTATTTGTATATAGGGGTATGTACCATTAATGTTTTCTCTTACAAAATGTTAAATCAGGACCTTTTACTTAGTGTTTCTACCCATATTTAAAAATCTGATGCACAGATTTTGTGGCTGGCACTGCATAATTTGGATTGGACTGGCTTCAGATAAGCATTTACGTTTCTATCTTGGAGTGTTATCTTCAGATTTTTAGGCATCGTTATGTTTAGAACATACATGGAATTTATAAAGAGGAGAAGTTCTAAAGGAAAATACTATTTTTAAAATTAATGTACTGTCTTTCTCAGGTGTCAGTTTGATACAGATTGCATGAGAGTTCTTTCAATGTTTTTTTTCTGTTAACCAGTGTGTGAGAAGGGCTTAGTGGGCTGGGCCATGGTGTGTGTTCACCAACTGCAGCAACAGTGAGATAGAAAACTGCTGTAAGGCTGTGTAGTTTTCTTTTGAGGTTGCATTCTGCTGTAAAAAACTCAACAATTTGCATACAGGGGAGATCTGCAGGTTGAGGGTTCTCCATAGTAGAAATTGTTCAGTGAAATCATGTAGAACATATGGCCTCTGCCTTCCTTTTATAGTTTAATATTAAGCTGTCTTGCAAAATTTTTAAGTGATTAAATAATAAATTGAATTGGGAGAGGTAATACTGTTGGTATCAAGTGATGTATTATCGTTGTTGACTATACATACTCATGCCACCCCTCTCTGTTGTGAGAAAGAGGTGTTTTCAGAATGATTTCCAAGGTAAAGCTCCAGTTTGTTTTTCTTCTCTTTTTAGGGTCTCTATGGCAGTGTGATTGTAGCAGGAGGAAACACTCTAATACAGAGTTTCACAGACAGATTGAACAGGGAGCTGTCTCAGAAAACCCCACCGGTAAAACAACTCTTTCCATTACTGCATTGAGTACTTCAACATTTTACTTTTCTGCCACATAAGTACACAAGGATACTGTGGTTTTGATATTCGTAGGAACCTGACAGCTGAATAGATTTCTGCAGGGTTAAGAAACCTCCCTCTCTAAAGAAAAGAAAGAATTCTTGAAGAGTTTTATACAGAATAAACTCCAGTATTCCTTGAGTATTTTACTACTCCACTCTTGTTTTCAGATTGCGATCCTAAGTTTTGTAATTGTCCCCAAGCAACAGCCAGTATTCTCTTGATGGTCTCTCTTTTGGAGTGTTGCTGACTAACTCAAGGCACATTCAGTCGTTCTGCCTGAGGTCACTTTGTTGTGGCAATTGTTTTTCCTTGATTTTGCAGACAACCTAAATCACCAGGTTTTGTCTATGAGTAGCATATTTACATATTTTTTTAATCACTTGATGTCAAAGAAAGTATTGGTACCTTGCATCTGAGAGTAGGTACAGATTGTGATATTTCTTAATCTTAGTATTCAAACAAAAATGTTCTGCTTGGGACAACTCTGTAATGATGAATGTTAGGAGAAACTGAGAAATGTATTCACTGCTTATAATAGCTGAGGAGGAGCCCATTGAAATTCAAAGATTTTATTGCTGTAAAGCATTTTGAAAGCAAAAGGAATGAATGGATCCAAGTAAGCCTAGATGGCTTAAGTCTAGCAATGTAAGTCATTGTAGTCCCAGTGCAGTGTTGGAGGTGACACTATACACTGTGATATTATTGCTCTCCACCTGCCTCATTCCTTGCCTTAACCGGTTATTTGCTGTTGGGAGACAAGGTAAAAACCATATTTCCTGTTCCACTGTGGTTGTTTTGAATTGTAAATGCAGGCAGATGAGAAGTATTGCAGATGTACTAAAATGGGCCTTTTTCAGCTGCGTATTGGTATAGACACCAGTTCCCTGTGCTGCTTGTCCCTAAAGGTCACCAGCTTACAGCCTGTGTGACGTTTGGTTTTTCTCCTTTTCTGTGCAGAGCATGCGCCTGAAGTTGATAGCTAACAACACCACTGTGGAGCGGAGGTTCAGCTCGTGGATTGGGGGCTCCATTTTGGCTTCTTTGGTTAGTAAACCTGTGCTGTGTGAACAGCACTGCCACCCAGACATCCGATTCCCCAGAAGTGTGCATTGCAGAGTCTGTGCTATGTAATCATAGTCTTGGCTGTCCTCATGGTAAGGGGAAGAGAATCTGTTTTAAAAAGAGGTGTGAGTGTTTCCCAGTGACAACATATCCTGCCATGTTCTCCCATTTTTAATGGCAAGGTAAAACCTTGAAATACATGTACTTTCTCTAGACTGTATCTAGTAGACCATGAAAGTAGCAAACCTGTTTCTGCATCATATTCCTGAGGTTAATTCTACAAGTTACTGAGCACTGAAATGCTTTCTGGGGGTTAATTTATCATCATGGGAAAGGGAGACTGCAATCAGCATTTGGTGCTGCACTTTCTGTCTTGAGTTTAATCCCTTAGCAATAAAACTCAAGGAAGAGACAGTTAAGCAGGTGGAGTCCTAATACTTAATTTAATGTAAGGACTTGCTTGTTTTCCCTCCAAAGAAAAGCTAATCATGTTTCAGTTGACCATCATTTTGTGTTCTGCTACTTTTTCATTGTGTGTTGCTTTTGTTTCTTTATTTTTGTAGGGTACTTTCCAGCAGATGTGGATTTCCAAACAAGAATATGAAGAAGGAGGGAAACAGTGTGTAGAAAGAAAATGTCCTTAGACCTCTTAACTGTGAAAACTGCTGCCTGCTTGGTGCTCCTTCTGTTTTATAGCTTTAGCATACTCAGGAATGGGATGGACTCCTCTTTGTAGGAAGTTTATATTGGGTTTTTTGCATAATTCAAATTCCATTTTAACAAAGTTAGAAATTTTGAGAGACCTAATTGGTACTATAATAGAAAAAGGATGTTTACGTCCCTTGTAAAGCAATAATTCCTGTAACAAGCATTTTATAATTTTGTATAAATGTCTATTTTCTCTAGTATCTTTTCCTGGGAACAGCTTTACAGGTTAGCTAATAGATAGAGGCATAACCTTGCAAATGCCTGTGCTTATTTATTAATTATTTCTTGTCTAATTTCTTGTCTACTTTCACATACTAGTCTTCCTTGCTGGTACTTTGGCCTTAAATTGCTCTTATTTTTCTCTTAAAAAATAAAATTTGGTCTTTTATATTTGAGCAAGCTTGTGAGTACTTGCAGAGAAAGTTACTCTGCTGTTTTAAAAGTGAAAGTTTGTATTCAGCAATCTATTTTAGTGTAAACTTTTACTGTCTCACAGAAGTGTTACATTCCGTGGAGTGAATGTTATATTAAGCACTGGTTTGTTAATTTTTTTTTTATTATGGAGCAGTTTCATTTCAGTAAGCAAGCAATGCTTTCCACTTGATGTCGAAGAATGTATTTAATGCCTTTGTGATGTTGGTGAGAAGCAAAGCCTGTTCAAGACAGGGAAATTGAGACAAAGAATTGCCTCTCCAGGCCTGGGAGCAGAGTCAGAAGCTTTCGGTGCGTGGCTTGCCCCTGCTGCAGGGAGCCCTCAGTGCTGTGTCGTGGCTGGTGTGGCTCCCCCTGTGCCTCCCAGCAGGGTCTGTAAGTGCCTGTGTTTGCAGGGGGAAGGTGCACTCAGGGTCACAGGAATGGGGATGACTTCTTTTTTCAGCAGAAATCAGCTGTCAAGACGCAGCTCAGTGTTGCTTTTAAGGTTAATTTACAATGATGTGATGGTCTGTTTTGGGACACCATGAAGTTTTGCTCCTTATCTCAAAAGCTGTGGAAAACCAAATAGCATTTAACTGATCTAAAAAAATGAAACAGTACTGCTACATTTTTGTATCCTAAAAGATCTTGTGGGTAAATAATTACGAGGCCTCTGTTTGAAAAGTTTCACATTACCTCCAAATAATAAAGTAATTTATCAAACCAATCTGCTTTTGTCTTATCACGAGAATCTTGAGTTGCTCTTTAGACAAAGTCGTTTGATCAGATTTTCAAAGCTACTGACAAACCATATTTCTCTTGCAAAATGAGGCAAACTGCAAAGTCACCAGCTCTTGTCATTGTGGAAGAAAAAGGCTCAGTCCAGTTTCCATTCAGGTAGAACATGGAACATAACAACTGCTACCTCAGTGCACTGCAGTGGGTGGTGTTTTTAAGCTTTCCTTCTATGGCGTGCTTAGATTTCATTATGCCAAATCAGCTTTTATCTTCCATTTATCTTAAAAGAATTGCAGTACAGTATCTGCTAATATTCCAGCAGCACAGGGAGAGCAAAACACTGCTGGAGGTTTTCTCACTGTAACGATTCTGACTTTAAACTGGGAATTTTGTGTGATGCAGAGGAGTAAGTGAAGGTCCAAATGATGGAGATAGATACGTGAAACAGTACCGGTTCCCTTGCAGTGTTTTACCAGCTTATACTGCTGAGCACATTTGCTTCCTTAAAGACTGGTATTTTTGACTTCAGTCTAGATTTCTAGACCACCACATGTGGAAGTTAAAAGTTCTCATGAAGTGAAAGGTGAAGGTGTTTCCTTCAACTGAGAGCAACAGCAGTACCTACTTCAATTTCACTGAAGACTACTGCAGCCTTCTTTCAAACATTTTGCACTGTGCAAAGCATTGTACAAGTGTTTGAATTTGTCACAGAAATCAAGGTAGGACAACTGGATTAGAAGTTCCCATGCTGAGTATTTTGTACTTTCTAAGAACTTAAAGCAGTGGACTAAGACTTAAAGCAGTGGAAAGAATTCCTCACAGCAGTCCGAAGAGCCCATTTACCAGTGCATTTATGCAGAGCAAATACACGTAGCTTACCTGTAACTCGGGGAAAATATTCTGGAAAGTAGCAGGAAAAATATGATCAGGGAAAGGCTCGTATGTGAGCTTCAGATGCTTTCACATTTGTCTGATTTTAATGTACATGAGTTAAAATAAACCAGGTAAATATTGCCCCTACACTTGTTACTGTCAGCTGGCACTCTGTGGCTGCTCTTCACTGTTCCTAATGCATCTCTCACTCTTGTAACAGCTGGCTAACACAGCATTTGTTCCTGGAAACGAGAGATCAGATGATTTGAGTTAGGCACCAAAGCCGCTTTTTAATTCCAGATCAAAAGTTTAATTAAAGTCAAATGTGGTATTAAAAACAAAACAAAAAAAAAAGCTGGAGACTATCTGGAATGCTCAGTGGAGTTGTTTGTGGTTCCAGAACATGACTAATGTTCCACAGACACTTGACCAGTTGCGTGCAGTGCTCTTGCAGCCTGCTACTGGCTCTGGGATTTCACAGCAACATCAGGGAACTTCCTTTCCAAGAGCTTCCGCTTCGTCCTCTCCAGGCTTTGCTGCCTTGCCCTTTTCCGTAAGGATTTTTCAAGTCTGAGTCTGAAACAGAGAAGTTGGTGTGGTTCACTTCCAGCCAGCTTGTGACCACTTTAAAGAGCCCCCCAATCAGACAGAGGCTCTCAGTGATTCATAACTTCAGTATTCATTTGCTTCTGATAACTAAAAAAGCCTGCAGTAATATTTTTACTCTGCTTCCAAATTCTACGGAAGTTCAGCCTCTAGGAGGATTTTTGATATTCTGCACTTGAAGTTACTTTTACAATGCCACAGCATAACCATGTACCTTAGTAACTAAAGTGGGAACAGAAAAAAAAGAAACAGAGGAAGCTGTAATTTAAAAAAAAAACTCTGATTTTCAGTCTAGTACCTGAAAACGGAAAGATTACAGCTATTTTTTCCTTTTAAAATGGAATAAGGACACAAACAGATCAGAATGTCAAAATAATCTTTTTACCTGATGAAGTGATTCACATGAGGTAAGTAAAAGAATCTCTTCTTTTTGTGTTTTTTGTTCAAGTGCCATGGTATTGGCCATTCCTTGTAACTGTACCTGTTGGAGACAGATAAAAATGATTACAGAATGTACATGTTGTCTTAATTCTAGGATTTTACCAGTTTCTCTCAGTTTCAAGTACAGTGATAAAGTGGTCTGGGAGATGGCAGAATTTCTATGTGGGTATTTACTTCCAGCTCTTGCTGGTTTGGTTTTTAACTATCTCCTGTGTTCTGTACAGTCTATGCATCCTTCCTTGATTAGGTAAGGATTTTCTGGGAGAGAGACACACCACAAGAAAAACTCACACATTAAAAAAGGTTTTCCATACCAGAAGGTGCGTCCCAGGAAGTCGTGTCTCCACTCACCAGGGACTGGCTTTTCATGGCCTGTTTGTAAAAGCCTTAAAGCAATTTCTCTTTCTCTGACAACCAAGTCTATATTTTTCATAGATGTTTCTACCTGGAAAGGGTAAAAAGTTTCAGGATGCACCAACAAAAAACAATGCTGAAAATTTAAAAGATCTCAAAGACTTAAGACAAAATTTAAAGGGAAAACAAAGGTAAAACATGCTGGAGTTTGATCATGAGTTCTCTCTCAGCAGGCCCTGTGTACCAGAACAGTAAGGAATGGGTGCTTCAAAAATCTAATCTGACAGCAGGACAGATATGAAATAACTGACAGTCTGATACTTGATTAAAGACCAGCTGGGTGATGCATAAAGCCAGATCCAATGCTGATGCAGAAGTGTAGGAAGCTCTGAGGCAAGGGTCAGAAGCAGGAGAAGCAAACAGAAGATTTGCTAATGTTTTGTAGTGGCTGTTGGTTATTTTAGTTTCCACTGGAGTCTGGTCACAGCCCCAGTAATGCCCACTGGACAATGAGAAAGCTGCCTTGACCAAATTATGACTTCAGCCGTTAGTGCATACACTAAAATCAGGGAAAATAATTAAAAAAAAAAAAGGTCTTTAACAAGTTTACAAACACTTGATCTTTCAGCAATTTTACTAAAGAGTTACAGTTTTTCTGTAGCATGAAAAAGGTACCTTTTCTAAGCGTTCTGGACTTGGCATAGGCTTGCGCTGTCGCCTGGATTCTTGCTCTAAAGTTAAGAGCATGTTCCTTTCTTTCAGCAGGACATACCTGGAGCAGAAAGCACAGAAATTCAAAAATGACTTCGGGATAGCTAAGCAGTTATTCACTTACTATCTGTAATCCCAAACCCTGCTGGCTTCATATAATGAAACAAAAGAGAAGAATGAGTGAGACAGGTTTAGTTAGTCTGGAATAAAGAGGGCTTAGGAGGGAAGAGTTTAACACTGAGCTGTCTTCCATTATCTGGACAAAGCCAAGTTTTTCTCTCACGTACACATGAAAAGGACACGACACAGCAAGGAAAAAGCTGTTCACATTAATTATTAAGTTCAGCCTGAACTTAATACAGCTTCAGAAACTTCCACAATCAGAATAAATGCAGGCATGATGGAATGAAGTGCCCACCCCACCAGAAAGCACTGACAACCAAGTCTGTCCAACTCAAGCAACCCCCAGAGGGTTTGTACCAAAGCTGAGCCCTCTGAACTAGACACAGCTGTCCCACAGCCACCTGCAGTGCAGCGTCTGTGCTCTGAGCAGGACCAGGGCTGGTGCAAGCCCAAAGCTGGCTGGAGCCTGCAGAGCTCTGTGCCAGACAGAAGCTACTGGATCATGAGCTCACCAGCCACATTTTACTGAAAAGTGCAGAGCTGCTCTGAAGGAAGAAAAGCTTCTTCACTAAAATTTACTTACCAAAGTTTGTGCAAGTCTTCACTACTCTTGCCCCTTAGCTGCTTTAGATTCCATGAATCCCCTGTAAAATATAAAAAACCCCCACCATTAATTTAATGAAACAAAGTTCTCTTATTCTGGAAAATAAAAAGTGCTTCTATTAGACTCAGCTGACACAACAGTGTAAAGACCACGTGTAAAATACTACTGCTTGGACAGCCATCCTTGAGAATATTCAGCTTTGCTTTTAAAATGCAATTCAAAAAGGCAATTATATGTGGTGTTTATTTGTGCTTGTAACAGGCTGGGAATACAGAAAGCTGTCAGATGATTCTTTACACTGAAGTAGTTTTCTTCCATAGTATTTACATTCATCAAAGCACATCTTTTCTGTGATACACTCTCACTTCAGAGCAAGGCAGAGGATTTACAGCGAAACATTTTGCTGCACAGTTGCTATTTGCTTTCATAAACACTCAATACACACAGCAAAAATTAACAAGCATCAAGATGCACAAGTGGATGTATGTACATATACACAGAAAAAAAAGTTTTAGGTAGCTATGAATGCTCCCTATAATGCAAAAAAAAAAAAAAAAAAAAGTCATATTTCAGCTCAAAGATCACTATCAGAAATGCTAAATATAACTCACCAGACTTTACACTTTTTTCCCCCCAGTTTCCTGGATCATCAAAAAACTCCTCCAGACCTCGCCGAGACACAGTTGTGTGCAGGAGCTTCACCTGTTGGAGGATCTCAATTTTTGGTAGGTTCTTGTGGTACAGATTCAGTGCCATCCTGCATAAAAGTTAGAAGGAAAACTATGTATGACAGGAAAAATGATATTCTGCTAAATGAGAATGTTTGGTTCATTCACAAAGACACATTTCCTACAGACAGATCATGGCATGTGGGGAAAAAGCAGAGTTTTGCTTAGTCACAAAGATCTCATCTTGGTGTTTTCTCCTCCCCCCTCATCTCATCTAATTATCAATTTTCTACACTTAGAGACAGAAAACAATTAAAAATTAAGGAACAAACTTGCTGTACAAGAGTACGTCATAGAACCATGGGAACTTTTGCACCTCTGGAGACTATCCGGTCCAACAGCCCTGCCAAAGCAGGGTCACCTGGAGAAGGTGACACAGGAACGCGTCCAGGTGGGTTTGGGGCGTCTCCAGAGGGGGAGAATCCACAACCTCCCCCGTGGCCTTAATGGCAAAGGCTGTGGGCCCCCGGGAAAGCACAGAACCCAGCAGCACAATGAGCGCAGGATTCTGCCGGCACAGGGAACGGCCTGGCGCTGCCCTCACACGCTGCCTGCACCACGCACCAAGCTGCGGCCCTCAGGGACAGCGGCACGCACGGACACCCGCCTCCCGCCACAGGCTCTCCTTCCTCCCGGGCACCGCGCCCGCCCCTCCGTGCCTGAGCCCGAGTCCGCCCGGCGCAGTGCGTACCCGGGGAGTGCCGGCCGAGCCCGGGGCAGGCGGAGCGCGGCCGTCAGGCTCCGGCCCAGCGCGGCCATGGCCGCGGCCGCCGCCATCGCCCCGCGTCCTCCCACAGCGCCGGGGGCGCGGGGCGGGAGCTGCCCTTTTCCAAGATGGCGCCTGCCCGGCCTCACCTGCGCTCTCCCGCGGTACATGGAGCACAGGGAAGGCCCTGCCCTTTTCCAAGATGGCGCCCGCGCGGCTTCACCTCCATGCGGTCCCGCTGAGCCGGGGGCACTGGGAAGGCTTTGCCCTTTCCCATGATGGCGGCCGCCGACTTCACCCCGCGGCGGGCAGCGGCGCCGCCGGCCCCGCCCCTTGCCAGTCCTAGCCATGGCGGCCATGAGCCGGGTGCTGCGGGCGGCCGCGGCCTGGGCGGCGCGGCGGGCGGGCAGCGCCGGCAGCACCGGGATCGCTGGCAGCACCGGGATCGCCGGGATCGGCCCCCGCCTCCCCGGCACCCTCGGTACGGCCCCGGCGGGGGATGGCGGGGCGGGGGCGGCGGGCCCAGGTGACCTTGCGGAGCGGGCAGAGGTGCCCTCGCGGAGGCCGCGGGAGGGCCGGGGGCTGAGCAGGTCCCCGCTGTGTCCCCGTTCCTGTGAAAAACTACCGGGTTTGGGTGAAAAATGGATGGAAACGGGCGGGAGGCCGCCCCTCCTGGCGCTGTAATTGTCCATTGACTCGGCCCTGTATGGTGACATTCACGTGTTGGTGCTTACAGGTGGGCACAGATCTCTGCCTATAGTTAGAAGAAAAATACGTTCACGCTAACAAAATACGAAATTACTTAAGGCGAACTGTAGAAAACTCAGCTGCTGTTGTACACTCCTCGTTTTTATTTTTTTCCTTTCCCCACGTATGTTTGACCTTGTCCTGGCATAAGCACCAATGGAGTACAAACCATAATACTCTGGTTCGATTTTCAGTTCCTGTACGGCACAGCGGTGACCATGGCAAGAGAATGTTCATCATCAAGGCAACAAGCTTTTATGATTCTCGATTTCTGAGCTTGTTGGTGAGTTAAAAATCAAATGTATTGCGTTCAGTGTAGCACATCACTTGCAAATGGTGTAAGAGTGTCTAAAATACAATTTCCTGTGGTTTTTATGTGATAGCATCTAAAATGTGGCTGGCACTATTTACATAAACAAGAATTTCAGGTCCTTTTTAAGAATTTTTTGGTCACATGCTGTAAAATCAGAGCCAGATGAAGTTCAAAGACTGGCTGTATAGCAAAGGTTGTGATAGGTACTTAAATTACTGCTGTAGTAGCATTCTTAAATTACATGTCTGTGTTCATATATGCATGACCCACAAATGCTTTCTGCTCCATCCTCCTTTTTGAAACATATCAGTTACTGTTCTGCAGAGTGTGCCTTCACTTATCTACACCATTAATAACACAGGTGAGATTTAGGAAGCCTGACGTGAGTTTGACCCCTCCAAAGTCAGGTTTGGGATAAATCCTTTTATGAGCAGCAAGAGCTGATTTGATACAACTCCCTTCATGTGATCAGGACTCATTTCTGTGCCTTCCTCAGCTACAGAGCCCACACTGGCTGCACTGGTGTTGGATTCTTGCCTTGCTGTCAGTGCTGATAGCAGCTGAGTGCTGATGCTGAGGGATTTCAGGGAGGTGTTGCTGTTTGCTGCTGCACAGACAGACCTGAATGGGCTCAGGGGCTCACACAGCATCACTTTTGTGTGTTCTGCTTCATTAATGAACTCATTGCAATCAGCAGTGTTTACACACAACATCCCTTTCCAACACAGAAATGCCAATCTCAGAGTTATTGGCTGTTCCACCATTTTCAGATATTTTCAGATCTTGTGTGAATTTTGTCAGGATTCTGAGTTTCCCACACTGACTGTTTTTATCCCCTCTACAGAGATTCTATTTATTCCTGACGGGAATACCAGTGGCTGTGCTCTTAACATACATCAATGTCTTTGTTGGTGAGTGCTCTGTCAGGGCTAAGCAAAGTACAGTCGAAGTTACTGCATGGGAATTAAGCATGCTGGATAGAGAAGGGACTCTTTTGGGGTTCTCTCTTTGGAAGACCATGGAATAGGCCTAACAAATCCAGTGATGTTATATCAGTACATAGAAAATGTTCCCAGTATACTTGCTTTAGTTGTTGATTTTTAAAAAAAGTTTCTCATATTAAAAAAAAAAAAAAAAAACATTCTCTCTTCCGGCAGTGAAGTTTAGTAACTTGCTTTAAGAAGAGTGCAACTCTGGTTTTTTATCTAGCAAAGATGCCAAAATTCTGCTTGGCAACACGTGTTAAACCTACTGCTGTAATGATATGGAATTAATTTAATAGAGAAATCAGGAAAAGTCCATGCTTTCAGCTCCTGTACTTTAAAGGGTATTTCTGTGGACTTGATCCAAGTTGTTTCTTCTGTATAGCTGCTGATTTTGCCCTTTTGGCGTGTCACTTAAAATCTGTGAATAGGTATTTGCAGTGTGATGTGTCTGCAAAAACTGCAAGTTCAATTTTTCTGAGTAGAGCTCACACTGAGGGATTTAGTACTCTCTATGTGGAATAATGATCTTTTTCTTATCTGAAAAGCAGACTATAAGGTAGCTTTGGAAAATAATCACAGAGTTAAATATTCTTCCCCTCCTTTCCTTGTCAGGTGAAGCTGAACTTGCAGAGATTCCTGAAGGTTATGTTCCAGAGCACTGGGAATACTACAAAGTGAGTGAAACATGTAAAAGGGTGGGCATGTTATGGACAGCCTTTCTCTTGATGATACTTTTGGGAGTAAAATGAATGGAGTATGATGATGTCTGGCAGTGCAGTAAAACTCAAATAGTGCAGTTCTGATTTTGGTAAACTTTTTTGTGGCTTTATGGAACATGTAAAAGGCTGTAGAAAATCTCTTTAATGACACAAGCAGATGCAAATGTAAACTGCTGACACTGTATGCTAAGAATTTTTCCGTAATATTCCTAAATAGCAAGAAAAGTCCTCTGCATTCATACCATGTAAGTTTTATCTTTATTTTTTTTCTACAATGTCTTAAGAAACTGTAGTTTGAAGTGACATTTCTTTCTTTTGTGTTGTTTGCCAGTATTGTTTTAAAGTCCCATATCACACACATTTTGGATCTAGAATTTAAGATTTTTATAGTCACAAACTCAAGGTTGTATGGTTTCAATTTAATTATATTTTCTTAAATCCCTGGCTTCTTGCTGCAAGCCCTGTTTTGTTTCTGATAGGAAGTAATTGAATTCAGCAATATTATTGTGACTGTTTCAACTCATTTAGACTTTTGTTCCTAGTGAAATGCTCCCTATGTGGAAGCAAAATTGTGAAATGTTGCTGATTACAGTAAAATTTGGAGTCCACTTCTGTGATTACTGTGGCAGTTTAAGGAACTTTAACAGAAAGAAAATAAATTATATTAAATTTTAATTTAATATAATTTATTTTTAAATTAAATTAAATTTTAATTTTGCTACAGAACAGTCATCTACTGGTTCTCTTGGCATTAAGGACTGCAAAAGAAATATGACTTTCTAGGGTTCTGATCTCACAAGTAGTTGTGTATGTTTGTAACTTCGCTGTTGTGATTTGAGTGGCAGCACTCATGGTGTCCATGACATCTTTTCAGGACTGTGGATACACAAAGTGACATTTCTACTTGGAAATTGCACAGACAATCTCTGCTGTTATGTTTTCCAGCACCCCATAACCCGCTGGATAGCTCGTTATGTACTTGACCCCCCTGAGAAGAACTATGAGAAGGACATGGCCCTGCTTGATGTGGAAGTGAGGAAATCTGAACTGAGGTATGCTCTGTAGTTGGGGGGTTAAAATCCTGATCCATACTGTAGCTGGCTCTGATTTTGCATGACATACCGAGCTGGATGCTGACATAAAGTGCTTTCATGTGTCCCCTGAGTGCTGCCTGCACTGGCTGCTGCCAGAGTGGGAGTCACGGGATCTGTTATCAATGCCCTCTCAGGATTCAGGTTACCAGAACAATCCAAGGGCAGGGGGTCTTCAAAGCACTTGATAATTATAAAGGTGTAGCTCTGTCTTCCTGAATCAGCAAATGGAGCTCTTTTTGCTAGTGCTCACAGCTTAGAGAAGAACCTGTGATAAAACTGCCAGTATTTTTTTTTACTCCTTTGTGGAATGACTTGCTGGGAAAAAAAAAACAAAACAACAAAATAGAAATATGTAATAGCTCATGTCTTAGCTGAACCCTTCATATTTTGGTCCTACCTGTGCTTCAGTATTTATAAAATCATTGCTTTGCAGTAATGCTCAATATCAACAAACTTCATGTTGAGGGTGTCTGTTGCCTTTTTTTTTTAGGCTGCTGGAGTTGGAGGCACGCAGACTGATGAGACAGCGGGGAGATGGGCCTTGGTACCATTATGAAACACCTGACAAAAATCTTGTTGACAATTCTATGAAAGCCACACCTGACAATTAAACAATTTTGGGCAGTGTGCAGGGTCTTCAGTGCATACTGACAAATTGTGACTGCGCTGTGGAACAGACATCCTGCTGTTTGCTGATGGAAATGAATAAACAGTGTTTGTGTTGATTCCAGTACCTTGAAAGAAACTGTGTGGCAGTTAAGTTCATACAGCTATTAAAGCTGTTAATCAGTGGAACTGACATAATGTCAATTGCCAACAATCACTCCTTTCCTTCAGAACATATGTACGTGAAACAAGCTGGTAATACTAGTTTTCATTTTGTGATTTCTAGATTTACATTTTGAAGTGAAAGATACAAGAAGCTAAGGGTTTTTTCTTTCTCAGTGCCTTGTGTCAGGTAATTTGTGGGAGATAACTGAGTAGGAAAAGTACCTTTACACATACCTGCCATTCATTTTCAGAACTGTGCAGCTGTTCTTCCACACCACTTCTGGCAACTCCTTAGGGAATATGAAGAGTTCTGTCATCACCTGGCAGGTTTTTGCCACTAGAGGGATGTGTTTCCTCATGGTCTACAGGCCATGGTACTCTTTGTTTTAAATTTCTCAAGAGTGATGGAAAGTGCCTCTTACAGTTTGTGATTCTAAATTATCTTATTCAAAAATTCAAAATTATCTTATTCAAAATCCTCACTTTTTGAAGGAAATGAGCCCAAACTAAACCCATATAATCTAGCAATTTGAAACTTAAAACTCTATAATTTTTTTTTACATTAGGCAACACTGCATGGATTATTTTAAGCAAAAACTGCCTTGTTTGCTGTTTCCTGGCACTGCCAGACATTAGAAAGATATTGATTTTCTATCTGTGCTTTGCTTGTCCTTTTTGTTAGAATCAGTCTTTCAGGTTAGATGACTCATACATCTTATTATGGCTCTCATTGTTTATAAATGCTGAGTTATTAATAACAGAAGCCATTAAAAAAGCACAGAGTCTCCTCAGGTAAAATAAACCTGTCTGACCCTGCATTAGTGTTTTTTATCCATCATCCAATGATGCTCCCACGTCTGATGTAATGTCTGTTTTTCAGTAAGTCTAAAACCACTCCATGGACATCACATTCTGCTCTCAGTGTTTCACATTGTTCCCAACATTTGATTTTTTTAGTAATAAAAATTGCTGAGAACCCTGTGCTACTCTGTTCACCCTCACAGCCTGCTCATAGCTGGGTACAAACATTTTTCAATACTGTTTTTGAGATTTTCCCAAAACCACCTTTTGAAACTTAATTTTGAGGTAAAAGGTGATTCTGGCAAAGGTCACATCACCTCCTTGGAAGTGATCCATGAGTCCTTGGATATATTGTGGATGATGGGTGGAAGGCAATTCATCTGCTCTATGCATCTTCATTTTACATGGACTGGTCATTTCTTTACTACTGTTGCTGCCAGGCATATGTTGTAGTTTTTAGATACTGTGTGAAAACAGTAGCAATATTTTTCTCCCTACAAAGGTCACTCTTATTTCTCCCTTCTCTGACATTATTCTTTCAAAGTGAAGAACAGAGAGAAACACAGCAAAGGCCAAAAAAGGGCATTTTAAGGTAAAGGTACTGCCCCTTTTTGAAGCCATGACATTGGGGGTTGGCTCCTGGCACTGCCACAGGCTTCTCGGGCATCCCGGGCTGGGCATTCCCGCCCTGTATCCCCCCACACCGACCTGCTCTTCTGGACAGCAGGGACATCCCACCTGTCAGCACGGCCAGGTGGGACAGCCCGAGCCATGTGAGACACAAAATGAGGGGCTGAGAATGAAAATACAGAGGAGATTTTTTTTACTGTGTGTATTTTATACACATATGTATAAAATATGTATATACACATATACATCTACAGATATATATACAGATATACACACACACGTATACACTTACATATAGATAAACTCGTATACATATACTTACATATACATACATATATATATGTATATATATACATACACACACACATATATATTTACGTAGTCTTTAAAAGCTTAAAAATAAATAACAGAGCGTGTAAAAGAGTATTACCGGTCAGAGGGAAACCTGCCCCGGGCCACCCGGAGAGACCAGGAGCCAGGGCTCGGTGCTGCCCCGCTGGGAGCGAAGGGTCTGGGGTGAAACGCGGGGCCTCGGCGGGAATCCCGCCCCGCTGCCCTGCCCCTCGCCCGCCCCCGCCGGGACCCCCGGGTGCCGCGGCCGCAGCTGGTGCCGCTGCCGCTGCCATTGGATTAAAAATAGCATCTTCCCTCCCCCTGCCCTCCCTCGGGCCCGGCTCCCGCCGCCGCCCTGCCCCGGGCCCGGCTGCCCGCCGCCTCCATCGCCCGCGCAGAGCGGCTCGGCAGGGAGGGCGGGCGGCCGGGAGCGAGGGCGGGAGGGGAGCAGGGAGGGAAGGGAGGGAAGGAGGATGCAGCGGGCCGCGCTCTTCCGCGGCGGCGATGCGCAGATGGCCGCCGGGGACCTGGGCGAGCTGCTGGTCCCCTACATGCCCACGATCCGGGTGCCCAAGTCAGGGGACCGGGTCTACAAGACGGAATGTGCCTTCTCCTACGACTCGCCCGTGAGTGCAGCGAACCACCCCCGGCTGCCTCCGCGCCCCCGCCCGCCGCGGCCCCTTCCCCTCCCCGCCGCAGCCCCCCGCACCCTCCCCGGGCCGCTGCCTCCCCTCAGGCTCGGGAGCCGCCCCGATCCCTTCCTGCACCTGCCGCGGCCCCTCGCCCTGCCGCTGCTGCCCAGCCCGGGGTCGCGGCGCTCCCGCACATCGCTGCCGGCTCCTTCCTGCGTTTGTTTGTTTATTTTCCTCCTTCGAGGCGCTCTGAAGTGGTTGCTTGGACACGGGGATTTTGTGGTTTTGGGGACGCTTCCCTGCTTGCTCTGCTTGTCGCGGTCTGTCTGCTCCACCCGGAGCCCTTTTGCTTTCACACCGAGGTAGTGAAAGAGGGAATGTTGAAATGGCCTTCTCGTTGGTCTATTTCGGCGAGCAGATGTCAATGATTTTGCTTTCCTACTACCTCGGTGCGCATTCTATTAAAAATCTTCAGAGAAAGCTTCCGAGGTAAAGGCTTATCCTGAAAATCAGCGTGAAAGTTCGTGAAACACTTTCTCCCCCGGGGTTTCAGCTGCATCACTGAACTTCAATGGACTTGTAGTATTTCCCCAGCAGCTTGGTTCATTTGCTGTTAGATGAACGTTTCATGTGCAGTAAACTTTCTGTGGTGTTATTTCTATGGTGTCTTACAAAACATCCACCAGCTCCACAGATTGCATGTGCTCCATGGCAGATTTGGGGCCTGACTCAGTTTTTAACTTCACTGCTAATACTGGAAGCCTTCGTAAATGGCCAGTGCTTTGTAAGAAACAGGTGCTTCGAAATTAGACTTTTCCAAAAGAGGTTGAAAATTTTATTAGCAGCTGCTTCTGCACAGGAAACTGAGGTTTCCCAAAGGTGACTGAGCACCATATGTTGATGTTAATGTCAGTGGCAGCAATCAGAAGGAAGCTCATTGCATTGCAGAATACTCATTAAAAGATACATTTCAGACACATTTTTGGAATCCTTTATCCCCTTCTATTTGATAATTCTCCCTCTCTTCGATAATTCCTTTTAATACAGAAAATCAGACTTGATTTTAAAGGTGACTCAGCTGTCTGGTGTTCGTCATGTCTTGTTGAACAGAGGTTATTTTTACCCACACTCTTCAGATCTCAAGTGTCACCCAGCAGCCCTGACTGTACTGGGAGCTGGGCTGATTAGAACTGCCAAATCGGACTCCACCGCAGAGGCGATAATTGCATTATATGCTTAAGGAGGTTTTGGCGGGGGAAAATCAATATACCACATTCTTTCCTTCAGATTTCTGCTTGGGTGAACACATGGTTGATGTTTTTAGTAACACTTTCAGGCTTCTTCGATATTGTGGTTTATGAAAAGTTTCTGTTAACAAGTAGGAAGGGATATAAAATACTGCTACAGAGTGAAAAACAATCAATCACCACCCCCTGCAACAAGCCTCAGTTGAACACAGCTAAAGCTGTGTTTAGCTAAACAATATGTTCGAACAAAACACAAAACATTTGAGCCAAACTTAACAGAAACTATGGATAAAAGTAGCAGAAGGAGTGGAAAGCAGCATGTATGATTTTTTTTTTTTTACTAAAAAAATTTTCATACCTTTGACATTATCAGGAAGAGATTTCAGATTTAGGAAAATGTTGCCCTCCAATGTAAAAACTTCTTGTTTAAATTGTATTATGGACATTCACTGGACAAAAGGCTTGGTAGTACCAGTGAAAATAAAAGCAGTCTCAGTTTCTGTTGTTTCCCACATCTTTTCAGCCCATACCACTCCTCTGCTTAGCTGAGTGAAAGATTTCCCTCAGTTTTGATTTTAAATTCCCGTATAATCTAATACATACTTGGATATTGTTTGTAGGATGGGGATTCTAAGGGACATATGTAATGTGTGCTTTCTAGGGCAAAACACTGTAATTTACAAATTGAAAATAGCAAAGCTGTGTTCTTGCAGTATTTCATTCAGAAGGAAAGTGAAAGGATACTGACAGGTTGTTTCTTGGCTGAAGAGGGATGTTTATGTTTTGTAGTAGGTTGATTTTGTGACTTACTTTATTAGGTTATTGATGTATTGCCTAAGTGAGCCTCTTTCTCTTGAGGTACCTGCCTCTTTTTGAAAGAAGATACACTGTTGGCCCTGTAATAATGGTCAAGAATTAAAAAAAAACCCAAAAAACAAAAAACCACTCTTGGTTTTTTTAGCTGTGCTAAAATTCCAGATTGCTGTTTTGCTGGAGGAGTTTTTTTCACTTGTAAGAATATTTCTCAGTATTTCCTCACATCTTCTCAATTTGCCATTTTAAAATATGCTCCTTGCTACAGTTTAACTTCAGCATGTCATGTCATACCTGGGCATGCAGCAGCTCTACAGTCAAGTGTCTTTAGCTGTATTAACTGTATATTAATCCTTTTTCTGTAGGGATGTGTTGTGATCTTTAAAATACACTGAAAACCATCAGACCTGGGAGTGTTGGGGTACAGAATAATGTTATTATTGTAGAGAAAGATGCTGCAGCAAATTTGCAAGGACCAGGCAGAGTGGAATGGTCAAAATCAGAGCTTTTCCTGTCAGGGGGTGCCAAGGAAAATGAGATGCTGGGAGTGAGCAGCTCCCTCTTCTACTTCCAAAGCTTAATGTGGCAGTGAGATGTGGCTTTTGCAGCCCTGTTTGTCACTCTGTCAGTTTTGTCATCTTCTCTGGATATAGTGCATCTTCCAGTGGATATAGGCAGCTTGAGTGATTGTTCTCAAAACCAGTTGAGGTTCCTTTTCCATGAGGTTTAAATCTTCCTTGGATGGAGATCTGAGAACAATGTCACCTTTGTGCTGCAGTGAGGGTCATTAGCTGAGAGACTTCAGAAGTGAGAGCTAGAAGTACAAGTGGCTATTTAGTGTATTTGTTCCACGTGGATTAACTGTATCGTGGTGATCTTGTCATAAAGGTGGCATTGTTAGAAATATAAACAGATGAGAAATTAATGTCTTTAGATTTGGCCTTCTTCCAACGGAACATACTGGGGTTGGTCCCTGGAAAGTTGGCAGGAGCAGGAGGCAAATTTATTTGCACTTAAGAGACCTAGTGACACTTTTTAGTTTACTTGGCTCATATGAAAATATGCCATTTATGTTTTTCATTTTAATTACTTTTTTTTTTTTTTTTTTGATGTCTTCTAGCAAAACTGTGTTTCTCTGATGAAGGATCCTCCTCCAGTTAGCCATTCCTTTGTATAGGAATTGAGGAGGGAAGGCAGGCTGCTCAAAACACAAGCCTGGCCTAGTGCTGAGTATTGCTTCCTCCAGGGACTTACCCTGCAACTTGGCTGGCAAAGTCCTGCACTTCTCATTATTCAGACCTGCAGAGGTGCAGTCATGCTTCCTGGTGACTTTTCCCACATCTCCAACACTGTGCTGTAGGTTTCTTCTCTCTTTTTTTGTCCACTGTGACCTCTCTTCCTCTTTTGGTGGATGAGCCTGACTTTGTGTTCAGTAGAATGCAGAAGATATGAAGGTTGCCTTAAATAATCTTTTGTTGTACTATTATTTTTTTTTAGAGGGATAGTACTCAGCTTTGGAAATTCCACATTTTAATGTGATCCTGGTCTCAAAGACATCTGATCATTTATCACAGAACTGTAGAATCATAGAATATGCTGAGTTGGAAAAGACCCATGAGGATCATTGAGTCCAGCTCCTGGCCTTGCATAAGACACCCCAACAATCCCACTATGTCCAAACACTTCTTCAGCTCTGTCAGGTTTGGTGCTGGGACCACTTCCCTGGGGAGCCTGTTCCAGTGTCCAGCCACCCTCTGGGTGAAAAACCTTTCCCTAATATCCAACCTAAACCTCCCCTGAGACAGCTCCATGCCATTCTCTCCATTCCTGCCAATGGTTGTGAGAGTGACACATCTGGGGGAGAGACAACAGCTGGAAAGGGGATACAAACTGGAGCATAAAAAGGGCTTAATGTGAGCTGTGGATGCTGCACGTGGATGTGCCCTGAAACCTTCCCCACGAAGGGCATTGGTGACAACCCAGCCCAGCTCATGAGCCTGACACGGTGACAGGACCAGGCAGAGTGCAGGACTGTGTTTGTTTGAGCAGCTGAAAGTTTGGCTTTGCTCTGCTGGAAAACCTTGCTGCTGACAACAGCTTCCTTTGTGAATCTAGCTGACTTCATTTTTGTGGCTCGGGAGCTCTGTAATGGTTATGTTGGGACAATTTCCAGAGTCTGAGCTGAGCTGATGCTCTGCTGTTTGTTGTGCAGTTGAGACTGAAATCCTTGAGAGACTGGAGTGTGTAAGGGATATTGGTGATTGTGTTGCACAAAACATTCTAGAAATAAGCACCTCCTGTCTGGCAGTTCCTTTGGTCAATATTCCTTGAGGAAAATCAGGAAGTCACTGAGGCCCGTGTCTGTGAGGGGTAGGCTTGGATCTTGTTTCTATTGATGGAATGAGAGCAGCAGAGAAGAAACAAGAGGACTGAACACACCAAGACAAAGAGAATACTCCAGATGAGGATTTTGGCCTAGCTGCAGAATGCCCTGCAGTTACTGAGGCAGTAAATTGCTTGGTGGTGGGCGATCACCTGAAAAGTCAGAGTAGTGTGGTACTGTTGCTTGACAGGGACATGCCAAAGCTGTCACATGGGCAGGTGTTTTGCTGGCTAGAAGTGCACCAGGACACTCAGCTGGTTCACATCAGTAAACTCGCTGCTCTTCTGAAGTTAGAGAATAGTAACATCAGCAGAAGTTGTGCCTGCACTGGTTGACACATGAGAAATAACTATGGTGCCTGGGAGAACAGCCAGTGTGTATGTGAATTGTGCATTTCCTTGGGGTTGATTTAAATTTGGATCTTACTAGCCTTTTCCTCTTTGTGTGTTACTGACCATCCTGTTACCCAGAGTGGTGCTGGACTGGAATATTTTGGGTAACAGAGAGACCTGAATTCTGAGGTACCCAGAGTGTCAGAGGATAAATGCAGAGATGCAGATGAATGCTGGAGCTCTGCTGACATGCTGTGGAACCATCAGTTTTCCTCTCAGTCTTCTCCCCAGCTTCTCTGTTCTGGAAGCACAGCACTATTTTTGTGACCAACAGAGCTGTACAGCTAAGGTTCTGCACAAAGCAAAATCCCCACATCTCAGGTGCTGTGGAAGCAGTGCAGGTGGCACTGCTGGGGCTGCACTGTTGGGCTGCAGCTTGGCAATCAGCCCTGCTGGATCTCAGGCACCCCTGCCAGTGGCTCACACAGCCTACACCTGGATAAGCTGCCCCAAACAGTGGTGAGGGATGGGTAGAGGTTCTCTTTTCCTGGTTGCAGGTTAGAAGTACTCCTGACCCAGCATTAGTTTTGCCATTGTATTTGCTCACTAACTGTGAAGCCTTTATCCTGCCTGTACATGTCACTTGTCCAAGACACTGCTTTGGAATTCATGTGCACTGCTCTGGAATTCATATGCACTGCTCTGGATCCACCTGTGATTTATAGGTGGGCGTGAGCAGTCCATGCACCTCTCAGAGTGGAGGTTTGGGTTTGGTTTAGTGGCTGACTGGCCCATACAGCTTTTTTCTTCCCAGGAAATGTTCTAAGTGCTGTACTGGATTGGCCTTGTGCATGTGCCCATTCAGGAGCTACAACAGAGGTACCAGGAATCTGTTAAGCAATTGGGAATTAATTTGCTGTGGGGAAATGTCCAGTGCTATCCAGTGCTGTACAGTGCTTTTGTAAAGGAAGAGCAGGGGAAGGATTTCTTTTGCACTTAAAGTTAACAGTCCAATTACTGGGCCCTGTAATTTATTTCCTACTTCCACATCCTTTGTCCCTTCTTTCTCTGCCCAGCCCAGGTCTTCTTTTCCCATCTCTCATCTTTCACCAGTTCCAGTAGTACATGGCTCCTCTTCACTGCTTGTGTGTATTTTGGCATTAATGTTTGTGTATGTCAGTCTCCTTCCATTATTCTGATTCTGTTGCTTCTCCCTCTGATCCTTTTTTTACCTGATGCCCAATTTTACCGTCTTATTATTCATTCCTTTTCTGCTTTCCTTTAGTCACCATTACTTTCCTGTCACCTTTGGGTGACAGAGGGCAGTTGTCTAAAAGGCAGACTCACACCACTGTTCATATCCCATGTTTCTTTTGAATGTGACTAGATATATTCTTGGCCTTAGCACACTTTTTTTTTGTGTTGGTTCCCCCACCCCAGAAATTACTACATTTACTGCAGTGGAAACTTTAAAATGAACTTTTTGTTTGCTGGAGCCATGTCTATGTCCAGTTGTGCTCAGTTGCTGTGGTTTTTTTTTTTTTTTCCTTGTTTAATGTAGGTAATACTGGTAAGAAATTACTACATTTACTGCAGTGGAAACTTTAAAATGAACTTTTTGTTTGCTGGAGCCATGTCTATATCCAGTTGTGCTCAGTTGCTGTGTTTGTTTTTTTTTTTTTTCCTTGTTTAATGTAGGTAATACTGGTACATGACAGAGAGACAGGCTTTCTTTTTATTCTTCATTGTAAATTATTGTGTGTTGTTGAGATGAATATTAAGTGCCAAAACATCTGTTGTTCTTTTTCAGCCTGTCCTGAAATAAAATATGTGTCATTTAGTTAGACTGTTGTGGGATCCAGTGCAGTGTGTGTTTGTTAGGGACGGTCCTGTAACTTTTTCAAATACATTAAAGATTGGATTGTAGTTATACAAGCAAGACTCTTATGACCACAGCCAGATTAATTTATGGTGATTCCTGGTGAACAGACACCCTGAGCAGAGCCTGTAGCAGTTCTGTATGGGCTTGAATTTTGTAGGGAAACCGTGATAGAATGCACAAAGACAGTGATCCTGTCTCATAACTGGTACATTTCATTTTATATACAAGAGGATGGATGACCTTTTAATTCTTCGTGTTTGGGTGTGCAGACTTGTGGAGACTCCAGGTGCCATTTTCCTCTCTTCTGTGATATTGTCTTAGCAAATTTTGCCATTGTTCCAGAGGATCTAAGGCAAACCCCTGTGCATGAGACACTGTCCTTGAGTCTGCAACTGTTTGCCATGTTAGGAGATCACCACAGCCCACGTGTTTGTACAAAGTCATTGTTGTCTGAGCCACTGCAGGAGTTGAAATTGCTAAACCCTAAATTTCCCTGAGGGATCTGAATGGTTTGTGAGAGTTGGTAATGGGATGGAGGTCCTTAGTTCAGTCCTGACCAGATTAGGGGTATTTGGAAGCTGTTGGTGTCTGGTGCCAGGAGCAGTGTGGAATGAGGGGTGAGCAGGACTGAGGGGGTGACCTCTCTCTCTCTTTCTCTGTCCTCATGGCTGGCACTTGTGTTTGCCTCTCACAGCTTCCTTGCTCTGCTTTTGCGTCTGAGAGGGAGCAACTGGTGCCTTTTACCTCTCTTTCCCTGGGAGTTCTCTGCCTCTTTCCTTCCTCCAAACATAAATAGGTGTCCAAATAAGTAAGAGCAGCTCTTTTAAATTTTTTTTTAAATACTTTTCTCCCTGGTATGGGCTGTATGTTTCCCTCTCTGAATTAAGCATTTGGCATACCATGAGCACCTTAGCAGCAAAGAACAGGCAGAAATACAGTGAGGAGCAATCCCTTTTCCTTCTGCTTAGAAGGTGAGAAGGCTGATCTGCTCTTGACTGCCTTCTGGGCAGTGGTGGAGCCTGACCAAGTACAAGCTTCTGCCCCAACAGTGCCTTTAGACTGGAGTGATAAGGGAAGAAAGTGTTTATTCATTGCTTTATCCTGAACTTCACACTACATGTCTGCTGTATCCTCAAGCAGGAATGAGGGGGGAAAATACCCAGCTAAAGTTCCTGGTTTTGTCTGTCAGGACAAGTTATGCTTTTCTGGTGTAGAATAGTGTCTCCAGTACTGCAGGTAAACTGCCTTCCTCCAGCATAAACTTTCACACACATCTAAAATGATTGTCAAATACAAAGATTTACATGCCACAGATGATGTAAAATATCATTCCTTCCAGAATTGTTTGTCTGCTCAGTGGGGTTAAATTTACCAGCACAAAGCTTGTCTTAGATCACAGTAGAGTGTTTTTTGAGCACCAAACAGGGGCCTAATCCTTTACTCAGCCATCTACAAAGGTGTTTTTTTCACACAGGCTTCTGTTTTACTTTGACCTTTTGGGCTTTTGAACAGTCTGTCCACTTCTTTCCAAGCTGTGGGAGAGAACACTCTGCCTGTACTCTCTTGGAGAAACATCTGTTTTGTTAGTAACCACAACCAACTTACTCAGACTCTACATTTAGCTCCTATACTGAAAGTGTCAGATTGTTGTCATAGGCTGCCTCAGAAACGGTTCAGTGGTCTCTTGGATTCCCTCCAGAAAAAGAGAGAATGATCTCCAAGAAAACAAAACTTTAAACAAAGTTCCTGAGACCCTAGAGTGACAACACTGTATATTTTTATTTTGACTGGGTACCTCTAGGATCCTCTTCTAGAGGACACATCTGTGACTTTCCCACAGAAAGAGGGAATGCAGAAGGATTTGGAATGCAGGATAGAAGAGCAGGCAGCATGCATGTGTCTAATATTACTTGCTTCAGGAGATAATGATCCTTACTTTCATATATATATATTTATAATTTACTTCTGAGGTGCCTATGAATGAGTGTAGTTCATGTTGTTCTTTGGGGAATTTAACACAAGATGTCCTGTGCTATGCAATACCACAAACATGCTCACAATGGAAGGAAGGTCACAGAGCTTCTGAAAGGCTCAATCTTTGTTCTGCACCACCTACTCAAAACAATACATGTTAGAGGGCTTGGAAAAATTGATCCAACACCAATGAGCAGATGACTGAAAGTCCTCCTGGCAGTCTGATGTAGGAGAGATCTTAGAGTGGTGCTAAAATTGAGCAAGACTCTGGTAACAGCCAGCATCAACACCCAGTTTTAGGGAGAGCAAAAGTGATGCCAGGTTATGTTACTGAAATGTCAGCATTTGTGATCAGCACCAGGAGTATATATCTTTATATTGCCTTTGTAATGCCCTTGTCTCCAAGCTCTGTATTGCATGAATGGAGAAGAACCCTGATAGATATTGAAGAATGCACACAAAGCACTGGTCAAGTTTTTGTTAGCCAGTTTTAAGGGCTGTGAGGTCGCTTGAGATCTTTTTTCTCAGACAAGATTGTGATCAGTTGTAGAAGTTGTGTGAGAGTCCCTGGACCATCAGCTCTGCTGTGCCTCTGGTTTGGGATCATGTTCTTGCAATCAAATGCCCATAAGAAATTCTGCTATTTTAAATAATTGCTCATGCTTATTTCTATGCTTTACAAATTTCTGTGCCTATGAACCTCTGTGGGTTGGGCACTCAAGTGGAATTTTTCAAGACTAACTTCTAGACTTCCGATTTGGACATTCACTAATCTGTATTTGCAAGGTAACTCATTTCAAAGAGTTTCTGTAGGCTGTGGGGTGATGTGTTATGATATATGATATGATGGGGAAGTTTCTTAGGGGACTGATAGTGTAAACACCATAATATGCTATGAAAGCCATATTTTAAGTGTGTGCCTGATAACAGAAAGGTTCTGCAATTCTTGGTTTTTTGGTTGTTTTTTTTTTTTCTGTGTGCTGGGTCCTTCCTGGCCTTCCCTTCTGTAAGTGTTTGTGCCATTCCTTGCAGGATTCAGAAGGAGGTCTCTACGTGTGCATGAACACGTTTCTGGGATTTGGAAGGGAGCACATCGAACGGCATTACCGGAAGACGGGACAGTGTGTCTACCTGCACCTGAAACGGCACGTGAGAGAGGTGAGACCTGTGCCTGCCCAGAGCCACCCCAGCACTTCTCCTGCCTCTTGTGCTCATTTGGGTAATGCATTGCAGGCACACACCAAGTCCTGAGTGATTGAAATGCACAGGTTCAGATTTGGGGCTGGATGTCAAATCCAGGTGCTCGGATCCCAACCAATCCTACAGCTTCAGTTCCGAGATGAATCAAAGAGTCAGACCTTAAAGGCAGCTCCTTCCTGACTTTCACTGATGTTTTTCACTTCTCATTTCTGTGTATCACATACATGTTGTCTGCATGTTATGTGCACATTGTACATAGCTAAATATTTTCTGAAGCCTGCCTTTTAAGTGTACAGTTACTGGGTTTGGCTCAGATTTGTCTGAAAGCTGCTGATTTCTATTTTTCAGATGAGGTTTCATCTCAGGGTGAAAGGACTCCTTTTCGTACCAAGATTCCTGTACAGTTAAACCTTGACCTAGTCTGGGATCTTAAGCTTAGCTTAGATTAGTGCTGGATTCTAGAGACACACACTGGCCCTCACTTAGCCTTTCCTCACACATGGGTGTGCACGTACAGCCTGATGTTCACTGCTCTCCCATACCATCACTGCCTATCAGCAGTCACTTATAACCTGTGCTTTATAACCTCTGCTTGTCTGTGGTTTGTCTGGCATCTTTAAAAGACTCTTAATTACTTCTGACCTGAGCTATAAGGAAGGCACTGGGTTTGCTTATAGCTCACTCTCTCATAAGCTCTGTCTCTGTTGGCAAGTTAAAATAACTGCTTGGAGTGGGTTGGAATCCTTGTTTCTCATTCTGCAGCAAGGCTTCCCCTGGGTGATGAAGGCCTTGAGTTATATAAAGTGCCCTGACCACTTACCTCATTTCCAGTAGAGGAGTGTTCATATTTTATCAGAATTACAGTGAGGTCGATTGCATGTCTTCCAGGATGAGATGGTAAATGATGTTTGTTATACTTTAGAATTGCCTTTCCTTCTGAGGGCAATACCAACATTTTCCTTCACTATGTCAACTGTTTTTGCAGAGCCTGCTCTGGTATTAGCAATGGTTTTTCTGACTGAATTTAACACTCCTGAAACTCTCCTATTTAGAGACAGGTGGGCAGAAATCCTGTCAGCTTTCCTTGTATATTAATTTTTTTCCATAAATTAAACTGGGGTTGAAATGAGAACTCAAAAATTCCTTTCCTGACAAAGATTAGGCTGAAGAACTCCAAAATGGAGAAAAAATACCCGATCTGTTGTTTGGTGTTGCAAATCCCTTTGATTGAAGAAGTTCAGTGGTTCCTGTTTTTCTCTGGGTGAATCATGATGTAGCAGAGGGGTTGGCTCTATGCTGGAAGGTGGCAACACACTGGTTCTCTGGCTCATGTGGCAGGAAACAGGGTTTGACTACACAGTGCAGGTGAATATTGCATCATCTAATAGGGCTCATAGCCAGGATTCCTCATATATTAGCTGTGGATTTCTTTTTTTTTGCCATGACTGTTTGCTTCTTGAGTGCTGTCCATGTTTTCCTTTGAGCAATGTGAAACATCAAGTGTTTTATTAAGTGTCTGGCACATGCTGCATTGTGGTTTTGGTTTTGGAAGCCAAGCTTTTAATGGTGTAGGATACAGTAAAGCCAAAGGCATTGGATGTGCTATCTTAAGATTCTTATAGTGAGGCTGCTATTCCTGCCTGTGGTTCCCTTGGCATCATCCTTGCAGAATGCACTGCATTGCTGCAGAAATCCCGGGTTGCTTCCCAAGATGTTTGGAATAAATGTCATTTGTGTATCTTGTCACAATTCAGTTAGAAAATAAGGGTCACATCTTCAGCCTGCTGGCTCAAGTGGAGCTGGAGCATCTGCCCGTGGCAGCTCAGCACCAGAGGCCTCTGCTGAATCATCAGAGATGGGCACAAATGCAAGTTATGGAGCACCCCTGGTAAAATTCTTACTAAATAAAGGAAATTGATTTTTATTTTTCCTTTTCCACAGAGTTGCATTCTTCAGAATTTTTAAATCAGCCTCTTCCCTGTAGTGCATGACTTTACACAACTCTGGGTGCTGTTCGTTTCCAGGCAGATCTTCAGCTTGGTGCTGTAGTGATGCCTCAGCCCTGTTGAAAACCCTGGGCAGAGAAGCACAAAGCTTTCCTGCAGGGATAGGTTTCTGGATGCTATCCAGGGATATTTGTGTTATAAAAAGTGAGAGACAGCAGAACAGGCTGCACTGTCACCTTGTCCAAGGAGCATCACAAATGGAATTTAATGCCACTGCTGATGCCTCATGTCACTCCCATGTGTTGGGTGTGTCACATCTGTTAGAAACAAAAATGGGTTTGTGAATGGGGAATGTTTTCAGTGATTTCTGACAAGGTAAAAAAAAAGACTCTTAGGTTGTGGGTGTTTCAGGAGTATTGAGCAGCTTTGATTCTGATGTATTTGTATTTGGAAAAATCAAGCTGAAATCATTGTCAGCCTGAGTTAAATATAAGCACTCTATATGAATTCTTTCTCTTTGCAATCTCCAGTCTTAATGACTTTCACAATATCACACTTGGTGACACCAGAATTCAATTGGAGTTTCCTAGTATTGGAAAAAATGTTTTTTTTAGTTCTGGAAATATAGTCCTTGGAGAATGTGTAATTTATTCATAATGTATTTTCAATTGGATTATGTTGTTTCTTGCTACTGCTTTTAAAAAAAAGATTTAAAATACATTTAAGATATATTCCTGGCTACTTCCTTCCCACTTGTTAAATTCCAGTAGCATTATAGAAAGAAACGTTCTGCATGTTATTTTCAGTTCATTGAGGAATTTTTATTTTTATTTGAACTGCTGGAGTTGCAACCTGACTTTTCCCTAGGGCTTTTCTGTGTGGATAATGGATTCTGTTCTCAAATGCAGCCAAGGGGCATTTGTCAGCATCTGCTCTTTCTAAGAATGGAAAATTTTCCTATGATGTATAAGACCTCACTGATGATTAAAGCAGTTTGCTTAGGCCAGAGCTTTAATTTACGTGGTGAAGGGAACCACCCAAAATATGTGACCCTTTTGCCTGCGAAGGGGCAGAGGCAAACATGAACTTTCCCTGTAGGCTGACAGGTTCTTGGCTGCTTTCTCTCCACCTGTTGTATCCCAATATTATTATTTAAAAAAAAAAAAAAAAAAAAGTTGCCTAACAACCTTGCCAGTTACACTAACATTACACACTACATCATGCATCATGTTGGCACCAAATAGCCACAGAGGCTTTTTTGATTTAATTTGATTTAATTTGATTTATACATGAAGTTTAATAAACAGCTTAAGGAGTAAGTGCATTGACTTTGACATTTCCTCAGTTAGTTGCGTTTCCCCTTGTAGTCTGAGGTATTCTGAACTGGAAAAGTAATGAAACTTAATCTCATTTGGAATTTACTGTTTTCTGGTATGGTGCTTAAATTAAAAAATACAATCAAATCCCCCAGTAAACAATTGCTTGAATGTTGTCGAGTTTCCTCCATATTATCTAATATTTAGAAAACACGGTGGTAATTTGGATTAATGGAAGCAGGTGTAGATTCTGACGGAAAGGGCATTTTTTTCTATATAGAAGAAAATGAACCTAACTAACAGATCAAAGCAAAGTGGTCCTACTGGAATTAGTTATGAAGGGTTGAAGAATCCTTTATGCAGATAATCGCCTTTTCTTCTCTCTAACTCAGCTTTAGTCATTAAGAAATGCTGTTGGGGAGATACTCTAGTGGGGAGAGGTTTGAGAGGTGCTGGGTGTCTCTGCCTTGGTGACAGAAGAGCTGCCACCCGTGGTGGCTGTGGGACACCCTCTGATCCATTGCCAGCAAGCCAAGAGTGAAGGACTCAGGTGGAGGCTCCCTCTCTCCGTGGGATGCTGGGCACTGATGAGTGCCAGGGTCAGAGGAGAGCAAGGAGCATTTACATCCTTGCTCACCAAGGACTGGGGTTTGATGGGAGGGGTGGAGGCAGATTTACTGTTGTCTCACTTGATGGATTTTTAATTGTTTCTTTCTCTCTTTCCAGAAGGTACCAGGAGCATCTGGTGGAGCTTTACCCAAAAGGAGGAATGCTAAGCTATTTTTAGGTATTGTGAGCAGCTGCTTTCACACAGTCCTTCTCTGACCCTGTCTGCATGTGGACTTGGGTTCTGCCCACCATTGTGTCTGGCTCTGGGGCTCCTTTTGGGTTTTCATTTCCTGCTGTTTGTTTTGGTTTTCTTTTTAACTTCTGGTTCTAGATTATAAATGTTTTCCAGGCAAATAAGTAATTCTTAACCATTTTGGTGCATACCGAAAGATGTGTGTATATATATATACATGAAACATTTTAATGTAAAATAGATCCTGAACTACTCTGAAACAGCATAGGCTGTGAAAGGTACTTTTTTACTAATTCTGTCCATTCTCTCTCTGTAATTTCCACAAAGCACTCTATAATGAGAATGCTGACCCATACTTAATGTTTAGATATATTAGGGCCTCAGTGAGGCTCTGTTCTGCTCAGCAGCTGGTCATAGCAAGGGTTGTTACCATTTTAAAGTTGTTACACAGGTAAATGTTCTTCAGTGATGTTGTGATCTCTCCTCTAATGAATGAAACTGCACATACATCATGAGCATCTCTAATTCTATTATGTCCAAAATTCTATTCCCTTGCTTCATGGAAAGCAGTTTTCTTACCATGCCCATATTATCCAAAATCCATTTATTCAGATTACCCAGAAAACCTGAGGGATTCATAAATATGGATGAGGAGAATGTGATGGAAAGCCTGGATTCTCTCTTCTCCCACAGCTTGTGGTGTTTCTCCAATTCATCTATTATTTATTGTCTCTGTATTAATAGTGAATAGTGAATTTTTCTTCAGGTAACGAAAAGGTGAAATGTTTTCTTTACAGCTCTTATGGCTAAAGAGAAGCAATAGAATGACCTTCTGTTGGAATTGCTTTGGTCGGTGGAATGTGTCCCTAAGAGGCCTTTGCAGATTAAATTGTTGTTTTTAATATAAGTTAGTCTTGCAAGGAGGACTGAGAAAAAAAAAAAAGTCTGAAAATGAGTCATAAAAAAGTTAAACTTGTAGGAAGAGATTGTTACATCGCAGATGCTGCTCTAAATGCCATTTACTGCCAGATTACATTGAAAATCATGATTTCCACTGGCTGCTTGTAGAATAATTGGTTCAGAAACAAAGCTTGCTGCACTGCAGCAGTGGTTGTACAGTGTTAGCAATGTGAGTGTAAATACAAAGTACAAAAGCACATTCAGATTTTGTTCTTGCTGATATTCTGCATACACCTGAAGGCTCCTGTCACTGAGCTGTGCCAGCACACAGGGTACTGGCAGAGTGTCTCTGATGTGCCACACTGAAATCTTCAAATTCCACCCTTGTGCATGAGCATTTTGTGCCCTCTGAGTAGGTCTTGAGCAGCAGTTCCAAGGGAGCTCCTGAGGGCAGTGCAGTTTTACTGGGGTGGGTTTAGGACATGGATCTATCACCATTTCATCCAGCACTCTGGAATCTAATGCACTTTTGAAAATGTGTCTCATCTGGTCTGTTATTCTACTGCAGTCTCCATTGCAGCCCCTGCTGGCTGGGAGTAAACTGGTATCAGGTCTGCTCTGTTCCTGGAGGCAGTACTGCCGTGCTTCCAAATGCATTGTGTCCACTTCTTTGGATCAGCAAATGTTACTGGTTTTGGCCATGCTTAAAGCAAAGAACAAAGAATTATTCCTGTTCACAGCTGAAAGCACAGAGAGGTAACTGATTTGATCATTTTGCGTGTGACAGCAGTAGAGGTCGTTAGCAAAATTTGGTGTTTTATCTCTTAATCCAATGTATTTTTCATTGATTCAGAGCTGCTGATCTCATCTAAACAGGTTGTTTTAATTCTGTCTTTCTCCTTGTGACCTTGGGCACTATCACAGAATGGTTGGGGTTGGAAGAGACCTCTGGAGATCATCAAGTCCAATCCCCTGCTGGAGCAGATTCATGTAGAACAGGCTGCACATGATCCTGTCTAGGCGTATTTTTAATATCTCTAGAGAAGGACACTCCATGAGCTCTCCTGGCAGTCTGTTCCAGTGCTCTGTCACCCTCAAAGTAAGGAAGCTTTTCTTCATATTGAGGTGTAACTTCCCATATTTCAGTGCCTTATCCTGTCACTGGGCGTTGCTGGAGGGAAGCTGGCCCCATCTTCTTGACACCTGCCCTGAAGATATTTCTGTGCCCTGATAAGATCTCCTTTCAGTCTCTTTCCAGGCTGAACAGGCCCAGCTTGTCCCGTGAGAGAGATGCTTCAGTCCCCTAATTATCTTTGTAGCCCTCCAGTGGACCCTCTGCATTAATTCCTTGTCTTTCTTGGGCTGGGGAGCCCAGGACTGATGGAATACTCCAGGTACAGCCCCACCAGGGCAGAGTAGAGGAGGAGGATGATCTCTCTTTTGATCTGCTGGCCACATTGTTCTTAATGCCCCCAGAATACCTCTGGCCTTCTTAAAGGACACAAGGGCACATTGCTGGCCCATGGTGAATTGATCCTGGCTGGTACTACCCAGGTATGTGACCTGCCAGGTAGGGCTTGCCTTGGCAGACAAAACCAGACAAGGATCAGTGGCAAGCTCCAGCATTCCTCTGTTTCTGCATGTCTATCAATAATTCTCTGAAGGCCCAGAGATTTAAGCTTTGTGTACAAAGTCAATCCAGTTTGGGCATTTGTTACATTGCTTGTTATAATCCTCTTTGATGTAAAACTATTAAAGATACTAAACCCTTTTCAATCTCCTTAGTATTAGGAAAACATCTTTTGGATGCTCACTGATTAGTTTCTAGCACTGCTGCTATCTAGTAAATGCAATAGAAACATAGGCTGCTTGGGCCAGTCAGCTGCAATATTTATCTTTCCCTAAACATGGAAAGATTCACAGCAAAGTGTGTGTGCCTTGCACATGTGCATCAGGTTCTGGGCACGTTTTGGTTTGGTTTTCTTTGGAGAAGGCTGAAGGGTGTTGGCTATGAGTGTTGTGTGTAATCAGGAAGCATAACAGCATTGTTTATTGAAATGTGTGAACTGCCTTTAATCTGGCTGGTTTAGGTGTTGCTAGACAGTGTGGACATGACAGCTTCAGCTCAGGCTGTGCAATGTTTCAGGGAATTTGGGGTGATATTGAAAGCAGACTGTCCTAGTGCCTTATGTGTGAATAAGAAAAACTCGGTTAATGGGTGTACTGTGATCATCCTTATGAGCTTCTGGTCAAAAGGGGTAGCAGAATTAGGGGGAAGATTATTATGCTGAAGGGATTGGAGGTCCAGTTTTTACTATAATTACCAGCAGAGTCCCCCTGAACATGTTATCCCAGGAGTTACCAGCAGAGTCTTTCAGAATGTTCTAATTATGAAGAATTAATGCAATATAAATAGTCTGGAAAGGGCTTGAAGAAACTGAGTTTGCTGGTTGATTTAAAATTACCTAGAGTTAAATCTAAAAATGATTTTTAAGGTGTTACTGAGTAACTAAACAATAGATGAAGTAGTTGAAAGGTGCAAAGAGTACAAGAGAGGTGCTTGGACTGTGTGTGCACAGGGATGTGGTCCCAGTTGCTGTTGCTGCTCAGAGAGGTGGTTCTGAGAGAGGGATGGGGTGAATGGTTCTCTGAAATGTCAGCTCAGTTGTCAGCAGCAGTGGGAGATTTAAGTGGAACACCACTAAAACACTTTATATTTTGTTCTCTATAATTTTGCTTTATAAAGTGAACCTCTCTTTTGAATAGAGAAACTGCATCTACACACAGTATCTCCCCCTATTTCCTTCTCCAAAACCAACTAGCAAGCACCATTCCCCCTGACCCCCAGCAAGCAAAACACCTCAGGTAGATATTTGAACTCTGCCTTGAGGGAACAATCACCCCATTTTTGCCTGGTTCTGGTGCCCTCCTCCTGAGCATCTGTTGATCCATGCCAGAGCCTGGACTGCTGGCTATACAGAGCTGGCAGAGTGACTGTCATAAAACTTGTCCCTAGACAGATGTCCTGTCTCAGATTGGTTACCAGAGCATCATCTGCCACTGCAGCAAGCTGTGGCAGCTCTGTTTTGAGCAAAGTCAGGGCTAACTCAGACCATCAATTAAAAGTGTTTTGAAGTCCTCAGATGAACAGCTCTGTCAGCAGATCTGTGATTGCTGCTGGGAAGAGTATCTGTAACACACAGCAAGTCTCAGGACACCTTGGAAAGGAAAACTTCCACTTGGAGAGTCTGGGAGAACTTGTAAACTTGCTGAGCTTTTCCTGGATGGCACCTCCCTGCTGATGGACTCATGATTACTGTTTCCAAGTGTAAAGACTACTCCTAAGAGTGGCTGTGCTGGATTTGACCACAGCTTCACTCTGTCTCTGCCAGGAGCAGAACCGTGTTTGCAGTAAGGATGTTTTTGTTTGCAGAGCTTCTGAAGAGCTCTGGTTAAAGTTTATATTTATGTGAGTAAGCAGAAATAGAGTATCTATATCTGTGAATGAAAAGTTGTAATGCAGGAGAATTTAAGCATTTCCTGGTAATATTTTTGCAATTTAGCCCAATAAAATAATGCATATTTCCCAGCAGCAGCAGTAGAACTGGGTGGCTTTTTAGCTTTGCCATATATGCTTGAATTGAGTACAAAATGGTGAGAAGATACCTTACTCTAATAGAGTATTAATAGTTTGCTGGTTTGGGTAGAACTGTGAAAATGATACTAGGTGAACACAGGCTAATGCTGCTGTCAAAACAATTCTGAATTTGAATTTTCATGGTTTAGTTTTGCTTGTTTAACATGTGACTGTGCCAGAAGTGCAAGGGATGAGGTCTTACCTAGCAATAGGAACAACATAACAATGCTTTGGAGATATAGCAAGCAATTTGAATGTTCTTTTACAAGTAGTGAATCAGCCAAATGATCCTTGTAGAAAGTTTTACTTTTCATTTTTCTGCAAAGGAAAATGTTATGACTGGAAAAAAAAAATTAAAAAAAGTCTTCTGTTTTATAATTCATCTGATGAAGCTAATATTCAAAACAAATTAACTGAGTAAAACAAATACCTGAAAACAAATTAACTGAGTAGCTTATAGTTTGCAAAGTGCTGCTGATGCAATTCACTGTTACTTAGAGGCGGGAAGAAATAATTTGATTTAAAGACCCAGGTTTCCCAAGTCAGTATGAATTTGTCTATTGCTTTTAGCAAGAGCAGGATCAAGACCAGATTCCTAAGATGTCTTTGTAGGGTTTCAAAATTAGTTGTAGACTTGCTAGTCAACACCCTCATTCAATTTTCACGTTTGCATTCCCTTTCACACGCGCACAGGCACATCCACATGCGCAGGAAATCCTGTTTGGGGGTCCTGTCTGGAGTCTTTTATGCCCCTATTATTAGTGCAGTCAGTTGGTAACTTGTCTAAATCTGATCTGGACACATCCACTCCTTCTCTTCCCCTCTGCTGGGTTGGTTTACATTACAGTAGTTTCTCTCCCAGCTGCTGTTTTCAGTCAGTTCAGCAGCAGCACATTCTCACCGTCACTCAGTGATGCCTTGTGAGGTGCAGTAAATTTACTCTACTGACCACTCACCCAAAATATCAGCGCCAGTTGAGCCTCTGCTTTGAGGTGTCTGCTGCTTTGCTTTGCCTGCCCTTCCAACACAACACTTACAACCTATGGATATTTGGTTTTGGTGGCCAAAGAGCTGAACTGAGGCTCTCAGGAGGCACCAGAAAGTTGTTACTCCACTGGAAGGGAAACAGTGTCCTGTGGGCCTTGACCATCAAGCTGTCACTCCTTGGAAGGATTACAAACTGGCTGGTTGTCTTGTGGCTCAGTCTCAAAACTGAGTAAAGCCCTTTTATTTACCTTTTACTCACAGTGCATCTTGGAAGAACATCCTTGATCAAGAAACCACTTTGGATGAAGTATAGTGCTTAAAAGTTCATGCTTTTTGGTCTTTAGTGGTAGAGTAATTTTTAATCAAATATGCTCCTTTTGCATGTAGATTTCATCCCACTCCTTTTTGCTGTAGTTACTTTCAGTCCTCCCTAAAATTCTGCACTAGAAACCATCTGCAGACTACATATGATACCTGGTGGCTTCAGGGTCAAATTCTGTCTGTATTTAGTGTGGGCTCCATTGCCTTCTGAAGTCACAGTCATCTGTTGTTGTTTATTTCTGCCCTCATGCTATCTCAGCCTTGCTGGCCCTTGCACAGGCAAAGAAAATATAATGCAGGTATAATTTCTTATCAAATTTAACAGCTATGTCTCTCAAGCCAAGATTTAAAAATCTAAGGGTGATCTGGATGTTTTCAGGTGACATCATTAAGGGGTCCCTCTGAATGTCCCAAAAAGGGATTCATTTATATGGTCACCTGCTCTGTATGGAGGGATTTCAGTCTGTGACCCTAGAATTCCATTCCACTCTTATGTACTGGGTCTGGACAGTCTGAGAAACTGTCTTCAGAGTGATAAGGCAGTGTCTTTCAATTCCTAGCCAGAGGGAGTAGATGTTGGGTGGAAGTGTACCAGTTTTAGTTGGTCACCTTCAAAAGGGGAATTTTAAATCCTCATGGTGTTTCCCAGGACTGTTAGGAAGCTTTGTGTCTCCTTTAAAATAACAAGTGGGTGCTGCCATATCGGTGTGTCAGGCAGAAAGAGTTCCATGCTGGTGGGACACTGTTTTCTGCTTTTCTGCTGGTATGAATGGCATGAAGTTTGAGCAATAAAAAGGAAATTCCCTTCCCTGCCCATTGCACACAGGAGGCTGGTGCTCCTAAGCATGTGAAGTCCTTAGATGCCAGCAGATGATTGCTAATAGGATCCCCTGTCTTTCATCCCTGGATCATTGGTTCAGATGCAGGTCAGGCCGGCAGCACTGCAGTCTCTGCTGTTTGGCTGCTGTCTGCCTGGGGAGATGACCTGCAGTGTGTGTCTGAATTTTGAACACAGAACACCATGGCATTGCTCTTTCTATAAGGGTCTTGCAGGTGCTTTAAGTTAATGTCCAGAGCACAAGGCAGTGAAGATCAGCGGGTGTCACACACGTTCCCAGAGCCCAGAGCTGTGAGCTGGTGCCAGGTTCCCTCTGGTGGCTGAGGCACTGTGTGACCACAGCCCTGCAAGAGCTTCCCCTGCCTCCAAACCTGAGCTTTTATCCTCTCTGAGGAACCTCTCTCCTGTTTAGGAGGTGGTCAGTACTTTTGGCTTTGTTGTGCTGGCCACCACCAAATTTCTGGCATTAAGTGAAAATCCCCTGAGATGTGTTGCTGTGTGCACCATCAGCCTGGAGACCCTCAGTTTCTTTGTTCCACAGAGCAGAAGAGCTGTTAAAAACTGCAGCTGTGGAGATTCACTCCTGTATCAAACACAGGACTGAAATAAAAACTGAGAAAAAAGCCTGGAGTAAAGTGAGGGATCATTACGGAAATGGTGTGATTTGGGGAATTAGTAGTTAATTAATACGTTCTCTAAAAATGTCATGCTTTCAGTGTGAGAAAACTTTCTTGCTTTTGTGTTGATGTTAAGCTGATGAAAAAGGGCTTTTTTTGGCTGCTGGTGAGAGAGAGTTCATGTTGCTGGAAGTCACTGACAGTGGGTGTTGTCACCTCAGGGCTGGCTGGTGCAGCAGGTGAGCCAAGAGTTGATGTTCCTCTCAAGAGCTGTTCTTTCCAGGTCAAGTTAAAATATATTTTGGTACTTGTTTTATCATTTGGGTTGCTCAGTCTGTTATGCTCTCTGGGTAAATAGAGAGCTGAGTTTTCTGAATCTGGCTTCTGTCATCCTCACCTCTGTCCCAAACATACATTTGAGATTTCAGGCATTGCCAGGGTGCAGTGGTTGCTGCCAATGCTCGTTTAGGATCGAGTGACTCATTAAGCATCTGCTTGTACTGGGGTGGGAATTGAGAGCCAACTTTGGATACTGCTCACACATCTCTTTTTTTGGTTGAACCTTGTTCTGTCAGTGACTGGTACATCAGAATACAGTGGATCCTCTGTGTCCAGATGGGAGAAGGATCCAGAAAATCCCATCCTTGCCTGGGCAATTATCGCAGTTGAATCTTGCAAAATTTCTGTAATGTGCATGTTTGGTTTTCCATTTTTCATTCATCCTAGGAAGAACAGAACAAGGTTTTACTCAGTCTTGTCACTATGTGATAATTAATTAATAATTATATTTTTATATGGAGCTAGAGACACAAACACTAGCCATTTAATTCCTGATATACCCTCCTGCTTCTCTCTGGGTCCACATATTTCTGGGCAGACATTTTGGCTGATGTTGCTTGATCAAGGCTCATATTTAAGAAAAGATAAGAAAAGAAGTCATTCTTACACTGGAAGGAAAATGTACGCAAACACTGTGGAAGGCTTGATCTTCAAAGCAAGGCTTTAGTAGCTAATGAGTGCTTTTTAAACAGATAGTTACCATGATTGAGAATGGAGTTAGCAAGAGGGGGATATTGTTGGTGTTACTGTACTTGCTGTAGCTATTTGAGACTATGGATGAGACACAGGAATACTTCCAGCCATGGACATCTTCATGGAAAGGCCACAGGTCCAAGATGGATGGGAGCCACAACACGTTTGTCTGTGATCTGGAAAATATTGGGTGCTCTTTTTATTTGTCCTCTGCAATTTGGGCCTGTGCAGTGTGACCTGGTCTCCATGCTTTATAGCATTTCACGATTCTGGGTAAAAGACACAGCAGTATGGCATCCTGATTTTGTCCAAAAGGAGCAGAATTTTGTTTGCTGCTTTGCAGAGTGCAATGTCTGCAACAGTGCACTGCTTGCAGAGAGGCCATACTAAATGTATCTGTGACTGGGGATGGCATTAAGTGGAGATTTTGGTCCTCAGAACATTCTCTTGAAGGATGGTTAGATTTCAGTTTAGATCAGGGTTTCACAAATATTTCTAGCCAGAGAAATCACTGGCTGATGCCAGGCAAGCAGTGTTTATAGTGGTACCCCTGTCACAGTTTTGGAACCTTGATCCTGGGACAGTTTCCTAACACTGCCCATCTTGTTTTCCAGATCTGGAGATAAGCAGTGATCTCAACAGTGATGACTTTGAATATGAGGATGAAGCAAAACTTGTCATCTTTCCTGATCACTATGAAATCTCATTACCCAACATAGAAGAGCTACCAGCACTGGTCAGTGAGTGTATGGAAGTGGTCGTAGGAATGGTCCTGTTTCTGTTTTTGTCAAGGTGGTGCCTTGTTTTCTTATGTGCAGTGCTTGTTTGAACATAAAGATTATTCTTTACCAGCTATAATAGAGTCTCAGTCATTAAAAAAAGTGATCTTTGCCGTTTTCTTGGACTTCCTTCTATCTCCTGTATTTCTTCCCTTATTATGGTGCCAGCTTGTCCTAGGAAAACTGACATAGCGCACATGCTTACTCTCCTGCTAAAATAATGACGACAGTCTAAAAGATTAGATGCATATTTGAGTATATAAATAGTCTTACTGATAAGCAGTTCTGTATGTGGTTAGCAATAGGCTGAATGCCAGGTTCTGTCCAGTCACTGAGTCGTGTCAGGCTTTGACTGACATCCATTTGTCTTCCAGGTGACGATAGCTTGTGATGCACTGCTCAGTGCAAAATCACCCTACAGGAAGCAGGAACCTGACTCCTGGGAAGAAGAGCTGCAGGCATCTAAACATGCTAAAACACTTGTACAGTTAGACAATGGTGTTAGAATTCCCCCCAGGTGAGGGCAACAAGGTTTGTTCATTGTAGGCTCTCTAATTCAGTCCCAGGGTATCTGAACTAAAGGCAGGAACTCAGCCCTTGGCTCCCTTGTGTGACTCTGGGCTGGGCAGGTGGGTTGGTTTCACTTGCCATCATGGGAGATACAGAGCTGGCTCCTGCCTCACGTATTGCTGCTGTTTCTCCCTGTTGTGTCTGGCAGTGGTTGGAAATGCTCCAGGTGTGACCTGCGGGAGAACCTGTGGCTGAACCTGACGGACGGCTCCGTGCTCTGTGGGAAGTGGTTCTTCGACGGCAGCGGGGGCAACGGGCACGCCATGGAGCACTACAGGGAGACAGGCTACCCCCTGGCAGTGAAGCTGGGAACCATCACTCCTGATGGAGCAGGTCAGCCACGGGGCGTGTTCTGACCTGAGGTACCTCCTGTGCATGGGGCTGACTGCGTGTCTGTTACCAGCTGGGTTTGTGCAAGTGTTTGACAGTGTGGAACTCTGTGAGTGTGTGAATGTTGGTCAGGGTTGAGAGGAGTGACACACACTCCATTCTGAGAAAGCCCATACCTGTTTTATCTGCTCATTTCATATTTTCTGTAAATATTTTTGTAGTATTTGCATAATGCTAGTCTTATAACATAAGAATGGCATTAGTCTGAAACAACAGACTCTGGAGAAACAATATTCTTTAGTTCTGCTACATGTCCTAGGACAAATGGTTTATATTTTTGGAACAAAGAAACAACAGCAGGGTAATGAGCTTTTAAAATTTAAAAGTCTGTTTGTAACAGCATGTATGGATTTTTTAAATCATAGTGGAAGCTCCTCTTTTTCCTTGTTAAACAAAATGTTGCTGAAACAATTGAATGAACACTGATCTTCATGGGGCTGATGTGATGCTCGTTTGTAAAATCTGTGATGATCTTGAGAGGGGAAAAAAGCTGTAGCTGTATCCTTGTTTGCATATTCTCCAAGTGTGATGTTCTGCAGTGTTGCTGCGGAGGGGATTATGATGTGTGAGGATTAGATGGAATAAAAACATGAGGAGCTGAAAAAGTCATAAGGAAAGAGATCTTTTGTTGCAGCTGCATGGAGAAGTAAAAATGGAAGAACACATAGCATGATTATATTTTGGCTTTAGTGTTTATGACTACAGAGATGAAAAATTGCTGTTTAGAGCAGCCCTTTTTTTAAGCAAGCATCAGTTGAGAGCTTTTCTAAGTTCTATTCGGTGTTGAGGAAAGGCAACTGTAGTCAGATTCAACCAGCTGTGCCACAGAAACACTGAGTAAAAACCATTTTTTTTTTCTCCCAGATGGAATGTTATCTCCTTGCATGAGCCTGGCCTTGGATGATTTCTATCCAAATCACTCAGTTATTGAAGGTGTTTAGGATTTGCCCAGCTGTAGCTTTCAACTGTATCTACAAAACAAACAGGATATTCTGTAGTTTTTTTTTTACAGAATTTTTTATTTTCTTTCCCATCTTTAGCAGCAATACTTGTTTCCTTATGGCTTCTGTCCTTGTGCCTCCCACTGATCAGCTGCTTCCTCTCGTATGTGGCCTTTGGGATAACAAAGGACAGGCTGTCATCCTTCCCTCTGAATGAGAGGCACCAGCTGTTCTCCACAGACCTTTGCTCTTCTGGATGATGTTTACTTGGTTTCCCTATAGAAAAGTCTTCCCTCCCCCAACCTTCCTTGTTCCTTCTCAGTAATTATTCTGTCTATGATCTATATTTCTGTAGTACTCATAACCCCTCGATGGGGCTGGGTGATAGATGAGCTTCAGGAAAGAGGCTCTCTGGCTGATGGTGACACAAAATCTGTCTGTTTTCTGCTTCCCTGGGTTAAAGGTGAAGAGGTGATGGTACAGGAGTAATAAGCACTGGTCCCTGTCCTGACATAATTTATTTCTTTTTCACAGCAGTAGGAAGGAGAAGGAGGTGGTGCCAGTGTTCCACTGACATTCACCCTGTATGTACACAGATGAGAGCTTTTTGTCTTGCCCTGAGAAATCTGTGCTGTGTACACTGTGAAAGGTTCCTGAGGTGTTAGCCCCATCTGTAGCACTCTGTCAGCAGACACATCTGGGATCAGGGCAGAGACTGAACCAAGCTTCTCCTCCACTCTTGCACCTTGGACAGGACACACCAGGGAGTCAGAAGAGTTGTTTGCCTCAGTAGGCTGAGCACTGGGCAGGCTGTGCTACCTGCTGCCTCTCTTGGTAGTGCCACTGGATTTTATTTCCACTCACTGTGAGGTTGTTTGTTTGGAATAGATTGGGGCATGGAATTGGGCAGTGTCAGTGAGAAACCCCTTGTGATCGGCGCTTGAAGGAGCTGCTTTGTGGATGCTGATCAGATACTTTTCTGGGGATCCTGAGCCACTTCTTTCTTTAGGGACAGTGTTACCATCTAAGTAGGAAGGAGAGATATCTGCACAGTCAGAACAGGTGTAAATCTTGAGCTGTGGAAGAAAATGAAGTCAAGTAGCACTGACATTCTTATTTTCTTAAAATAATATGAATCATAAAGACTATTATCAGGAAAAAGTTTTCCACCCAGGGGATGGTTGGATACTGGAAAAATCTCTGCAGGGAACTGGTTACAGCACCAAGCCTGAGTTCAAGATGTATTTGGGCAACACTCTCAGGCCCATGGGTGGATTATTTGTGCGTCCTGCACAGGGCCAGGAGTTGGACTGGATGATACTGATGGGTCCCTTCCAACTCAGCATATTGTGTGATTTTTTCTCTGTTTAATAATATTCTGTGTTGCCTGTCTCAGATTTATTTTGGTGGGTCCCCCCCCCAAACTCCTCCTTTTCCCCCTTTCTTACTCTAATGACACCAGGTTCTTGCATGTCACATTTGCTGACTTCTCTACACTCCTCATCTACCAGAGTCTGTATGACAGCATTGCCCACCTGTGTTTGGCAGCTTTTATCCTCTGTCTTTGATTTTTTGAAACAAGTGGACCCATAATTTAAGCTACACAGCAGAAAGTACTGAAGTAAGGCACGAGCTGGGCTTGAGCACAGTATTAGTCTTGTGCTCCACTCCTGCTGCTCTGGGCCAGTAGTCCCAGGTGATTTGCTCTCTGCAGTTGCCAGAGCAGAGGGAAAACCATATCAAAGCTTCCACACTGAAAGCAGTCACCCAAGCTCTGTTGCTGTGTAATCTCACTCCATGAGGGATTTGAAGTTTTTGGGATCATCTGGCTGTGCTGTGACCTCACCAGAATGCTATGGGAACGTTGTGATGCCATGTGTGTGGATGAACAGTCATGTCTTCTGGGTGCATTTACTACCACACAGTGGAATTCCAGCAGATGGGCAGCTACAGCCATGCACATGCCACAAAGGTCATGGGCACCAGTGTTGGTGGGGCATCTGCTGGCTGATCAGCAGCTGGCAGCACAGCTCAAAGCACAGCTCCCTGCTCAGAGAGGTTTTCCATAGGGCTGGTCAATGTTAAAAGTTAGTGTTTGAGTTCTTGGCTAACCTTCAGTCTATCATTTCAGTGTGGGTTTGGTACTAGCAGACCTCAAGGAGAATGCCTTGAGGGCTAAGGACCTTCCAGAAGTGATATTTGTGCTGTGAACAGCCTTCATCTGTGCTCCTGCTGTCTCCTCCTGAGTTTGCTTCTCTTCCTTTCTCCTGGTTAAGCTTTTTCTCTGTCAGGGTAGGTCTGGTTTTATGGAGCAAAGTCACTGTGAGAAACTGCTGGGCATGGAGGAAATGTGCCTGAGGGAAATGCAGGGAGGCTGGCACAGGGCTTCTGGATTTTGGTATGAGGAGACACCTCCTTGACTACAGAGGTAGAGACCTGATCAGAGAAAAGATGCAAAGCCTGTTCAAGTCTTACAAGTGCATCTCTTAAGACTTCTAGCCTTGTATGATGCCTACACCTTTATTGTTATTTGTTCATGTAGATGAAACCTGCTCTGAACTCAGTGTCATTATAGGACTTAATAGGTAAACTCTGAAAAAGAATGTTTTTACTCTCAATATTTTTGTCCTTCTTTTGGATTTATTAAACTTGGTTTCATATTGAAAATATCATCATTAGACATTCTGCTTCCCTTCACAATCAGAACTTTGCCCTGCCAGAATGTTTATGAGCTTTTAATTAAGGCTGTAAGGGCCTATCATAGAGAACTGAAATCTAAATCTCCCATACAACAAAGCAAGACACCTTACTCAGAAAATCAGCCTTTCTCCCTAACCACAAGGTTAGATTAATCTTGGAAGTCCAATCCAGTGGTGTGTAGTCCAAAAAAACCCCTCTTTATTCTAATAAGGAATTTCTCTGTTCTTCCTGCATCTCCATGTGAAAAGGGCAAAAGTGGATTTCTTAAACTGTACTAAAAATTAAAATACTATTGCCAGTAGTGAGTTGGTGTGATATACTCACAGCTTTAATGGATCTGTCTGTATCTAGTAGCTCTACAAAAATTCATAATCTCAGAATGTGGGCTGGCTTTGCATGCCCTGTTCCTTGCTTTCCCTACAAATTGCTTCATTTGGGGAGAGGAAATACTATGATCCCTATAAATGTTTTTAGTTTAATACTGTGGAGGCATATGATTTCTTTTGAGGAAAGTGCTTGAGGTGATTGTGTTAAGATATTTACTGAGCTATGTGTTTGTCTGTGCACTTCTCTGCTGGCCAGAACCAAACTTGGAGAATATGAACAAGGCATTTTGCATCAGTGTTGGTAAACAAAGAGAAGGGATAACATTTGATACTGGGGCTCACTGGTTTCTCTCTGCTTTTGCAGATGTCTATTCCTTTGACGAAGAGGAGCCGGTTTTAGATCCACATATAGCAAAACACTTGGCACACTTTGGAATTGATATGCTGCAGATGCAAGTGGTAGGAAATCCATCTTTTATTTAGCTTGTTGTTCACTTCTTTGTTCACTTGGGGGTGGGAGAGAAACTGGAGAAGAATAACACCTGTATCTTATTATCTTATTATTATTTGTGATTCCTTCAGACTGTTATGACAGTATTCAGTTTTGTAAAGTTCAGCCAGCTAATTTCTGGGGCTACTGTCAGAGTTCTGAGTAAATCATTGCTCTCAAATCCAGAAATTCCCTTCTGAAAGAGTTACCTTGTGGTCTTTAGTTTGCATTTTTCACTTTTTCTGTGTGATGTATCCTTTGTCTTCAAGATGAAAAACCTCATTGAATTAGAGAAGAATGTCTGGAACATTTAATTACAGTGAGTGAAGGAAAGCCTATTGAGTGTGTAAACAGATACAATTCATAAGCAAAAAGAAGCTAAGCAATGGATAAGTTAAAAAGTGGCTGAAAGTTATTTATGTAAATTTCAGTTTAGGTTTTGTCAATAAATACATTAGAAAATGAAAAAAAATACATTCTCTCAAGTCTAGAAAACAGCATGGTCAAAGGTGTGACATGCTAGGAGGGCACTGGGGAAAAAAAGATTCTCTGTGTGTGTCTGTATTGGTAAAGAAGTACTTTTAATAACTCGTATCTTAGTGGATGTTGATTCCAGTTCTCTTTAAATGGTGTAGGAAATCAGAATAGGATATGCTTATAAAGTCAGGTGTGGTTTTTGTGGTTGTATTTGTTTTTTGTTTGATTTGGTTTGTTGTTTTTTGGTTTTATTTTTTTAACCCAAGCATATAACCTAGTATCATTACCTGGAGAACATGAAAATGTTAAAAAGGAAAAAACCTGCTACTGGTTAAGTGTATTTCGTTGTCCAAGTGGTGAGAAAATGATATTAATTGAAATGATAGAGAAGAGTTAAACTGTGTTTTCAAAAGTTTTCATTATACTAATAATGTTTTTGATATACTAATGTCCTTGCCAGGATCACGAATAAAAGGTTTCTTTTATCCAAATCATTCTGAAAAGCCTGCTTTACTCAGGAGCCTTGAAAACCTAGTCTTAGCTGTTGCAAAGGTTTCACCTCTGGTCTTGGGTCTGTGCAATTCTTTGAGAAGTGACAGAGCAGTGCCAGCAGTAAATGACACTATGGTGACCTGCACCTACAGGCTGAAGGCTGAGTGTAAAGGGGAGAAACTTCAGTGTCACAAATTATTGGCTTTTACCATTTGAAAGAAGGGAAGAGTTCTTGGATCTGCAGCTTTTCATGTGGTTGGTTTGTTACGAGCAGCTTCTACAGCAGCAGCTATTCCTGACCATTACAAATGGAAGAGGAAACCTGAAAATGTGCAGTGTTTGATGCTGAGGCTTGAGGTCACAGGCCTGAGAGAAGTGAAGCTCCCAGCTGGGACTGAGGTCATGCCTGGGAGCACTCAGTGCCAGTGGCTGTGCTAAAGAGCTGAGGGTGTATTGGAGGAACAAACTGCTGGCTTTCTGACCCTCATCTTCCCCTTCATGCAGGATTTACCTCCCCTTGCCCATTGATTTGGCTCTTCATTTCTTGGAGTATAGCTCACAAAGTTGGTGGCAGCAGCATAATTATGGCAGAAGTTAAAGAGACTAAAATGAAAATCTTGTTGCTTTCAGACAGAGAATGGGCTAAGAGATAATGACATAAAGCCAAGAGTCTCAGAATGGGAAGTGATTCAGGAAGCTGGTGTGAAACTCAAGCCCATGTATGGCCCAGGATACACTGGCATGAAGAACCTGGGGAATAGCTGCTACCTCAATGCTGTCATGCAAGCCATTTTCAGCATCCCAGAGTTCCAGCGAGCGTAAGTAGCTCCAAACTACTTCTTGTCACTAGCTGCTGCATTCATCAATTCATTGTTTTTCTAAGAAAAATGGTGGTTTAATTTTTGTCTTGTCTGCAAGCAGGTCTCTTTCAGTCAGTTCAGTGGCTGCTTGAAGGATTTAGTGATTGTTTTGGTCTGTTCTGGAAAAGGCTGGAACACAAAATCCAATCTGCCTTTAAAAGAAAAACAAACTGTCTCAACTTCAGTGGTGGGAAATCATTTGCCACCTTGGAAATTTGATGTCTCAGTCTCTGTTTTTTATATACAGATGCACATATCTCTGCTTACCTGGGTATCATCAGTATCACATTAGGGGGTTTGTACTGGCCTGTGCCAGGAGTCATTCTGTGTGATTTGTGCCAAAAAATGGCACAAACACGTTGATATTGATCCATGCTAGTGAAAAACATTGCATCTGTAGCATGCGGGTCTGGCTAAGGGAGAAGCTATCAGAGGCACATTTTAATTAAAATTAAAAAAATAATAATGACAAGAATAGTGTATTCTTCCACTGAACAATTAAAAGAGTAAAAGGAGAAAAGCACAACAGAAAAATATTAAGTATTCCTGACTGATCAAAGCTGAACACTTCACTCTAAGGAGAGAAGCCTTTTTATAAAGGACAGTCCTTAGTTTGAACTAAAATTCAGAGTGCCCTTTCCTTCCAAATCAGCACTAGTGTGTGTGCTGGAAGTGAAGCTTTTAGATTCTAGAAAACCTCCTGGGTTTTCATGTTAGAAATTACCTTCTGAGAGAAAACTTGTGTTTATTTTCTTACCCATATGGAGTACAGTCTGTAGATTCATTAAGTGCCAGCTCTTCTATCTCTGCTGTTGAAAAATATCAAAATGGAGTTTATTAAAGAAGATAATTTTCCACAGCATAATCATGGGAGTTACCTGGAAGACTTAGTATCATCAAAATAGTGGAGATTATTGATGAGAGAGGGACCAGCACCGTGCCCATACCTACCCAGCCTGGTTTTTCTTGTGCTCATGGGCAGCCAGTGTTCAGAGAGTGCTGCTGAATGCTTCACTTTCCAACAGGCTGGCTAGAGCAATGTTTCCCTCAGTGTTATCAGAATTGCTTCTCTTGTGAAACTCAATAGAGATGTTCTTTTTACATATTTTTGTCCTGATACAAATCTTGAATTTACTTGGTTACGTTGGTTGGGAGCAAAAAGTACACTGGCTCTTAACTCAGCTCTGTGGTTTTGACCAACACCATCTTGCAGCTTTTGCAAGATTAAGGAATAGAATGTAAATTCCAGATGAACAGCACAGCCATATTCTTTATAGCTAGAAGCTTCCAAGTAAAATATCAATGTCCATTTCTTAATTTTTTTACTATTATTGTTGCATGACAGAAGCACTCACTGGGGATTGATTGAATCATTAAGCTGCAATATTTGAATGTTTCTGCTTTGTTCTTGCTGCCCAGGTATGTGGGAAACCTTCCACGAATATTTGACTACTCCCCTCTTGATCCAACACAAGATTTCAATACTCAGATGTAAGTGACATTTCTCAGTTATTTACTTGGTCGGGTTAAATAGAATCTAGATGATTTAATGGCAGAGCAAAAGAACACCTTTTTATGGGCTCAGAAGTGAAATGTGGCACAGGGAGATTGAGATTTGACCACTTAGTTCCGGTGATGGTCATGATGGTTCATCAAGGAGTCAAAAAAGTAAACTTAATTTTTTTTTGCTTGAAGTAAATGTTTTATGGTTTTCTCACATGTTTGTTTCCACCCCTCCACTTTCTTCCTTACAGGGCTAAACTGGGACATGGCCTTCTTTCAGGCCAATACTCTAAGCCACCCATGAAATCTGAGCTCATTGAGCAGGTGATGAAAGAAGAACACAAGGTATTTGCCTGAGTTTGTACAGCCACTGGTAACTAGGTAAAAGTGATATCCTGAGAAAAGGGAACAGGTGCTGGGCATTGAGGAACTCCTGTGGGTTCAGCGTGGATGGGATGCTTAGCAAGGTGGAATGTGAAGATTACTAAGTCAGGGATAAATTAGTCAGGCACTATTTGTGCAGTGCATCAAAGCAAGCACTGGTGCTGCTGATAAAGTGCACTGCTGCTCCAGTGGTGAGTGCAAATGTTCCCACAACTCGCAACCAATGTTTATCTTCTCTGAGGAACAACAACAACAACAATGTTATGCAGAGAGTCCTGGAAGCAAACTTCTGAACCCTCTTTAAATTACTGAAAGTATAAAGAGCTGAATAATTATTTCCAGGAAGTGTCTGACAATAGTCCACTTGATTTCAGGAGAAGGTAGTGCAAGATTAGGTGGTGCTGGGGGCTTTGGAGATGGAGGGGCCATGCAGAGCCGCAGGAGTAATGCATGCTTCTGCCACAGATGGATGGTGGTGATTGCCGCAAACAAATATTTTCCTCTACCTTCATCTGTCAATTATTGGCGTAGGAATTTCTCCTGAAATCAGAATGCCATTAAGATTTTGGACAGACAGAGCATCTGGTACAGAGTAGTTTGCACAACCTGGAAGTTGTGTGTCTCCCAAGTAATTGCTTTGTACAGTGGCAGTTCATTGTTTTGGAACAGCAAATGAATCCTACTTGTTCCCATTAAATAAAGTTCAAGGCTCATCAGCACTGGGGCAAAGCAATAGTGGGACAGATTTCAGCAAACACCATACATTGAGCTATGGGTACTGACTGACCTGCTTTCCTAAACAGGAATGTGACTGGAAAATACTGTGCGGGAAGTTCAGGGATCTGAATCCTTGGAATAAAGCTGCATCTCCATGTTTAGCTCAGCAGCCACTGTTAGATGAGATATTGAGACCTCTTTAATGACAGATGGGATAAAACTCTGTCAGGTTGTACTAGGCATCTACTGACATTTGAAAGCATTTGTGTTCATTAGTTCAGTTTAATGAAGCTGAAGTTACATGCATGAAGCATCCTTATCAAGCAATTCAGAGCATATATTAGGATATGAAACAGCTTTTGCAGCTTTTTTTGCTTGTTGTATTGATGATTTATTTACAGAAAATGTCAGATATAGATATTTTCTCTATTCCTTCACTCTTGGAATACAAATCTGTGGGTTTTTTTTCAGGTTGAGGATGCTTCTTTTTCTTTTGTTTGCTTAGCATTTTAGGCCTTAAATGTTTTTAAGTGCTTCTGCTTTGTGTCTATAATATCAATTATTCATTTAACTTTTATTCCTTTACTTTTTTTTCCTCTTCTACATGCAAAGAAGTTCTCAATCTTTCTGAGCCTTTGGAATGCATCCAGAGTTTTGGGGAGTTGTTGCTTGTAAAAACATTCATATGAGATCTGCAGTGGTCCAGCACAATCTATATTTAGCTAAACTGTTTTGCAATTGTTGATGGGGAAAGTATGCCAGGTATTCAGTAAATATTCGTGGTGCTGTGGAGTTGAAATTTTTCACCACAGAAGTTTGGCCTGGAAATGGCAGCATTTTCCTTGGACCCACTTTAGGATTAAAAAGAGGCTGAATGCCTAAAGGGTCATCAGCCAGGGCTTGATTTTCTGCTTTGAGCTTTAACATTTCTTCTGGGTTTTTTTTTTTTTTTTTTTTTTTTCCCCTTTTATTGTCCTTGAGGTGAGATTGCAAGATTCAATCCTTTTTTTTGCAGTCTGTCACACATGGCATGCTCCTCTTCCTGCTCAAGTGGCTGGGTACAAAGTGTATAGGTGGAAACACGGCTTGATTCCAAACTCACTGCATTATACAGCGTTATACAGCAGTGTGCCACATTCCTGCTTCTGGCATAGGAAGAAGCCTGGGATGTTGCAATGGGAGCTGCTTTGTGCACTTCTCTTCCCAGTCCTAGTTTTGATGAAAGGCAGTTGAGGACACTGAAGCAATGCATTACCCAGGATGCAGAAATCCCCAGAACATCTCTCTGTCCAAGCAATACAGAGACTCTGTCTCTTGATGGGAGCCTTTAAGGATCATCTTGGCCTGATGTGGTTGGTGGTGCACTGCCAAGAATTGAAAAAAAACATTTAAAAATGAGAATCTGCTTCTGATTTCAGTGGGTCTAGGAATACTGCACCCTGGTAAAGCAAAGAAAAAAATTTCTCTTCCAATATTTTATACAGCCTTCATTGCATGCTGCTTTTTCTATTTTTATATTCCTATGACAGTGCAAATGTAGTAAGGAATGAAATTGGCTGAGTTTTTAACAGCCTCTGAGAGCTCCTAAAGGTTATACTTTTGCTTGGATTGTCCAGAAAATTATTTGGTTTCATGGATGGTGAGAGCAAATCTGAGTAATAGATTCTGACCCCTTCAAAAATGTTTCTTGAAAGGCATAACAGCCAGTGTTGTCTTGAGGATCTGGCGTGGTTGGAGAGGTTCTTAAAGTGGTACAAAGGATTAGAAAGTCAAAACCAGGACTGTCTTGGAAGCCAGAGATTTTCTAATCTAGGGCAGTTTGCTCCTGATGTAACTGAATGGCCAAAGGCAGTAAGTTATGGTTTTTCAACATGACCAGCACCTGCAAATTCATGTCTGCTCTTAACAACTCACCTGGGAATGCATGCTGCACACATTAGATGTTCTCTGCTTGGTTCTGCACAGCTCTCTGGAAAGGTTTTGTCCTGAGGAAAGCTGCCAGCTGATACACCAAAGTGCTTCAATGCTCTGGCACAGGGTTCTGAAAGCAATATCAAATGTTACATAACAGTGTAGGCTTTCAGCCTTTCTGAAAACTACTAACCTTTGAAAACCTCCAGTTATCTCTTTAAAACGCCAAATGCCAAAGGACAGGTAAAGTGAGTTTTGCAGGAACTAAGCCATAAAACATATTCTAAATCCCCCCAAATCTTGTTTCAGGACCCTTCCCATTTTTATTAAAATGGAAAAATAGGTGAAATGGAAGCTATCATTCCTCCAGTGCCAGAAATAGACCATGGATACATTTAGTGGAGTAACTTTGAAATATTTGGTTCATGATTGAATAAAAATCCCTTTTTAAATGTTTTTTCTCTCTTTCATTTAGCCTCAACACAATGGAATATCTCCTCGAATGTTCAAGGCTTTTATAAGTAAAGGCCACCCAGAGTTTTCCTCTAATAGACAACAAGATGCACAGGAATTTTTCCTACATCTTATAAATCTAGTAGAGGTGAGAAAACTTGAATTGCTTCTTCTTTTTCTGGTTATATTAGACAATAAAGGCAAAACTGTTACATGAGTGGCTCGTATTTTAGTTATATTATTTTTAGCCTTAGATATGTAGGAGGTGGGACTAATTACAATGTATTTTGTTTTAGAAACATTTGCTTCCTTAATGCTTCCTCTTCTTTACTTCAGATTCTTGCATGACCATGAACAGGGCCAGTAGTGCTGCTAACAAATATAAAGAGGTCAAGCTTGACTGTACAGGCTATAAGATTCATAAACATATGTGACCTTTTAAATTGCTGTTCCTGTTTACCATATTGAAGTGTGCCATGGAATATCAATGAATTGGGTATTATGATTATTATTGTTATTGTTCCAATTTCATATAATTGTTGGGAGCAAATTAATTACCCTGTCCAGCTGTTTTACAAATCCCAGCTGTATGTTATTGAATCATGGGAGAAAGGATTCCCCTGCTGAAAGCAGAGTGGCTGTTTGTCAGTGGAATATTTCTGTATAAAGCTTTACTTCCACCAAGCTCCAGCTCAGTGCTGTGTGTAAAGGAATCATACTGTGAATTTTAATGCTGTCTTTCTGAAAAGGAATTTACAAATACATGCAGTTTTGATGTAAAGCATTTCTTGTCTACCCTTCCTCCCTCGTTTTCCCATTTTCCCCAAGAATCAAGTCTATTTATTCATGTGTTCAGTCTCTGGATGAAGTTACTCACATTTGTATGCATGATGTTCCACATCCCTACTTGCCTGTACTGATTATAGGGTGGTTAGAAGAGACTTTTCTGTTTCTTGTCTGATAACAGGCATTAACATGAACAGCAAAGAGGAGGTATATTATTTGCATGACATTCCCATCTGGATAATGAACTACAAGTTGCTTGTTCTGTTTCAGTGCATATTCAGAGTGGTAGGAGCAATTCTATTTGCTGAGAGGATGCTCCATGTTATTTATCTGAGCTTTCTGTCTTTACTGTAACATGCCACCTTCCTACCTTCTATTCACCTTGACTCAGTCAGGATGTTGTATGTTCTCAGGAACATGCCCTGCAAGTTCTGTGTGTAGAAAGATGCTGCTGTGAGTGCAGAAATTGTGGATTTTGTTGGTTTTCTCTGTAGGGGCCAGAGCTCTGCACGCAATCCAGTTCGTGAGCTGAGCTGCCTGATCAGTGTCTTTGTGCTTGCCTTAAAATTAACAGCAGCCTTTGGGTTTTCTGGTCATTTTAGTGATCACCACATGTAGATTCTTTTGCTTCTTATCTCTGCTAAGATTGGGATTAAATCATGAGATGGTATATCTTGTCTGGACTTAGATGTTTATTAGTCCTTATCTATATTATAGTCTTACAAGTTATGAATTTTACAGTACTTCTCTCTAACAAGGCAAAAATGAAGTTATATCTTTTTCTCTACAAGGCTTTTAAGGGTAAGCTGTCTAATTAAGAAATGACACCTCAATTATTTTTACTTTTAAGTTAGTAACTACTTGTGCTCCTCCTTTTTTATCTAATTACACAATACTACTTTAATCTATGAAGAAGAAGGTGAAGAAGAAGGTAGAGAAGAAGGACTACCTTCTGCTATAAAACTATCATTTTGCTTTATATATATTACTACATTCTAGAACCTTATACTCTAGGGTTTCTGCTTAGTGATATTACACACTTCTGTCCAAACCACACACTCATAATCTCAGTTCTGTCATTCAATTTGGAAGCTTTCCCTACGGCTTCAGGTCAAATGCAGTGTTCTCTTGGGGATCAGTGTCTGTCAGCACAGAAAGTCTGAAATTCTCAGCACCCAGTGTTGCAACAGCCCCAGAAGTGTTTTGGTGTGCTGTTCCTTTCAGAGGAACCCCGTGGGTTCGGAGAACCCCAGCGATGTGTTCCGGTTCCTGGTGGAGGAGCGCACGCAGTGCTGCCAGTCCAGGAAGGTGCGCTACACGGAGAGGGTGGACTACATCATGCAGCTCCCTGTGGCCATGGAGGCAGCAACAAACAAAGGTAAAGGGGCAAACTGCTCTGCTCACCCAGGGATGTGCCACACTGTGCCCAGAGATCCCCACCAGCGCTGAATCTCCTTCATCCTGGACATGAAGCAGTTTGTAAAAGCATCTTCATTATAAAAATGAACTGAACTTACCAGCTAATTAATAGCTTTTAAAAACACACACTCACAAAGAAAAATCAAAAACCCAAATCTGCTTTCTGTTCTTTAGCAGCATTATCTAAGATCTAATATGGTAACAGAGAATAGGAGCATAAGGTAGTTTGTAATCTATAAATCTAAAATTTGGATGTTCTGGGCTTTAGGGGAGGAGAGAAGGAGGATGAAGTGTTGGATGTTGATATAATAAGCAGGAGTGGTTTTTTCTCATGCCTGTGAAAAGCAGCCTTGTTTTTAAAGGAGAAAATGGCCAAGGAGGCTTGGACACTTGAGAGCAGGAGGAAGGCACTGCAAGTTGTGGTTGCATCTGCAGTCAGTGGTGAAGAGAATAAGATAATAAATGTATGACAGGAACATGAAGAGAGATGTGCCTCTGATTTCCTACATAATCTGAACATGTAAAATATTTTAAAACCAGGATCTATTTTGATTGTTTGATGAGATCCTATGAAATACCACAAGGCAGAGAATTCTACCTACTTTTTACCTAGCCTAGAACTCCTTGCACTGGACACAAAGTTTAGGAGAACTTTTCATTCTTTGTTCATCAGTTTCAGTGATGACTCTGTTGCTTATAAAAGAACATGTTATTTCCAGGTAATGACTCAGGAGACAGATTAGTTTGTGGATTTACCATATGGCACTGCTCAGCTTACCGTGTCAAGACTTTTTCTAGATCATACATAATCCTGGCCTGTCTAAAAAGTCAGATGACACAGATAGACAACAATAACTTTCCAACTCAGATTGAGCTCTGATAAAGTGTGTGTGTGGCATTACTGTTCACACAGGATTTTGGCTGTCATGGCAAAGTTTTCATTGCCTGTGTCCTGGTATTTCCAGTTCTGTGTTTTCACCATGAACAGAACCTTAGAGACGTGGCTGTAAGTGTAGTCCCTGACCCCAATGCAGACAGAAAGATTTGATGTCTAGTTCAAAGTATGTAAAACTTTTATTGCTAAGTAGGTTTTTGCATTTCTAAAACTTGCAAAAATAAGCCTGATGAGGAACACATAACCATGTCAATGTTCATTAGCTTCTAGTGTTGTGTGTATTTCTCAGATGAATTAATTGCCTATGAACTGAAGAGGCGAGAAGCAGAAGCTGCAAGGAGACCTCTGCCAGAGCTGGTCCGTGCCAAGATCCCATTTAGTGCTTGTCTGCAGGCCTTTTCTGAACCAAGCAACGTAGAGGATTTCTGGAGCAGTGCCCTTCAAGCAAAATCTGCAGGAGTTAAGTAAGTGTGTGTCTGGCTGCCTGTTAAAAACTGTGCTCTGTGCTTATCTTGCTACCTGGACATGGTGTAAGGGGAAACACACAAATGCACAGTGAGCTCTGGCATCACATTAGTGTTGGGGCTCATCAGTGTGATGTGCAGATCAAGTCTTGCAAGACTTGTAATGATGAACTGAGCAGGAAATGAATTGTTCTCAATGGTCAGACTCCAAGAAGTGATGCAGTCTGGTTGTTGAGAGCTTGAACTTCGAATGCTTGTAGGCTTGGATCCTTGGTATCAAGCAGCAGTAGCTCATCTCAGTGTGCGTGAGGTACTGGGATCTGTGCTGCTGGGGATTCTGTTGCCTGATTTCAGTGAATTGTGTTTCTTGTCCTTCCCAGAACTTCCCGTTTTGCTTCCTTTCCTGAGTACTTAGTGGTGCAGATAAAGAAATTCACCTTTGGCCTTGACTGGATACCCAAAAAGCTTGGTACGTGCTTGTTTTATTTACTTTTCTCTCCCAGATATTGAATAACATGTGCACACTATAGTGAGGACCTGACTCAAGTCTTAAGTTTATACTGTGAAGATCCTAATTGAATCTTTTTCCCTTTTACAACAAATTTAACCAATCCATCAGGTCTGTGGAGTTAAAACACAGTTCTGTAATCTGAACTATTTAAATTGTGCTTTGGCATTCCAAATTTCTCAGAGCTTTTTCAGAAGAAGACTCCTGGCTGCTCCTGTACCTTGAGTACCAGAGTTCCCTCTCTGAAGGGGTAGATTGCACCATAAGGTTGTTTTTCTGGCTGCAGAAGCTTAGCCCATTTCTCTGCTCTTGTAGATGTTTCCATTGACATGCCAGATTTCCTGGATATCAGTCACCTTCGGGCCAGGGGGCTCCAGCCAGGAGAAGAGGAACTCCCAGACATTGCTCCTCCCATTGTCATTCCTGATGACCCTAAAGGTATTTACTGACTTATTCTCCCCTATCTTCCCCTTACCTTCTAGCACACAGGGATTCTCTTTAATCCTCACCGTTTGTAACTATGGACAAAAAATTACAAATTACAAATCTTTAATTTGTAATTACAAATTAGTTCTGTAACTGAAGACTCTTACAACACCCCACAGCCTTTTTTTCCTCCCTACTGGACAACCCTAGTTCTTCCAGATTTTCTGTTTTGGCGATTTATTATAGAATCACAGCTTTTTGGGTTGGAAGGGGTCTTAAAGGTAATCTAGTTCTAGCCCCCTTGCCATGGGTAGGGACTCCTTTCCCTAGAAGGTTTGACAATTGATGTTGCTGTCCTTGACTCTCTCCAGAGAACCTTCAGTGCATGCCCATGACTCCCTTGGAGTCAAGTCACTGTGCACTTCCCAGGTCCAGCACAGTACAACAATAATTAATACACAAAGAGCTACAGTTTAAGAGAACAGCTTTCCAGGCATAGGCTAAGACTCTAAATTTTATTCATTTTAAAAATACAAGAATTGTTAGGCCCTAGCAGCTGTTCCTGCAATCCTCTTCTGTGGATGTATATGGGCTGCCATTAAAAAAAGCTCTGTCTCAAGGAGAAGATGGCAAACAGCTGACTATAATGTTTGTGGAGAAGAAAGAAAGAGGAGTGATTAAAATGCTATGCTGTTTTTATTTTTTTTTCATAAATACTCTTTCTTTTATGCTGAAGTTCAGAAACAAGAATATTAAATATCCTCCTTCTTTATTCCCTGGGTTTCCCTGGAGAAGAAGATGGTTTATAGCAAGTAAAATCATGTTTTTATGGTGTGACCTTAGACCCAGGTGGCTACACTTTCCCCCAGATGAGTGAAGTTTGAGTGCCTCAGTAATGAATACGAAGCCAGTAATGCAGCTGCTCTCATGACATGAGTGCCCCCATTTGCTTGCATATTTATAATAACGGTGGCAGAATACCCTGCTGTATGTATGTGATGGAAAGCTAGTACCTGACATTGTGTGCAAAGCAAGGATATGACAAACATAATTTCTCTAAAGGTTTTAATTCCATCCCTTGTCTATGTAAGTTCCTCACAGAGGCCTGTACCTTCTTACCCTCTTGCTGAATGGACTGACCTAGTTTTAGTGTAAATGCATGGGTGGTGGTATTGTATTTTTAAGATTCTTGCTTAGGTCAGCCATCAGCTTTATTTCCTACTGGTTTATGGTATCAGTGACACTTTTCTCTGAACTGAGTTAGGGAGAACCATTACTGAGCAGAAATATCCCTGCTCTAATTCATGGCAAAAACATAAGGGAAGTAAGGATGAAACTGCCCTGTCTCCATGAGGTCACATATTTCTATGAGTTTAAAAATATGGAATTGTTTTACCGATATGGATCTACTTAACCTTTTCCCTGTTTTTTTTTCCATTGTTAATTTTCAGATCACATGACGAACAATTTCGTGGAGTGTACGTATCTCATTTTTCTACTGCTTAAAAAATTGTTATGCTTTTGCTCAGCTGATGGCCTCTCTCTCCTCATAGAGATGCATGAAGCCTTGCCCTGCATGCTTCCAAATAAAAGCTGATTTCTGTGCTTGTTGAGTGTTTACTTCCATGTGTGCAGTACTTTCTTTGAGGTTAGTATAGCCAGAATATGAGCTGCTCCTCTGCCTGCTGCCCCTCAAGAGGATCTTGCAGTCCTGGGGGGCACAGCCACTCCATCCTGGCTCCCTCTGCACTCTGATCTCACGTAAAGCTGTCTGACCCTGTGATCCAGAGGCTGCCAGATCTGGCAGCTGTTATTTCTCTAACCTGCAAGATCCTGCCTTTGAGAGGTGCTTGGTTTTGGCTGCCGTCTCTAGCTGAGCTCAGCACCTGACTTCCTTATCCCTTAAAATCCAGTGCTGAGGTATTTTAAAATAAAGTCCTGTAGGAAAAAAGATTATCAGTAAGTCCATAACAACTACTGTAATGCCTTGTACAAGGCTGTTTTCTGATGGCTGTGAGTTTACTGAAGTACTAAACCAAACCCAAGCAATATGTACTGTAATATATGGCACCGTGAGTAACAGTAAGAAATATTATGCAATGGATGAAATGAGACATTTATATTTTAGAAGGTCCTTTCTTGCAGCCCTAGATATTGATGAGTCTTCAGTTATGCAGCTGGCAGAGATGGGCTTTCCTTTGGAAGCATGTCGGAAGGCTGTGTACTATACAGGCAACCTGGGTGCTGAAGTTGCTTTCAACTGGATCATTGCACACATGGAAGAACCAGGTCAGTGACTGGAGGGTGTAAGTTAAACTCAGCTCCTGGTTGTGGATTTTGGCAGTCAGTAGAAATTTTATAATGTGTGACAGAGAAACAACGACCCCCCCCTTCCCCACCTGGGAAACCTGGAGGTGTGAGTGAATTTTCCTAAGCTGCTCCTGGGATGTGCAGATCTTGACCATTATGTGGTGTCCTCTGCCTAGAAGAAGACAACAAACTAAGCTACACCAGAAGTCCTGTCCTCACCACTGGTGTGGGCCAGCTCTGTTTCCACCCTTTGGCTAGGTCCGTGCTGCTAAGGGGGAAGCTGACTTGTGACCAAGTGTAAGTACAAAGAATCCTGTGGTCTGGATGCTTTCCTTCCATATCAGCCTTCTCTAGCTCAGGCTGGAGCATTCATGCCATACTTGGGCTGTCTAGTGATGGACAGGGCTGCTAGATGTTCTCCACTTCCTGTGTTTCATCTGTGCAAAGTTTGGACTCATGATTCAGCACTGAGTGCACCTGAGCACTCCCTTGCCAGGAAACCCCAGATTTGGTTGAGTTCACGCTTCACCATGAGCTTTTGTGTTGCTTGTGTAAATGGGGGAATGAGTTTCACTTGGGGCTTAGCAGACATTTTCAGATATGGAATCAGTTCATTTTACATCTGTGCACTGGGTTGTCTATTATCCTGATGCCATCATTGCTTCCATACCAATCTTTGCTGCTTTCCTGCAGTTGTTTCACTTCTGCAATGTGCTGAGTTATTCCAGTCTGCTCAGTATGAGCACGTGCACCTAGACAATTTGTAAAGTGCACATTCATTTTGTTGTTTTTAAGGCTTTCCACACATCTAAGTCTGAATTTAGATGCCAGTGAAATGAACTTACATTGATTTCAGGACTGCTTTTGAGGTCCTGTGTGTTGTTTGTTTGTGTTTGTTGTTGACTTTCCATTTAAGTGAGGCAAAAGAAGGAACTGATGAATGTTTGTTTGTTACAGACTTCGCTGAGCCATTGGTCATACCTGCATTTGGAGAAGTTGCTTCCAGTGGGGCAGCTGCTTTAGGAGCTGTAGGGTTAGATAACCAGCCTCCTGAAGAGATGGTTGCAATTATCATTTCCATGGGATTCCAAAGGAATCTGGCAATTCAGGCACTGAAGGCAACAGTGAGTTCATGGGTTATTGGTAGCACTGGGGTTTTGTTTCATGTTCTGTGCTTTGTGCTTGTGGATGCTCAGATGCCTTTGAAATGTGTGCAAAAATCCAGTTAGTGGGTGGTGAGCCTGGAACTATCCTGGCAAAGTGTGGGATGCCTGTCTTCTCTGGAGTGGGGAAAGTGCTTTGTGTGTTTCACTTTCAGCAGTAAAGTGAGGCAGTAAGGAAAACTTACCTGGTTTTACGACCTGTTGAAAAATAACCTGGATGCCTGGAGACTGTGTGTCTGCAAGATAAGAGCCTGGGGCAGTGGGTCTTACTTGTGGGATTTTTTTCTTTTCCATATGTCAAGGTTTTGCAGAGTGCTTGCTGAATACTATTTTCCAGGGAGGTAGAGGTATCTTACAATTTTTAAGTGCTGTAAACATGACCCTTACTCTGTTCAAAGGCTGATGAGTGGCAGTGTGAAGTTAGAGAGTATTAAAGGCTGCTCTTTTGATTGTTTGACTGGCAGAACAACAACTTGGAGCGTGCACTGGAGTGGATCTTCAGCCACCCTGACCCTGAGGAAGAAAGTGACCCTGCTTTGGACACAATGGATATGGAGAACAATGCTAATGCCAATATCCTTGCAGAGACAGGGTCAGAGGGACCCAGGATCAAAGATGGCCCTGGAAGTAAGTTCTGCTTCAGCTTAGACCTGGCTGTCATTCTGTTGTGTCACACCCACCCTGTTCATAGAGCTCCTTTCTGTTTTGAAAGTAGTTATTGTGGGTTCTTTGGACATGATCCAGACAATTTACTTGCAGTTTTGTTTCTAGGGCTGAATACAGCTCTGTGGGCCACTGAGTTCTGTGGGCTGTGTTTGCTCAGAAAACTCTCTGCTTGGACTCACTGAATAATCCAAGCTCTAAGTTTCTTGCTACCACAGCACACAAGTCTCTCCTGGCCTAGGTTTACCTTTTGTTCTGTTGCTATAAGATAAAAAGACAAAGAAAAGCTAGAATGTTTGAATCTTCAGAGGCTGAGCATCCTAAAGACAACACTGCTGCTACAGACCACTTGAATTTCTGTCTTCCTGTGGTCTGCTGAGCAGTTTGATAATCCCTTCAACCAAGTTCCTTATTCACAATACCACAAGTACAGTTGGTGTCCTGCATGTTTTGTTTTCTTTTGGTTGAGATTCTCTGTCACACTGCTGCTAAATAAACCACAAGATGGGGCTAATGTACAGCAGGCAAAGTTGAGAAGCACCTCCTGGAGGTGTCACAGCACTGGAGTACAAAAGCTCAGTGGTGGTGCTAAGGATGTCACAGAAAGTTTTTTGAAGGGTCTTTAGTGATGAGTTTTAATAACTGTAGTATGTTCTAAACTTCTACCTCTGATTTTGAATGTAAAGGTCTAGAAAAAAAAAATTACCAGACAATTTGTGTTTTATGTCTGTGGTTGCTACTGTTATATTAAGATTATAAATATCAACCTTAAGTCTTTTGGAGACATGAGAAATATTGATTATTGCTAAGTTAAAAAAAATCCCCAAGCTTGAATAATTATTTTTTCTCGTACTTAGCCTTTATAGACTGAGACCCTTTAGTAAGTGCCTGAAATCCTGATAACAAACATGATTCTGTGAAATAGCTCCAAAAAGCCCTCTCCAGCAAAATCCAGGCCCGTGTCCTTATGCAATATCCTGAAAAAAGTTGCCCTTTTATTTTTAGTGGTAATTCAGGTGAATGGCATGAATGGGTGGGGATCAAGAGCCAGTGCTGAGCTCTCCAGAGACTTCAAGCATAAAAATTGTCCTTATGTTAAAGGAAGAGTTTCTTTCCTGTCCTCTGTTCTATGCTATGAAATAGAGACTTCTGTGTTTTTTGATATATAAGAGATCTGTGATCACATGTATAGACACAGCTAATTTGTGTGCAGAATGAACTCCCTGTTTGGCACTTTCTGTGGTTCTTTCTGTGAACTGGGAATGAATCTGCTGTTTTCTTTCCTAGTAGGGGCTGTGATCACAGCCCTGCTGTATGTGCACAGGTCTCTGTGAGTTTGATTTGGATTGGTTTGATGTTTGACAGTGAATCTGAGCCACCAGTTAAGTTGGGAACATGCTGCAGTGTTAACAGAAACTGAATTTGGGGATGCAGGGTCTGTTTTGGGAGTGCTTAGCTGCTTCTCCAGTACTAGAAAGAAGTTTTCCCCTGGAGTCATATTGCAGTGGTAGCAGTGAAAGACTCAGGGTGCCATTTGTATTTCTTAAAACAGGGTATGAGCTGTTTGGGTTCATCAGCCACATGGGAACATCCACAATGAGTGGCCACTACGTTTGTCACCTCAGAAAGGAAGGAAGGTGAGTGCAGCTGGGAGAGACACATGGGTTGAGCAAATGTTTGACTTGAAGCATCTGTACAGAGCAGGGCATGCTCATGGCAGACAACACAGGCTGTTACCATCTGTAGGTTTCCCATCAAAAAAAAGAAAATTGTCAGAGATGTGATGAGTCAGTTCTGATCCCAGTGAAGTCTGTGGTGAAATGTTCCATAGGCTCTCCTGTGCTTGCCATTCCAAATCTCTGTTCAGTTTGGGGCACTGGTTCTGTATCTGGCTGAGTTTATCTGAGCTCTTCCCAACTTTCTTTTGCTGCCCATCAACAGAAAGCCATGGAGCCATGGGCTGATACCAGTGCTGCTGGTACTGTGGTGCTGATCTTGGCTCTGATTCTGGTATGCTCCCATTATTTGACATTGGGAATCCCTGATTTTCCTTCATTTGAGCTGTAATGACACATCCCTCCTCCCTTTCAGTTCCTGACTCTGGCAGCTGGTTTGGCTGCTTCTCTGATCCTTCGTTCTCATTGCAATGCCTAATTTTAGATTTTAAACTCTTTGAGGTTTGGGTCTGAGAGGTCCCTGATAAACCTGTGGTGATTTTTATACTCATGGCATGTAATCAATCTTGTTTTCCTTTCAGATGGGTGATCTACAACGACCTTAGAGTCTGTGCCTCAGAACGACCTCCCAAAGACCTGGGCTACATTTATTTTTACCACAGGATACCAAGTTAGGCCTCAAATCTATCACCTGGCCTTAAGAAGCCATAAGCCTTTTTAACCTGCCCAAAAAAAGCGTACAATAAAAATCTAAAACCAACAAAAGACCCCTTAACCCTTGGACTGCCAAAAAGCAAAGGAAACCATGGGATGTTTATAGTGTATTTAAAAACAATCATTTGATGCCGCCTTAAGTGTTAGACGGAAGATTTCTAATAGGTGCTGTATAGGACATTGTTTTAAATTTATACACCTTACAGGCCATGTGGATTTCTGGTGGAGTTTGCAGCTAGTGTGTGGAGAATATGGAAGCTTCAGTGTTGAGCAAAAACAGTTCAGCCCAGCTCCTGCCTGTCCTGCCCATGCGTCCTTTGAAGACCACAAACAAATATTTGTGTCTTTGGTGACTGGGAGCCTGTGTTTTCATCCAGAGTCCAGATCATGCAGAGAAATCATTTGAAGGGAGGGGGTTTCTGACTGTTCTTCAAAGCAGAATGTCCTTTTTCAGAGATTATTTTCAGTGCAGTGAGAAAAGTCAGCTGGAGTTATATCTGTTGGAATTCACTGGTACAGTATCTTGATTTGACTTTTCCAGGCATAAGCCTAAGAGACTAATGGAGACAGGAGCAATCTCCTGTCAGTGCTCTCTTCATTTTTTGCCAAAGAGAAATTTTATTTTTCCAGATAGAGGTTTCTTCATCTTCACTTGAATGTTTATTTTTTAAGTTCTACCAACAGATTCAGGATTACAGATGGCTAAAAGCAGTAGACTTTATGACTATGAAATTAAATGCACACCCTCAGGAAAGGCAAGGCTGTTATTTAAATTTTGTTTTCTTATGGAGGAGGTAAAGAAGGGTTTAATGTCCCATTATATTTATGTCAGGGAAATTTGTATCTAGAGAACTCATATTCCACTCATATCTGAAATCAACTCCCTGACAAAGTACTCGCAGTTCAATCCTGCTTTCTGCTAAAGATTGCTTAAATATTGACTTTCATACTTGAGTGAGGGAAATTGCTTAGTAATTTTCTGATTTATTGATTTACCCCTCTCTTCCTCCGTTAAAAAACCAAACCAAAAAGCAACAACAAACAAGAACAAAAAACCACAATAAAACCCCCCTTGAACTGATACTTACACTTTCTTTAAACTTGCAAATGCATCAGTAATCTGATCTCTTAAACAGACACGTTCTAAACAGGGTCTGATATCTCTGGCAGGGATGATGGCCTGGGTAGGCAGGGGCTGCCCTTTTCTGTCTCTTTTTTTTTTTTTTGGTGTTATTTAAGTATTTTTCACAGGTGAGAATACACATGTGGGTTTTAAAATTATGTTTGAAAATACTCATTCTAGAAAAATTATAATGGTGAGTGTGAACCTTTCATGATTCCAAAAAAAGAACAAACCCAAAGGTTCACAGTGTTGGACGCTGCTTAGAGACTGTTGCTGGACTTGCCTTGTACAATGTTACCAAGCCCTCAAAATAAATTGCAGCAGTCAAAAAAAAAAAAAAAAAAAAAAAAATTCCAATGTGCAAGAGAGCCAGAGAGGTGTCATTACATTTTCTCTGCTGTTAGTGCCTGCAAGTTTTAATAGCAAAATTCAGGCAGCTACACACTACATAAGAGAACCCAAATTAAACATCTTTTTGTGAGAAGGGAATTTTAGTTTTTGCATTGTCTGGGGAAAAATAATTGTCGCTCTGGTCATAAAGCCACTCACAGAGCCAAAAAACACTGTTGGTATTTTAATCAGGTTTTTATCTTAAAAGATTGTGAGAGAAATTCCAGTGCAATAATTTTACGGAGTGTAAAGGTGTCTAATTTCTGGGAGAGCTCCCTGCATTAGAGCTCTTATGGACAAATTAGTGCAGTGTCCTGGCACAGTAATGAGTGGCCTCTGTGACATTCAGCTGCCTTGTGCTTATTGAGCCACCAGTTCTGGATGGAATAAAAGCTGCCAGTAATTTCTTTGCTTCTTCCAGATTTTGGATATTTGAGGACTTCACCAGAAAGTGACAGGTTTGAAAATGGGATCAGCAAATTATGCAGTGATACATCTTCTATTTAAAGTGAAAGAGCAAAACTTCTGTATATATGTGTGTTTCTTCATTCTGGCAGTAGAAAAAGGAGAAAAGGCCTTTTTATCCCCCTTCCTTTAATTTTTGAACATTTTTATTTTCAATTCCCATGTATATTCCAAAGAAGTTCAACACAATAGCTTTCCTCTTGCCTCATGAACTTAAAGGGCTATTTAGAAACACCAAGATCTGGTGACTGCTGCCTTTTTATTTAGAAATCTTGGGTAAATAAAGGCCAGCTGAGTAACCCACATGTTCATTACCCAGCTGGAAGTATGGCTGGTCTTGTAGGATCAGGGATGGAGCTGGAACCTTGCCTACTGTTTGGTGCATGCCAGAGCTGTGATGGCTGTGGAGCTGTCTGGTCTCAGGAGGCACATTTGGAGGGTGATAAACTGGAAATGTGGTTGGAAGGGGAGGGCCCTTGGCTGGCTGTGGTGGGTAAATTGGAGCAGCTCAGGTTCTGGAGTTCTTTTCAGTTCATCACTTTTGTGCTTTGCCTGCCCAAACCAAAGTTAGTCAGGAGTGCAGGGAGCAGTTCAGGGGAAAGGATTTCAGGTTTTCTAAAATTTATCAGTTAAAAATACATTAGAAGTTCTTCAGTCAGGCTTTTGAGGAATTACTTTATTCTCTCCCAAAACAGTGGCCTCCCTCCTTTTTAAAGTGTCTGCTTGTCTCCTTTTTGTGATGGGTTTTGTGTGAAGAACATCAAGAACCTGGAGGATCAGGATGTAAACTTCTGACTCCTCAGCCTAATGTGGGGGAGAGGAGTTTTGGTGAGTTTTGGGTTTTTTTAAACTCCAGCATTGCAGAAGCCCCACTCAAACAGACTGAACTGAGGAGATGACTGATCTGCCAGGCTGTGCCTGCTGCAGTGTGAATGTGCTGAATGGTGCCAGGGCACAGCCTGGGCACACTCCCTATGTCTGGGTGCTGGGGGCTCTGTGATCTGGGAGCTTCTTGACAAAAAAGAATGGAGGGAGAAAAATCACTGTGAGCTGTTAGAGACAATCTGACCTGAGAATCACAGCAAGCCAGGACCTGGCAGTAAATAATGCTCTTATTTCTCAGACTTGTTTTTACTTTTTTGTGTGATACATTTAGGTTAGGAGAAAGGAGGGAAGAAAAACTCAATAACTTTTCCTTGATTTCCTCTTCTCCTCTCATTCCTAGCAGCATGCTGGATCCAGTAGACTCCTCATTTTGAGTCACAATCTCCTGTCTCCAAAACACATGTAGACACAAACTCCTATTTAATCTTCCTAGATAAAATATAATTAGGATAAAAATTAATTTATTCAGACCTGTAGTTTTAAAATAAGTGTAGATGTTTCTGAACTCCCAATCACTTGTAACTCCACTGGGTTCAGTGCCATTACCTCTGATTGACTTTGGTGTAAGAGAAACCAACATCAGCCCAATTCTTTGATTCAGACAGCCTCCACCAGGTCACAGAACACATTCAGAATGTGGATGCATCCAGAGCTCATTAGATTTCTTTAGAAACCTCTGCAACTGATTCCTTTTGTTCTCCATCCTGGCAGCAGCCATTTTTATCCTCTTTGCTGTTCTCATGCATTGGAAGTCTATGCAAAATATGTAACTGGACATTTTATTGTTTTCCCTGTCACCCTTCCTACCTTAATGGCTGAGATTGGTGTCTGATTTCTACTCAGTCTTCAGTGGTTTTACTGTTGTATCCTGGAAGTGTCTGTCCTGGTTTACTTTGCACCATTCAGAGTTGTTTGCTTGAAGCACTGTTACCTTTCTGGAGAGTATTTGTCTGAGATGAGAAAGGCTGTGAATGACGTTGTTGCAACTGTTTTAAATTAAAAAGAAATATTCTCACATCTGGTGACTGTGTGGATTCTTGCTTCTTTATTCCTGTCTGAACTGAAGAGGAATAGACAGAATTTGTTTTGATGCTGCCTCTCACTCTTTGTGTTCACATTTGGTGTTTTACTTAAAAAAACCCTGCATAGGGAACAGAGGTTCGTGAGAGTCTTGATTTCTTGTGACTCCTGGCATTTCTGTGGATTAAAAAAAAAAAAAAGTAAAATCTCCAAGCCCTGCGTGAATATACAACATGGCAAAAATTATAAAACAAGTTTTAAGTTAGATTGGTTTGTTTGTTTTTAACTATTAGGCCTGTTGGTGTTCTTTGATTGCAAGAGTTGGCACTGTTTGTGTGGAATAGTGCTGTCATTTCACTCCAAATTTCTGCTTTATCATGGCCTATAATTCCTCATACTCAGAAATTTCTTCTGCTGCTCAGTAAAGGAGAAGACTGTTTTCCTCACGTGTAAGGATTTTACACAGAAATGTGACTTTTGGGACTCTGGTAGATGCAATAGGCTGAAAAAGAAGACTGAGGGGTGACAACTTTTTATAGGATCACAGGACCAGCAACTGGAGGAGAGGTAAGAGGTAAATCTGCTGGGCTCAGTGACACTTCTTGACATGGAATTAGAGGACATGTGCCATGTTGAGTGATAAGAAATGTAGAGATGGTTCAGCTTCGGAAGTCTAAACTAAATGATCTGTTTTGGTTTTTCTTCTATCACAGATGTCCTTTGTGACCATGGCAACTCAAGCCACGCTGCTCACACCACTTGTGGCAACTGGAAGAGGTGGGAGAGTGGCTCCCTGTAGAAGCTAACCAGCTCTGCTCAGAATTTCCAGGGATTTCCTGTATAGGATTTGTGCCTGCTAGCTTTTGCAGACTGTGTGGGAGGCAGTGTTGGATAACTGACAAGTTGCCACCCTCTGCTCCCCCTCACTGCCGTGGGAAGTTGCGCCTTTGTGTCCCCCAGGTGTCCAAGCCTAACCCAAAGAAGGGCAGCACTGACAGCCGTGGTGGAAGACAAATGCTGTACAATTATTGAAAACAGTTACTGCACGACTGACAGCTGCTTGGAGTGGGTGATTATGTTTTCAGATGTCTTTAGCAGTGATTTTTAGCAGTTTTTTGCGTGGATTTGGTACTGGTGCTTTTCTCCCACTGTCTTTTAGGACAGCAGTGCTGTGCTCCTGATCTGGAGCACATAACCAAAGGATTTTCCTCCTGCTGCTTTGTCAGTGCATTTGATCAAAAAGAACTAAACTAGCTTTAACATCTCCCAGCAAAACACACCAGTGGCAAGAGCTCACAGTTAATTTTGTCCTGACCTAAGGGTTAGTGTGGTTTTTGTGTCTGTTCCCCTTTATTCCTTGGTGGAATGTTCTGGTTAAAGCCATAGGTTTTACCCAGTTGTTTTTTCTGACAGAACTTTCCTTCTGCAGGCAAACCATGGCTGTGTGTTCTGTTTGTTTTCCTGGAGCAGCCCCCATGTCCATGGAGAGAGTCCTGCTTTTCCCATGTCTGTGCTGTCAGCTTTTCTGTCCACAGCAGCACACAGGAATTTTTATCCCTCGTGCCTGTGCTTGTGTTGATGTCTCACAGCAAAAGCACAGAGTAGGAATGACATCAGCCTTGTCAGCACTTTCACCTCATCCCATGAAGGACAGAACTGGAAAATGCTGAGAGCCAACTCCTGTGGTGGTATGTGGGAAATTGCTTGAGTAGTGGTTTCAGTCACTGCATGTTGGCTTTGCTTTTCATAAAGTTTGGTTTCTGATATTATTACTTCTGTTTTAATTATTGCACGGTCTTCAGGAAAATCCTTATCTATTTTTTTCCCATTTTCCTCATATGGGCTGTATGTGCAGAACCCTTTGGGCCAGGCCTCAGCTGGTATAAATTCCAGTTGTAAGTATAACTGACCGACATGTTGAAATAAAAATAAATTCTAAAAATAACTGTGCCTCAGAGAAACAATGAATTTAGAAAAAATGAGAACAAAAGCATATTCTGGACTTAACTTTTAACCAAAGAAGCATGTTCAATTGGTAAACAATAGGATAGAATATCTCACTGAAAAAATCCTTTCAGTTGGAGAATTAGATCCCTCCTTTCAGTTTAAGTAATTGAAATCAAGACTCTTTCAAGTTGAAAAGAGATTTTGAAATATTTGAAGCCACAGACAAAGTTTATTTTTAAAACATATTTAAAAATTGCACAGTTATAAATACAATTAATAAATACAATTTAATATGTGGAAAAGAACCCAAGGAAGGCATGCTTCCATTACAGTACAAAAATACTACATTAAGTGTGGTGCTTTGCAAATAGTCATCTATGACCTTAATAAATTTAACACATCCAGTATGCACATCATTCTTTTTTGAGGAAATAGGTTATTTTAAACAGCAGTGCAGGGAAACACCAAATTAAAGCATCAGTAAACTCTAGGTCTGTGTTTAATATTACACACAGCTGATAATGCACTAAGCATACAGAGGCAGAGTTACCTGTAGTAAGAAACTGACCTTGTACCCCGTATGTTCTTACATTCAGATTCTGAATCTGGGTCAGTGTGAGCCTTTGTAAGGGAATGTAAACATTCAGGTGTGGGGCTGAGCTCCCACCTGGGCAGCGCTGCCCAGCCCTGCCCTGCACTTCCCCGTGGACACCAGGAGTCCAGGGAATTCTGCAAGGGTGTGCAGCAGCAGGGCTCTTCAGATGGCCCAGGTGAAAGTATCTGCCAACCCTGGGATCACTTCCTTCCTCTATGTTGGCTTAAAAATAAAGCCAAAAGAACTGATGCAAGATTGCAAAGGTTTTCAAACAGTTTACAGCATATAGAAGAAGCCACACAGAATGCCTCTCAAAACTATATAGTTTTATTTTACTCTAGATATGTTATACTCTGATATATAAAATATATTTATAAATTTTTTTCATTTTTCTGAATTTACAATAGCTTACTGATATTAAAAAGGCTATTTAAATTAAAGGTTCAGCCAATGTCGATGGCATTCTGTAAATGTAGAAGGGGAAAAGAGATCAAAGCACATCAAGTCTTGACCATGCAAGCTTGCTCAATGGGTTGTCACATATTGCAAGCATTTGTAAAGTTACAGCATATTTTAGGAAAATTTAGATTCCTTCTGTCTCTTTACCTTGCCTAATGCCTGTTACTTTGTGGGCTGAGGCTCTGAAACTTCCCATGGATTCTCTGACATGCCTGTTTTTCATTTTTCCTACGTTTGTTCAAAGTGTCAGTGACCGCTTCATGCATGGCACTCCTGTTCTCTGATTTATTTCACCAGTCCAAAAATCAGTAGAACCATAATGAAGGAATCTGATTCTAGCCTAGGTAAGGTTTGAATAGTAGATAATACTGTATTGCATATCCACCATTTTTTTTTCACAACGTGCAGTGCATTTTGTCTTACCATTTTTGTGAATAATTGGTATATTATTAACATTTATTACATAGATTCACTGTACAGACTGCTAAGCTGACAACACTGGTGACCAGAAATCACATTTTTTTCAACTGTGCAGGTAATTCATGCGAAAATAACTAATATGTCTCGTTTTGCAGATGCATGTTTGGGCAAAAGAGATCTACAACCAATTTATGCTCTGCTCCATTTCTCACTGGCTCCAGCAGTCAATGATTTAGGCCTCAGGCTCTGGCTGTGCCAGTGAGGACAGCAGTTGTTATTTCTGCCATGGAGGTCTCTGCTCTGTGGATATTCCTGGGATACCTGGCTGTTCTGGAGTTGAGACTAGAGATGAAAATGTGAAAATCCAAACAACCCAGCTTCACTGTGAAAGCTGTGCAGATGTAGCTTTTTAATTCTTGAGGGGGTACTAAAACATGTCTACAAAAGCTGATATACAGATGTCTGTTATTAATCAAACACTTGGAGCAAACATGAAACCCACAACACAAAGTGAATTCTAAGGATGGGATTTTAAAAGGGCTCTGCATTTGGTCTAGGCTGTTCCAGATATATGAACAACTCAGATTTGAGTCTGGCAGATGCAAAGGACTTGTAAAATGTTCCACAGATGACATGAATCAATAGTTTAAGAATACCCTATGAGTGAGCCTTCTGCATGCATTCTCTAAACACATGCTCAGGTAGCACTGCTGCATGCTGGGGGTTAATATTGCATAGTGGTTACTGGTTAATGCAGTTGCATGCAATATTGTCACATGAGGTTTTGTGTCATTTGAACCTCCCCCTCGGTATTTTACAAGTGCTGTGATTTATCAGATCATAAGAAAACACCACTAGATACAGGTATGTTTACATGCGTGCCTAAAAGTCAGGCTGGTTCTTCAAGCTGACAGAAAGCAGTCTGTGGCCACAAGGCTCCTGTGGTCATTCCAGTTTAAAGAGGTCAGACAGCAATGAGCCTTTTGCCTTCATGGCAAAGCCTCACTCCCTCAACAGCCCCTGTGATTCCAGTGCCTGGTCAGCACGTGCAGTGGTGCCAGAGCCAGCCCTCTCCTGGAATACCTGCGTGTGAACTGAGCACTCTTGTGCAGAGTCCAGGCTTACAGGGTTCAGCAGATTGATGGATCAGGTCATAACTATTCCTAAACCTTTGTAGAACACAAGGACAGTCCCAAGCTGGGGTTAGGAAAACTTTTTTTTTTTTAATTGTACAAAATATAAAATAGAAAAAAAAAAAAGTTCAAAAACTTGGAATCAGTTGCCTGGCAGTGATAAATCACCTCTGGAAAAAGAGAGGAGTAACAAGAAAGGGAAACAGGAGTGGGGCATGGTGATACACCATTGCAGGACTCTAATTGGGCCTCACCTCATAGATGCTCTACAGCATCCTGAAATGCCTGAGTCTCTCCTCTGCTGAAATCAGGAGTTTCTGTGTGAAACTGCTTCCCTAGATCTGAGCAGCCTTGTGTTTGTGTCACCTTCCTGCCCAGGGGAGGGGTGACCTGGCCTCTGCAGTGTGAGGCAGTGATTCCCCCCTGCTCCCAGTATCCTGCATCCCAGGAATGCAGTTTCCCATCTTCCTTCCTTCCTTGCACACCTGGGCAAGTCAGGGATGGCAGGAGGCTTTGACTTGGTCGAGCTCCCAGGGAGTGCTGAGAACAGGACGCAGATTTGCTGTCTCTCACTCTCAGGCTCAATCTGCTACTGTTCAGCACCCGCCTTATTTATCCCACCTCATGCTTGGTTAGAAGCACAAGTAGATGAATTTTCTATTCAGGTTGTTAATATGCTGCAGCCTCCTCGCATGTTTCCTCTTGCTGTTTCAGGCAAATATACAAACTTGTCCTGAATATTTAAGGAAAGCCAAGAGGAGGTCAGCTCAAAGCTGTATCTAATCCTGTCTGCTGCACTGACAGTGCTTGGCAGAGGGGGCTAAAGGAGGACGATAAACCCAGGATCCTAAAGAAGTGCCCAGAAGTCCCAAGTGTTGCTGGGCCTGACTTGTTAGAGTGAGGTGAGCTCAGTCTCCAGCCACTCTCCACACTGACCAGCCCAGAACTGTGTGAGATGTGCCCCTGTCCCCTGTCATCTGCCCTGCTTTAGCCTCTGTCAGTGGCACATGCTTGACTGGCCATAGGCTAGCTACAACAGAGAGGCCAGCTGGGATCATCTCTGCAGGCTGTGCACCTCTTTGGACAGGCTTTGCAGCCCTTGTCCTGTACAGCAGAGCTGGGCTGGGCTGGGGGCTGAGCCTGCCAGGTGAGTTGTCTCAAGGTTACACACACAGCTCCTGCCAGTCCCATGGGCGTGGAAATATGTCAGCAGATAAATGTAGTTTTGAGCAGTGCATCCCAGGATAAACCAAAAGCTACCTACTTAGTTTGTTCTTTTTGGAGAGGCTTGGACTTGCATAAGGTTTTCCTAATGATTCCTGTGTTACCCATGTTTAGTGAATTGCCATGAGAATCAAATACCCCTTGTCATTCTGACTCTGAGAAATACTTTTTTTTGGTAATTCCAAAGTTGTAAAAATAAAGTCCCTGAACAGCTAATTCCTCTGCACAAGCACTGGTTATCCTACACCCCAGCACAAAGGATATCCTAGAAGAACTTGTGTGATGGCAGGGCATCAAGCAAAACTTAAGCACATATGCCTTTGCTTTACATCCTCTTCTCAAAGCTGCCTCCCTTCTCTCTTATCACTTCCCAGATTCAATTGCACTGCACCTTCTGCTCTGCCTTATCAATAAAGAGCTGTCATCACACATCTCTGTCAAAGCAAAAGAGCAAACTGTTGTCAGCAGATATGCACACAGCAGCCCACTTAGCCAAAGTGACATTCCCAGGCAGACCCATCCTTAGAGAAAGCTGCAGGAATCAGTTATGAAACACCTGACAGATAAACAGGAATATATGTGTAAACAATGAATTGATAAAGCACTCTTAACATTTTTGGTAGCTGTTTTGACATCTCTGCTCAGTGGGAGAGAGTGAGGGGTAAGCTTTTTATTTTTCTAATTATTTTTATTTAACAACCTATAGATGGTGATTAGATGCAGTGATTACACTGTCTTACATGGAATTTTCCTTTAAGTGGCGGCTCAAAATAACAGACAGCTGCAAGAAACTTTAGGTTTGTACTGGTGAAACTGTCCAACCCCCACAGAGCATCTTTCTCTGTGATCTGTGCAGTTGGATTTCTTTTTTTATCCCTCTGAGCTCGATTTTTCTTCTAATGTTGTTCATAGGAAATGTGCTATTTGTCCCACTTTAACACATTCCAGTAGCTACTCTGGAAATTGAAATCCTGACCACAGATCAACACATCTAACAACACTTTTTATCTTTCGCTGTTCAGGAAAAATATTTAAAATATCAGCAACTGAAAATCACCTCCTAAAAATTTCTCTGCCTTCTTTGATTGACACATTCACCCTGAGCAAAATGTGTTTGATTGTAGCTGAATCAATCCATTCATCAGGGATTGACTGCCCCAGCCCTGCTCCCCATTCATGCAGCCAGGGAAAATGAAAACAGAGTGTTTATACACACATTTGTGAGCAGCTACACATACTGGTGTTATCTAAGGATTTTCTCTGCTATCTTGGAGGTTGTGGAGAGTTTTGCTGCTGTTTGCCATAACAGCAGGATCAAGACTTGGCCTCAATCCTACCAGCATTGTACTGACCAATTTCTTTAGGGAAAGTTTTCCCTTGAGCATGGTCTGCAGGCAGTAACTCCCACAAATATTTTTATTCGTTTGCAACAAAGATCTGTAGCTTGCTATGTTCTGAAATGACATCATTTGCATACAACATGTATGTGCATGCACATGCATGTATACGTGTAGTACCTGATGGATGCATATAATAATCTTTCTAGTTGTTAATGCAGTTTACACTGTATTTGCATTTTTAAACATAAAAATATTGAAAACCCTCCCATTACACTTCAGGAAATTATATTTGGTCCTCTCTGCCAACAAGGCCATCCTGTACATTCCATTGTTGGTGACTAAAATAAAAGCATAGCACTATTTTACAAAAAGAAAGGTTAAAGTGCATAAGTACACAGAAAGGTGCAGACCCTGCCATGAGCTTGTTCAGACTGTCCCAGATCAAGGACAGCTGGTTTGAACAGCAACAATTCCAGTGCAAATTGCCTCTTCTGCTGGCAACACTTGGCTTTCCCAAATGTACCTGGCCTCATCCCATAGCCCTGCAGGGACTGTGTTCCTCCTGACACTGCACATGGCTTCATGAGCCTGCAGAACTGGGCCCAAATTAATCCAGGTACCTTTGGAAGAAAAAAACTGATTGCCAGCTAATAAATACATTCAAAACAAAACACATCCCTTTTACATGCACCTATTTTCAGAGCTGTGTTAAAAATGGACCTTGGGAAGATTTTTCATCAAAGAAACCAAAGGATAGGGAATCCCCACTGTGGGGCAAAGTGGTGTCAGCATAGTGCAACGAGCTGCTAAGCAGGTTCCTTGGATGCACTGCTTGCCAGTCTAAGGTGCAATAACCATTATCTAGGTTTCTTCTTAAGATACTTTTTTTTTACAGCTGTATGGATATAGAGAGATATAGCTTGCATGGGATGGAGATTCTTCAGAAATTGTTATTTTGTCTAGTTCAGGGCTTTGTCCGATTAGCCACAGCTCATTTCAACCCTTTGAGTTTGAATTTATTTACACTATTTTTGTGCTTTTGAACTTTCCCTTTATGAATAATGCCTGGAGAAATTCCCCTACTGATCTACAGTCATGATCTTTTGGAAAATGTGGTCATTTGGGGATGAGTAATAAAAAAGTTCTCTGTTTCCTAATACAATTCAATAAATTTTTGAATCCTTTTTATTACGGCTCTAGATTAAAAGCTCTTAAGAGAATGTCTAGATCACCCACATTGGCAGCTTGAAATAGTTCTGGCTGGTCCATCATAGACAGAGCAATCCGAAGTGCTGCCCAAATGTTGCCTGACAGAGCAGGGTGGGGAACGTGCTGCTGATTCCTGCTTTTCCTTTGCAAACTGAGAGCAGTGAGGAAGTTGCTGACAGCCTCTCTGCAGGTAAAAAGAAAAAGGAAAAAGAAACAAGCATTGTAATTTGCTTAACAACTACAGGCAAACTTTCTAAAGTTCCATGCCAGGCTTAAATACACTATTTTACAATGTAAAATAATACAATGTGTTGTTCTTGATTTTCATCAGGCAGGAGGGCGTGGCTTGGGGTAACAAAACTCAGTCTATCCAAACATCTGGGGGTACTGTCTTCATTGCAGCAAAGCTCCTCTTCATCTTCCCTCTTTTTCCCTGACAGCTGGGACCCTGGAATATCACCTTCATTCCTGAAGGGTGTTTTTGATGGCATGAACTACTTGAGGCAGTTTAACTCAGGTTTCCCTTTAAAAGACAGGCTCTTACATTTTCTTTTACAGAGGCTCTTAAGAGCAGGACTATTTTAAGTGCAAGAACAATCCCACTGATTATAAGAGCACTTGCACTTAGAGCTACAAAACTGCTTTTTAGTCCTTTGTAAAAAGTTATGACAACATTTTACAACAGCTGAAATTATGCAGCTATATTCTGATTATTTTATTCTTAGATACCTCCAGCTTGAAAACGAATCTTCACCCAGCAGTTGTGATGCCTGACTTTTTGTTCACACATCTTTTATTCTCACCTGTATGCCCCTAGGTTGATGCAGCTTATGCCCAGGTTGTACCTGGACCTGATGAAGCCGGGCTGGATTTCCAGAGCTCGTGTGTAAGCCTCCACAGCCTCCTCACTGCGGTCCCCGTTGGCCAAGGTTGCCCCAAGGCGGTTCCACAACGTATAGTCCTGGTGAGAAAATGAGATTTTCTACTCTAGGTGTCAAAAACCAGACATAATGTCTCATTTTTTGCTTGCAAAGGAAAGAGGACTGCATAAAATAGTAATGTTGTATCTTAATTGACAAGGAATGTGAGGTTCTGACTCGTGATCAAAGGCGATTTTATGTATTTAATACCATTAATTAGCACACAGGTAGGAACTGGATATGCATAAATCTGCTTCTAAACAGAAGAATTACAATGTTAATTACGTCTTGTAATTAACATGTCTATTTTTGGGTCTTAAAATTTTAATGGCAGAAGTAGCATGTCATTAATAATAGCCTGATCCAGACAGGGAAAAGGAAATGGCCTGTAAAGCTAAATTTAAAAAAACGTAGAAGTTTAAAATGTACCTCTGGTCGAACAGTTAAAGCAGCACTAAATGCATCTATTGCTCTGTTAAATTCTCCATTCAGGTGAAAAAGAACCCCAAGTCCTGTCTGCAGGTCAGGGTCTATCATATCACCATTCTGGTGAGCAGCCTCCAGGTACAAATCCTTTACTTCTTCGAGTAATGAGCTAGACAAGGGAGAAAAATAACTTAAAGATCCATCATACAGTTATTTGCAAACATTTCAATGTTGACTGCATAGCTTGAAATTAAAATCTTTGTAGTGGATTTATCAGAAGTGTTATGTTCCATATTTGTGAATGAGCTTCTTCATCATGGCAAAGGTTTACTTCAGGGTGCTGTTGTAAACTCATGTCTGAAATAAAAATAGCTCATCTATGAAATGAGGTCAAAGTACAGCCATGAACCCAAGTGGAATGACATGAAGATTTATTAAAACTATTCAAATTAGATGAGTTTCTCAGACATAAAACAGTTCTTTACTGGCAAAAATAGCAGTATTTTTAAGAGGAATACCTAAGGGACCAGCCAAGACCCTTGAAGAAAGATGCCAAAACATAAGACTTCTGTGCCCACTGTAGCTTCTTAAAACCTTTGCACTGACAGCACCAGATGTCAGCAGGATGAAGCCAAAGTAGAATAACACACTTAGCAATTAAGCAGAACCTGCATATTTTATTTTTGCTCATACGAAATTATCTTGTCAACCCAGGACTTGTAAGTGATGAGCGTAAAACATAAGGCCTGTCTTCAAAATGACAAGCAGTGAGATAGCCTGAATGGTTTGGTTCTCTAAATCATGTTTATGCCTTTAATGACTTTATGATGCATCTCACAGTCCAGAGGTCCTCGTTTATTGTCCTCATGAAATCACGATGAAGGGCTGCCAAATCATGATTTTTTGTTATTTAAGATGGCCAAGATAAATCAAATGGCTGTGCTGTCTCTTGGTTAGAACCACAACAGCTTTCTAACAAGCAGGTGCCACCTCCCAATATTCTCAGAGAATTCATGTTGCACTGCAAAATGGCTCATTCCTGGATTCTGCTGGGCTGGGGTATGGGAAAACATCAGGAAGAGTGAACAGTAGGAAAAACACACACGTGTAGAGCTGGAGAAAGACTTCATATGGATGTGGAAGCAGCTGAAGGATGAGGGTGCAGGATGTGGGAATAGAAAGGCAGGAGACAGGGATAGAGGAAAGTGATGGGAGTTGAGGAGATACATCATTTTTTAGCAGTTTTTTTTTTCTTTTTTTTTTTTTTTTTTTTTCAACTTCCAGGGATGGCATAAAAGATAAAGCCTTCAGTCATTAAATGAGGATAACCACTGCATTTACCTTTCATCTGCTGTCTTAGACATCCTCCTGGTAAGTGCTGGGGACCCTTTTTTGCTTCTCACTATGTACTTGTATTTTGGATTTTGCTTTATCCAGTTTCTCAGGGCTTGATAGGCTTCTTGTTGATGGCCAGTGTTGGTGTAACTCACAGCCAGGGCCATCAGAGCTTTCAGGTTGTTTGGCTGCAGTTCCAAGCACCTAGGCAGAATATAAAGTATATATTGAGATATTTCTGCAGCCAAGCACAATGTTTGAATTGTTCCTAAGTAATCCATGTGAAGAAAATCACAATCATCACTGTTGTTCTTTTGAAAACTGGGGATGAGCAAGCTCCTAAATCAGGCAACCCCTTGGATTTCTATCCAGGTAAGCTAATAAAGGACATATAAACAAGTTTGAGTATCCTTAGGTGAAATAACTTTATGGTTATCAGTGCTGATGCAATTGAATATTGCTTCAAATGGAAACATAAAAACCCATTACAGAAAGATAATAATAATACTAATAATGCTGATATTTTGGAGCTCACATTTTATGTACAAGAATTCTATGATCACATCTCCATGGACCTAGAACTGTTGGCAGTTTAGCATTCAGCAGCTGAAGGGAGCTCACTCCAATTAAGAAAACCTCTTCATTAAAGGACAGACTACAGAAAATATGCCAAGTGGCTGGAATGTAAAAAAGGCACTTCATTTGCATCGTGCCTAACTCGTATTTATTAGGCAATATAACTTTTCTTTTGTGCCTGTACTTAAATTACTCCATGAAATATTTCACTTATTAATAAAACAGAAATATTAATCACTAGTCATCCCTCTGAAGTCACTGAAGTTTCTATATCTGTGTCAATGCTCTACTCTGCTAAATAAATACTTCTCATTCCAAGGTAGGAATGACATTAAATATCCCCAGGTCTCCATTTACCCAACACTCATCAGACCCCAGGTTTGGGACTGATCTCCCTCTACCTTTGGAGGGCCACGATGGCTGCCTGCTCATTTTCATTTTCTGCCTGTGTTATACCCAGGAACTGCCAGGCCTGCAAAATAATAATAATTTAGTTTGTTACATATATCCAACTGCAAACAGAGTTACAGCCAATAAGCACAGGGGTGAGGAAAAGCAGCAGATATGTCCAGCACTATGGGTATTCTGTCAGTGTATAATCACATGCTGATTTCTTAAATTTGAGTTACTGTACATTTTAAATTTTGCTACAATTTAATGGAAAACAGACAAGAATTATTTAGTTGCATATTATATATAGGGGGTTATTATATATTATATGTGTATATATATTAGGGGTTTCTGGGGAGCTTGGGATTCTCTGATTTTTTGAAGTGCACTGTTTAATTGAATGTAGGAGGATATTCAAAGAGCCCTAGATACAGCATAAATATTTTTAACATTTCACAAAAAACAGGCTTTAAATATAAACTAGTCGAAAACAGCAACATTGAAGAAATTTATATAACTTTCAAAATTTTTCAACAGTCTTGTCAAATCAAAAATATTCATCTTTCGATAGCAGTTTACAAGATAGTTTGAAAATATCAGGATGTGAAGGGAAGGTTTGAAATACTTCAAACAACAATATTTCAAAACCAGATTCTCATCCTATGAAGAACTCATTGTTATCTCTTTAAAGGCTAATTCATAACCTTTATATGCTAACTAAGTTCATAACTTTAAACACTAATTCATAACCCTTGGAATCCAATGTTTCATTCAGTCACGCCGGGCAGAGGTTTGATCCCAGAAACCATTCCCTCACTCCATGCTGCAGGGAGTTCCCTTTTCCTTTGCCAGGGGAAGGCACAGCAGCCAATACCTCAGCATCGTTGGGCTCTTGGAGAATTGCAGCCTCCAGGTACAAGATTGTAACAGGCAGGTCACCTTCCTTCATTTTTTTCAGCCCTTCCTCAAAAGCACCAGGCCAGTCTTTGAAGGGATTGTCAGTGTGGAAATAATAACCCTGGAGCAGAGAGATAATGGACCCGTGATGAATGACAAGTTGCAGAGAATGGCAAGTCTAAAAAATGCAGTGACTCACTGTTTTCCAAATGGGTGTAAACAACCTTTGCTCCCTGGAAATGGCACGAGCTCCCCCCGCGGAATTTCAATGACAGAAAGTGTAAAAAGTCACATCACCGGGCATTTATGTTTCTGCTCTTTATTTTTACTTTAGCTCTGAAATTGTACCTACTGGTACTTACGCTGGGCTCTCCGTCAAAGGGAATGTCGACAGCTCACAGTGCCTGAGTAAGAGCAGAGCTGAACCTCTGAGCCCAGGACACCCAAAGTGGTGGTAGAGAGCACACTAAGCAGCTGAATCCCTGCAGTGCTCAGTTAAAATCCTGAAATCCTCAATTAACCTTCCAGATACACAACAGTGCTGCAAGCACCTGAGTTTATTTAGTATTCCTTTAAGTTTTGCCTTTTTCTCTTGTTACTGCAGTGTAAAGGGTGTGTGGTAAGATCAGCTACATAAGAGAAATCAAATTAAATACGGAGTGGAAGGAATTAAGAATGGAGATGGAATAGCCATAATTTCTGTCCTCAACAGTGTTTGAATGTGCTGGCCCAGGTATTTTTATTTGGTGCTTTTCCTTAAGTGTTTGTCTTCAAAATTGCTCATAAATCCAGCAGTTGCTCTGTGATTCTTTCAGCTGAATTTGGGCTGTGTGCAAGCCTAAACCTATTCTCGCTGTGGCAAAGTCTTCCAAATCTGCCCCACCCACAGGCAATTAGAGAGGATGAGCTCTTTGGGGTACAAGCAGTTTCCATGCCCAAAGAGTTTCCTTGGGCTCCCTGGAAGAGCTGGGGCTCATCTCGAAGCTGCACAGGGGGGATGTACTGAAATAAAAAACCTGGTGTTACCTTCTCGATGGTTGAGATGGTGACTTGCCCTGGTGCTTCCTGGTTCTCTGAAATCCAGTTTCTGCGAGCCATTTCTTCCCATTCTGCTTGCATTTTATCCCAAAACTCTGTGTCAGACTAGAAGAAAAGGAGGAAAAGAGAAAATTAACAACAAAACATTAAAATAATGGTTTTTGTTTTAAAAAACAAATTAATTTCTTTCTACCAGTGGTCTGAGTGTCAATTTTGCTGAGCAGTATTAGTTCTATTAATAATCACATGGACTGAAATACTAGAGCTCCTGTTTGGAATTCCATATAATTAAATCTCATCTCTTATATTGGAATGCATTTTGTCAACAGAACACTCTTTATCTCAGAGGCAGTGTATGTCCTGTTTGAAGCAGGATTTTCAGCAGCTTACATTGCATCTTATTGATGCTAACAGCAAATTGTTACATAAAATTTGAAGGCAATCAATGCTGCAAGTCCCTGGACAAAGGAAAAAAAAAGAAAAAAAAATCAACTAAGTGCATATGCAAAAGAATAACAATAGATAAAACAGTATGAAAGAGAGCAAGCATTGCTTACTTTGGTATATTCAGCATAATTTTCAGCTGTGAGAAAGAGAAATGCCAAAGCTTAGACAGAGGGTGTTTGTGCAAGGGATGTAATACAAATTGGGCTTTTTGACATAGTGGAGAAATCTTAATACTGCATTGTATACTCTGCTGGTGAGAGGAATCTACAAGAGATTATAGAATCATACAGTAAGATTAATATTCAGCTCAAAGATGAGGGGAAAATGCACAAGGGAAGGAGAAATTATGAAAAACAGATGAGATTTAGGACGACGAATGAGATTAGCAACGACCAGAAGGAGGGAACAACTGTGGCTACTAGGAAATGATGCCAAGAAACAGAAATAGAATTATAGAAGGGGAGAAGCCAAATTAAGGTGCTACTTTTTCAACCTCCACACACTAGTCATGGGACTCTGAGAAGGAGATCCATAGCAGAGTATTTGCAGAGCACTACAAGACTTTCCAAAATTCTCCAGTTCCTACAAGGACATGGCCAGTGTTTCAGTGAGCTGACAGCACTGGGGGCACAGTTTCTCAGCTTATTTATATCAAAGACAACAGCACAAATAAATCTATTGAGATTTAGAGAGAACCATTTGAGAGCAAGGTGCTAATCAAAATTAATTGAAGGTTCCATGAACTGGTCCAGATAGTTTTGTGTGAGTCTTTGTTACAAGGCTGACAGCTTTGGTGCAGCTCCACAGCCAGGCATGATCAGAAAAACAGAGCCTAGACTGTGATTGCATGGCTTGCTGCAACCCTGCTTAGGTGCTGGGGAAAAGGAAAGCATACTGTCCTTCATTCTGGAAGAAATTCAGGATTGTCTGAATCATGCAATTTTTGGATCTGTGAAGGTATCTGCTATGTTCCTCTGTGCAAAAGGAAATAAAGTGGGAATCATTCACTCTTGGAGAGGAGATTTCACTGCAGGTAACAGCAGTGAACTGCCCCTGACCACTCTGTTACACCACTTCAGAATTTGCTCTCATTCCAGACTTGAAGAAAATACTTTCATATAAAGAGTTGTGAGATTGTACTGAAGTGTCCGTTTAGGGGTTGAAAAGGCTGGATATTGAATCATATCACTGCCTCTTTAACTCTTGCCATGACCAGAGGCAACTGAATCCCAAAAAAGATCCTGTTCAACAGATGCCTCCATCAACTGCTTCTCATTCAGCACAAATCTGCCCAGCGCTGAAATAAAAATTATGTCATCATGTTTTAACTAGCAGTAATTTTGAGATTCAGCATGAGGTAAAAATGTGGAAATTTCTCTTTCCTTCAGATTAAAATTAATAAAACTACAAAAAACTGATTAGTAATGACCCTATTTAGCCAGATTAATTTATAGAAATAATCATATATATGTATGATATTTATATTAGAATTTTTGCTTGCATTTTTCCCTTATGAATCAATGGTGTGGAAACATCATATTTCTGCAGATAGTAAGCATGTGGATTTAGGTCTTAAATTCAAATTCTGCCGTTTAAAGACATATTTATAATTCTCACAGTTCACTGTGTTTGCAGTAAAAATCCAGTGTATTACTGTGCACTCAAGTAGCCACCCTCAATTTCCACTTACAGAGTCAAAGGAGGGGAGGAAATGCAATGAGGAGGAGACCAGCTTTGCTATAATCCCCCTCAGCTCATCCTGCCCTCCTTGGACACAGGACCCAGAGTGATTTTGCAGTGGTGAGGGAAGGTTTGGGCAGGCTGCAGAGTTCTGAGGATGCTCAGCACGAGGGGATTCTGGCACTGCCACGGCAAAGCTGCCCCGGGCACCTGGACCAGGCTCCGACCCAAGGGGGTACCAGTGTCAACAGCAGAGCAGTTCAGTGTCCTTGAGGAAGAGAACTGTAAATATTACACACATTTAAATATTGGAAATATTGCAGTCTCTGCTGGAGGCCTAAGTCTATTTCAGCTGCCATCAGTAGTGGTTTTTTCATTTATTTCAGTGGCAGGAGGGTTAAATTAATATTGAGCCTGCCTGAAAACCTGGCTTTGGATCAAGGCTCCTAGGTCTAATTTTAGCTCTATTTGCTACACCACCAGTGCCAATTAACCTCATTTCAATGGTTTTGCCACCTTAAGGCTGGTGAAATACTTTGGATAAACCAAGAGTTTTCAGCCCAGTTGAACACATTTAACACATTCTCAGATCATCTGCAGCAGTTTAGAGGAATGACAACCAGGAAAAATGTTCATACCATCTGACTTCTTCCAAGCAGAAAATTCTGCATTTTGTCAAAGAGGCTATTTTTACTCTTAGTATTTAAAAATATGCTGAAGCAGTTAAACAAATGGGAGGCAAAATATTCCCAGGCATTTTATTTCCTATGATCCAAAGAAAGAGGGCAGGGGAAGTACTTATAAATTTACCTATTGTCATAACTTCTAGAATTTTGCCTGTCCTGTATTGCCAAAAATTAATTTGAAACATTCCTCATTGACCAATGCATAAGCAAGGTTCTGTTCTTTGAGTTACTGCATGACCACACTCTTTGATGTGAAAAACACAGTAAATTAAACTAGTGTGCTTAACTAGGTAAGATTTCCTTAGCTGATACCTTCTTGAAACAAAATCTGAACATTTTACTGAAGTTTAGAGATAAAAAATGTTTATCAAGGCAAAGATTCCCACTGTGTTTTGAAAGAGAATCAAATAAAATGCATCTGAATGACTCAAGCTCCTGGTTCCTAATTTAACATATGGTTTGGCCAGTTTTATGCCCATCCAAAGAAATATTTAAATAGTGAGACAGGGATATTGTAAGTACAGAAAGGATCCAACCAGTACTCATGGGAACCACAATGGTGATGGTCCTGGAATACATTTTCCTAGGCTAGAACAAATTAATCCCATCTTTTTCCTCCTATTGTCACATAATTTAGCTGTAATGTGCTCTGATGCTTCAAAGCAGTACATTATACAGCAGATGGTTCATGTGACATTGTGTTGTAAATAAAATGGTGCTGGGAAGGACAGCTCAAAATTTCTTATGCATAAGCTCACAAAACAGTGTGGCATCTGCAGTTTAATCAGAGAAATGTGGAAGAAGAAAATAGCAAAACAGCTTTTTCCCATCTATGAGACTTTTCAGTTGGAAATTTTTGCACCTTCTTGCTTTTATTTTTATTTGTTTTAACTCATCACCAGTAGGATGGTGGTTGATAAAACAATTGTTTTAATGGAATACAAGTACAGGATGGATCTGAATCCCCATCCTGGCATTTTAAAAAAAAATTCAAAAGTACAAATTTTTGGTGAAACAGAGCTAATTATCAGAAGGATTGTGTTAAAACATAGTTCTTATGGCACTTGAAAAATAATGAGACAAAAAAATCATGAGGCAAAGATCAAATCTAATTTCCAAAGTAATAGAAAAGGTAGCAAGGTCTGCAAGCACCCAAACACTGCCAGGGAATCTGGACCCTCTCTAGTAAAAAAGCTATTTTACTCACCTCTTTATTCTTAAAAGATTTCCCAATGGCATAGACATCTTTAAACCTTCTTAAGAAAGAATTACCTCACAAATCTTCATTAATCTCAAAGTTTGACATCTTAAAACCATTCCCAAAGCGCTGAGGTGAATACTGGGTGGAGGATAAAGTTTGGTGTCTTCATTTACTGAATTGTTAATTAATTCATTTTGAACTAGGCCACCAAGAACCTGAGATTTACTTCCTTTTCTTGATCAGTTTTCTGGCTAATCTTTCCACTTGGATCTGTCCCAAAGAAAGAATATTACAGAAACATCCAAAGCCTAAAAGATGAATTTTTGACCTGTATCTATTCTCTGCTTAAGAAAGCACTAATCTTTCTGAGATGGGCTCCAATTTATTTCAATCACTCAAGCTTTCTTACTACCCCATTTTAGCTAGGATGAAAATTCAGCTCTTTTCATATGCAAATGGAATAACTGCACTGTAAGGTATTGAAGAATCCTTTCCTTTACATTTTAACTACCTAGCCCAAGGTTCTATTTTAGGCAGAAAGAATAACTTAAGGCTGCCAGCTACAGTTGGGGAAACATTTAATTTGATTCTTTTTAATAGCCATTTTTGAGAGTATTTTAAAATATTTTAACAACCTGTCTCTGTTGCCTCAGAATGACCTTTTAATCTGTAGGGTTTTAGGTTTTTTTTAACAATATATTCTCCTCCTTACTTTACTCTGCACAGTAATTCAATAATGTCTTGTAATCTGTTGTTGGACTCAACTCATTTTTCTTTCTGCTGAGTGTCTGGAACTCCCCATCACACAAGTTTCTGGCAACTGCAGGAGAACTGGCATCATTTGCTTAACCACCAGCACTGAGATGTTCAAGAGGAGATTCCCTGTGCTGCCTTCCCAGGTCACAGCACAGCACATCCCACCCTGAGGATCAGCAAGTGGGAGCATCTAAAGCATTTCCAGCAGTGGCAATCTGAAAGCAAGTTCCCTCCTTTCCTGCCAGGAGCAAATGTGTGTGACACCAGAAACGTCTCCTGTGCCTCAGCAGCAGTTGTTGATGAAGAATTTCTTTGACCTGGAAATAAAAAATGCCTTCCATGCTTGGTTTATGAAAGAGCTAATTTACTGATTTTGTCCATTTTAGCCTTGTATGCTGAGACCAGATTTTCTTGTGTGTGCAACAAAATCCCAAGGAACCATGGTAGAAACCCTTCATTTTACCACAGCATATCATGAAAAAACCCCTACAAATCAGATTAATTACTTCAACAATAAATTCTCTTTCTAGCTAGAAGCCAGTATCAGACTTAGGCATAGTTCTGTTTCTCATCAGCCACTATTAATCTAGAATTGTTCAGCTGTCAGCATTGGAATTAGAATGGTCTATAGCTTGAGTTAGAAGAATATTAAAATACATGACTAAAATTTAAATCTAAACTGAAACATCCCTAAAGTTTTCTAGATGGTTTGGAGACTAATGAGCCTGCAGTGCTGAAAATGCTAAAAATAACCTGTTTTGAGGAACTAGCTTCACAGCTTCATCCTCTGCACCCTAAGAACTCATTTCAGTGGCTGTTACATAATTTAGCCTGAAATTCTGTCCTTGCTGGAATGGAGCTGTCTTGGCTCTTTGTGGGATTTTGAAGGGTTGCCCATAGAACCCCTGAGAAGATAATGAAGATAATGATGCTCCAGACCAATGCTTATATCCAATTTTTTGTGGAGTTCTGCTAAAAAATCTGTGTTGTACTTTGTGTCTAGACAGGATCAGTTTGGACTAGTGGTATAGGACAACACTCAAGAGATGTTTTAGATGTTGGAAATGCAGAAATCAGTGAAAAAAACCCCAGAAGTGCAATAGGGGAACTATCCAAATTCTTCCGTCTTTTCAAACCAAATAGATTTACCAGGATACAAGAATACTCCTGTGTTAAACATTCTGCCACTGGTTGTAAAAATGTGAAAATGGTGCATGGTTGGTGCTTGTGCACAGCTCTGCTTTACAGCAGGTGATTGTGCTGTTGCTCTCCTTTCACACGAGAGACTTGGTTTGTGTCTGGGTGTAAAGAACTGATGGCACACAATTCCCTCTTTAACTTGTGGTTTGGAAATTGCTACATTTATGGGGCATTTACCCATTTGCTTTAGCAATAAAAATCCAGCTTGAAATCTTGATTCTCTCTAATGTTTTTTTATAGCTAAGCGTTTTGGATTTCATTTTTTTTAAAGAGACAAGCTGCTATTTTAAATTAATAGCTCCATGAATTGCATCTTTTCTCTGTTTTAAATAATCCAATTCCAGCTTGTGCTGCAAGATAAAAAAGAAATCTGTAGAACATCAGCTGAAAATGAAAACTGTAAATGAAATAATACCTCAACAGCTGCCTTTGCTCTTTCAAATTCCTCCTCCAAGGAGTGATTTCTGGAGAGAAGAGGTGTTCCCCAACGCTGCTCCTTACTTGACCGTGCCTAAAAAGTAAAAGAATAAATCAGAAAGGGATGATAGATCCTCTGTCACACTTCTGAGTTATTTCCTTAATTGCCTAGAGCCTCAAATGGCCTTTTTCTTGGGGAAAACTACTTCTTTCCCTGCATGAATTCCTCTGAATTCTCTTACACTGTAGCAGAGACCACTTCTCACGGGAAGCAGAGTAATTTATCTTTTCCAGATTTTTCATTTCACTCAAGATGTGTGAAAGATAAAGAGACATACAAGAAAGGGCAATGCAAGGGTTGGACTACAAAAGGAGAGAGCTGACTATATTGTATAAGACTTTTACCTTCCTTGTTCCTTCTGCATTGTGACTGTGGCAATGCTTTCCACTGGCTATGAGCCAGGAAGAAAACATTTTTTTCCACTGCACATTTTGTGGTTTTCTTTCAGGTTTTCTTTTGGGATCACATTGGAGAGCCAGGTTTTCCCTGGATACCACTGGAAGGGCAAATCCTTTTTACAATCAGCATCTCTCTTCTGTACCATACTATTGGTCAATCCCACTGGAAGCACATAAGAACTTTTTCCGTGTTCTTTTTCTAAAAACAATGTTTTGTTTATTTTTTGCTTTTTTTTTTTTTTTCTTACAAAAAGCACTGTACAAAACCAAACAATATTTAAGGATGGCAGAAAGAGCACAAAGTGGCCTAATCTTGCTAAACAAGGCTCTGACTGCTAATCCCTTCCCTAGTGTTTGTCAAGAGGTTAAACTCATTAGCCAATTGTGTGCCTGTGCTTCCAATTGCATTAATTTCCCTGATTATATTTCTGATGACTGTACTTGTAATATTACATTTCTGTGAACCACACTGCTAAAAGACTAATTTTGATCACATCAGACTCATTGGGCAAATGTTGGATTGGGCACTGCTGGGATGGAACATCTGACACTCTTACACGTCACGTGTGGTGTATGGTCAAACACATTTCTCTGTGGTTGTACACACATGGATCTTTTCCTACAAAGATGACATTTATTTGTAAAATGAGCCCCAGGTTTTCTGTTTTGTCCCTGAGGCTTTGGTCTCTCAGTTTAAGAGTGATGAGTGAAATGCACACGGAGTGGATGAAACACATGAGGTAAGGAAACAAGGACACAGCACAGTTTCTGTGAGAAGCTCGTGGTGGTGGTGGGCACTGTGAGTGCTCTCCTGTGCTGGCCTCTGCACTCTGCTCTGGCTCAGAGTGTGAGGGAATGTCCACACTGAGGATCTATTGTTTCTGCCTTCACATCTTCTACCTCCAGTCCACGTTGGGAAAATGCTAATTTTCCTTTGGTGAGGCCAGGAAGAGATTTCAGGTTGTTATTGAAAACAAACCAAAAGCCAGTCCTGTACATAAACCAGTTCTTTTACTGATTAATAGAATTTGGGGCAGAAGAGATAACTGGTTCAGATCATTCATTTGTCTGTGTATCACATGATGGCATTTGTCTCTCAATACCCATAGAACCAAAATTATGTTCTTCAGAGAACAAACTGAGGTTGTCTGGAATAAATTTCTTTGAGGAAGCTGCTTGGGTTTAATTTAAAGTTATCAAGAGACTTTAGTGTCATTACTTTGTTTGCAATTTGTTTAACTACCCTCCTTGTTTCTCTTATTAATTTCAATTTCAGTTTCCCTATATTCTTTTTTTTCATACTTTTTAATACACCTTATTTTCTCTGTAGAAAGATATTGACGATTCTAATCAGTTTTTAGTGATATAAAGACAATTATGTAAAAACATCAAAATATTAAGTATTCTCAATATGAAACATTCAGATTTTAACCTTTTTGTATCACTTTTACTCTCCCTGTTAATTTTCTATAGCCATACAGACAACCAAGTGAACCCTTTATTCCAGCACCTGTCTTGCTACTTCTCTATGCAGAAATCAGGTCTCCCACTAATGATGTTTGCTTCTACACACTCCTCTTCCCCCAGTACTGCACAGGGAACACTCCTGTTGTTTCAAACTGCCTTCCAGCACAGTGTTGTAAGCAGAGCCTGTGTTCTTGCTCTGAAATGTGTGATTTTCCAAGGGACTGCATTGCAATATGTATTTATACAGTTGCCTGGATCACCAGCTCCTTTTTACATATCCCTTATTTTATTTTCTTTTTTTTTTTTTTTTTTTTTATTCCACTGTTGCATCATATGGAAATTCTCTGAGGAATTTGCTTGCATGCTTATTTTCAGATCAATAAAACTGAAGAACATTGTTTGTCTTTGGAATCCCAGAACAATCCCTATGTGATTACAATCCCTAGTAAATAACTACTGCTCCTGAGACCTCAGGTTGGCCAGTTTTAATCTCTTTAACAACTGCTTCATTCACATTGTGTTGTGCCAATTTTACAATCAGAATATGACATATTAATTCAAAACTCTTGTAGAATATCACACATCAACATTTATCAACTCGACCTGTAATCCGATCAAAGAATTAAATTTGTTTTTCTTGACACAGGACTCTATTGATAGGCTCTAATTATGTTCCTGGCCTTTTCATTATTTATGACTTGGCTCCTGCAAACAGTTTGATTACTTCTGCTTTTTACCCATTTGTTTCCAGTGACTGCCATTCTCTGGGTCAAGGACAATGCTGTGAATGAGGGTGTTCAGACTGAGCTGTACTGCAGAAGGGCAGAGCGAGCTCCTAGGGGCAGAGGACCAGGAGCACAGAGGTCCCCTCCCCTCTGCCACATGATGTGGGGACACTCTGCCCCCACATCATCCCCACAGAAACGGGCTTTCCCCTCCATTAAATGAACATTAACAAAGCCACAGAGGCTGCGTTTGCACACAGACAATGCAGAGCTGCACTGTGGGTTGTGACACCCAGAAACGCAGAGCCCCTTGAACAGCCCAAACTCGCTGCTTTTGCTGGTCCAGGGAGAGGGGGTGGGAGTGAAGGGGCATCCCTGGAGAGCTCCACAGCTCCAGCAGGGATGGGGTGGGGCTCTGCAGCTGCCCAAGGGAGCCCCCCAGGTGGGCCAGGCTGTGTCCAGGGCTGGATGCTGCACGCTGAGGTTTGACAATCTCACCTCCCTACAATGCAGCTGATCATGGCTTCTGTGCCAAGGGACAAACCCTCCCATTCCAACTTGTATTCCCCTTAGGTGCTGTTGGACTTTAACTGCTGGTGAGGGGCTTAAATTACAGTCCTAACTTTAGATCAAGTCTTCAAATAATGAGCTAAATCTGTAACTCTTCATTGCCTTAAAGTGGCACATCCAAGGGAAGGGCCTTAGTCTTTCTGTAGCTATATGGGGGAAGTGGGGAATTAATTTAATGTTCTAAATACTCTTGCCTCAAACTGAAGATTTTTAAGTTGTACAAGATTTGCACTACACCTTTGTCTAAGAGCACTAACATATTAGGTACAGATTTTTAGCATGTCAGGGCTTTTGTATACTCTGCGAGCAATGAAATATTTAGAATGCCCAGGAAAATATTTAAAAAGTTAAAACATGAGCAGACTTTATGCATAGAAAATGGAACATATTCTCTTTCTCTGCAGTTTATAATTTTAAGACTAAAAATAACCCTTCAACCCCCTCCCCCCCCAAACACTGTAGGATATCTCAGTACCAATAAAAACATAACAAGGGGCTTTTCAGAATGGCAGATAAAAGAAACAACAAGGATTCTTTGGGCCCATGCAGTTTAAAAGTTAATAATATATAAAATATGATGTGAGTAAATGCTGAGAAGCCACATCCAGTGACAGCCACCAGTGACCACTGCCCATTACAGCCTTCAAACACATTTCTGGCTTGTAGTTCAAAGCTTGTCTTTTGGATTTTGTATTGGCACAAGTGAATAAATAAAGGATAAATAAAGGATTTTGTTAAGACTATTGCATAATTTTAATGAAAATATGACCTAGCTCCTTATCATTTCACTTTGAGGAGCTAAATCTAACATGTCAAAGATGAGTGATGAGGTGATTGGGAAACTGCTTATGGAAAACTGCAGCAAGTTTGACAAGATGAAATCTTTAGGGTATGGCAGAATGTGTTGCAATTGCAAAGGTTACCCTTAAATGAGATAGACAAGACCTACAGAGGACAAAGTATGGAAAACATATGCTTTGATCAAAGCCCTAACGTGATTTCTTCTGCAAGCAGATTAAGAACTCGGTCAAGACAGATGAGCCTGAGTGCGGGGAGCTGACAACTCTGACAGTCCAAGTACGAGCAGGATGAAGCAGGCAGTGAACAAAACCACATTTCCCAGTAACCTACCTAGAATAAGAACACATTCTCACTTCAGGTCATTTCTCTGCATTATTATTTTAACATTTTGTTGCTCAAATGGACGACAGGTTTGAAACGAGCAGGTTATGACAAACCAAAACAAAACATGAAATGTACCAAGACAACAGATAAGAAATTTAGTCTCTGCTTTTTTTTTTTTCAAGTTGGCTTATTCAACTACATGTTTTTTTATTTTGAAGTAACAGTCATTTTACAAAATGTTATGTAGCCTCAACTGACTGAACCTAAACTGAGTGACAAATGTGGATTTTTGCTTCTGCAGTTATTCCAGTGGAAGATAAAAAGGAAATAGACCATATAGACCAAGTAGAGATACACTGCATTTGTAATTGCTTTTACAAAAAGCCACAGCATTTAAATCCTGGGACTGTCTACCTGACTTACACAGGTCCTGGTTCAGCACAAATGTCCTGGAATTTAGATCTGCTGGGCTGAGGAGCAGCTTCCTAAAAGAGGGTCAGAGGTGCTTCAATATGAGCTCAAAGCACCTGAGAACACACCAGCCATTTCAAGTGGATGGCACTGTGTAATTGGTATTTTCCATTACTAAGATGTACAAATCTAATGTAGAGAAAGAAAAGATATCATGCATTACAACCAGTGTGAGGCTTTCCAGAGGGAAAAACACCCCAATTTGTAAGGTAGAGATGGCAGGGAAGTAAAGAACTTGTTTTTGCCTAAGAAAAACACAAAAATGGATCTGATAACTCGGTTCTGTTTCTACTTTCTGGGAAATAAAAAAAAAAAAAAAGAAAAAAGGTGTATAATCTCAGGATACACATTTGGCAAGTAGAGTCTAATTTTTTCATTTTTCCGTTTTCAAAGGAGGCAATTATTTTTCATTAATTTCCAGATTTTCTATCTGACAGAAGGTTTTTGAAGTCCAGGCCTAAAAATAGCTGTGATGGGTGAGAAAATGATTTTCTACTAAAAGCTAATCCACCAGAAAACTCTCTCTTCCCCCTTCCAATGGCTGAAGTCTTTCAGTTCAAAAGTAAGAAACAGCAAAGAAGGCGTGTGCACAACCTGATCTATCAGAATGTGTTATAAATGTGTTTGTATATATTTGTACTGTGTGTGCATACAGACATGCAACCCTCAGTAATCATTTCCAACAAGACCTGTCCAAGACACAATACAACAGTGGAATTGGGCAAATCTACAAACCTTTAGCCCAGTGCCCTCCGTATTAGAGTTCCTTTTCCAGCAGGAAAAAGTCCTGTGACCACACTGCTCCCCCACCTGTGGAGATAAACTGCTAATGAGCATTGCTGTAATGATGGCTTCCTGTTTTCCTCAGCAATTTCCCACTTTTGGGGGTTCCTGCCTGACCAAGAGACCTGAAGGATGGAATTGAACACGGGGAGGGAACCGCCACAAGTCTGAATTTCAGAGCTGGAGGGAGGGGAGAAAAGATGGTGCTGTAAATTCTAGTTTGAAGTTTTTCCCTCTGTACAGGAAGGCCACAATTCACTGCAGCATCAAACTCTGAATGTTTCAGGTGCTGACATATTCAATTTCATAACCTATTCATTTCAGAGTTGTGTGAAGATATTTTCCCTGATGATCCTGGAAATATCCCTTGAACAGTTCTCCCAGGATGTCAGTGGTTAGCCAGTGGGAAGTTCCTCCTTGCCTTTTTATGGTTAATAAATCTGCCAAACCCTCTTACCTGTATTGCAGGTGCAAGCTCTAATTCTGATGCTGAATCAGAGTCCAAGGCACTCTTGACATTAGTCAGCTCAGACTGTGATCTGTTTTCTGTGGACCTGGAAATAATGCATTTACACACTCAGCACAGGACATGCTGCCCTGTGTCTTTCAGTTCACAAGCACACAATGATTAATCAGGTTATTTCCTTCAACTGAACCGTTTAACTTGCACTAACACTTGATCAAAATTGCCTGGACCTTTCTTTGTGTTCTCACTCTTCTATTTCATAGGGAAACTGAGGCTAGACAAAGACACAAGTCTGTGCCTCAGTCAGTGTCTAAAAATCAACCACCACAATAAAGGATTTCCCTGCATGTCTCTGTAGAATTCTCACCACCATTTATTAAGTAATTTCACCTGCTACTTTCCACAACATTAAAAATTGCTGCCAAAATGGCATTTTACAGGTGCACTTGCTTATGATACATCGTCCAAAATATGTGCTTGAACACATTTAATGTCACCATAACAGGTTTAAAATTATGATTCGTTATCAAGCAAGCATCTCTGTGAATTAAGAAGGCAGGGCTGGAAATATTGTTTTAAGGAAAGCAAAAAGTTGTACCATAAAATCTCTTTTGATGGAGCTCTGGATGATGATGATGTTCTCTCTGCAGAAGGGTGGACCTTGCTACTCCTGTCTCCATGAAAACTGACATCATCCCATTTCTCTATCTGTGTTTGAATATCAACTGAAAAATAAAGAACAGAAAATAGGAATCTTTTAAAGAAACTACTGCTGACAATTTTATCTCCTCTGTAAAATGTGTGTTATAGAGAAAATAATGCCACCAAAGCCTATATTTTTATAAAGATCCAACATAAAGAAATATTGTGCACCTTTCTAGTTGATGTGGTGTGAAAATTGGAAATCCACAACATTTTTCTATGTCTGTTAGCATTCATGGTCAGAATGTCAGTGTAATTCTTGACTTCAAATCAGTAATTTGTATGTAATTTAGACAAATTGTAAAAATGAAGCTTCTTTTAGAGACTAACATGTGAAAATGACTATGTAGGCAACTGATATTATTCAGTCATGTCAGATTCACTTTGCAAAGATCAGATGTTCAGCTTCTGTTTGAAGATAAAGGTCTCTAAAAGAATTTCTGTGATGATGAATGGAAAATTTGCTGCCTTGGTATAAATTACATTTACCTTGCAAATTTCTCAGTTGCACTGCAAGTAATTTAGTTTGGATGGAACTAAATCAAATTCACCTTTTCCAAAGCTTGTCAATAGATCAGGCTTGGCAGGAAATTGAGTTGTTTTGGGGATATTTTTTTTCAGTCTGTATAAATATATCTCTCTTGTCAAGAATGGATGTTTTTTTTCCCTCCTATGCATAGATAAAGCAGTATTGACAAATATAAACGTGCATTTCTGACACCTGCAGTTCTGGAAAGGACATCAGTATGGGCTGCCTGTCATTTGTGTCCTTTTCTCATCACACCCCTACAGATTTTTCTACCATTTTACACACCCTGACAAAATTCCTTTTTCCAAAGAAATTTAGAAACTTTATTAGCACACTTAGGGTCAACTTAATAGTCATAATGGCAGAGGCAAAATGTAAAACATGTTCACAGTGTTTAAGGTTTGAAGTGCTTCAGGTGGTTTATAATGGGGAGCAAAGGCTACCCTGCTGAAATGGGGTGCAGCAAAAATTCTGGTGCTGCTCATTATTTTGTGATGGTAGCCAGGAGAAACTTGTGCTAAGCAGGGCAAGGGAGCACTGATAAAACAGCTGCACTCTTACCTAAATCTAGAGAAGACTTGTCTGCAACTCTGGCAGCCTGGACTTTCTGCTCAGAATCCACACTGATCAGGTCAGGATTCTCTGTCTTCTTTCTGTGGGTTGAAGCTTTTATGCCTTCAGTTCTTGAAGGATTCTCTGATTTCTTTGCTTTGTTTTGGGTTTGTAAGACAGGTTCACTAAGATCCAAGAGATCCAGACCTGTTGATAATACTTGGAGACAAAATGTTAAAATTCAGTGTTGTTTTAATTCAAATAGCTCACTTTTTAAGATTTGTTTTAATTGGGGAAAAATATTACTGATGTGTTGGCATTTGGCTAGAGTAAGTGTGTATTTCCTGGCTAAAGATGATGACCAGTGTATTAAAGTCTGCCTGGGGATTTCAAGTGCTTAACTGAATGCAGTTTAGTGGATTTGCAAAAAAGGCTTTTCCTCTGAAAATCTTAAAAGACATCTGAGGCTTTATGGCTGGAGCCTTCACAGGTTTTCCTCCTTTGTGAGGGTTCCCTGTTCAATTGAGCTTTTAGATAAGATTTGCTTTAATCTTAGATTTTTTAAGTCCTGGAAACAGCTGCTTAGGGCAGTGCTGTTGTGCCACAATCCATTTGGGAATAACTCCCAGGGTGGACCTGGGTCAAAAAGGAGTGAAGATATTTATTAATGTTTTCTACTACTGTTGGTGTTTGTCCTTTGGGCCATAAATACTGGATATAAAGTCTAATGCCATTTCTATTAAGGACTGTCTCAGTATGAAAGAAATGTTCAATTTCAGCTCCTCTTTTAAAATTTGACTAAAGAGCAACATTCACAATTCTTTAGCATGTAAAAGGTAGAAAAACTCCTTTTTTATCATCGTGTTACAGGGCAGGTGTTTTTGACAGATCAATTTGCATTACCTCTTGCAGTGCTTTATCTGTGTTCTTGGAAATCACTGAATTTCATCAGTCTTCATAGAATTTTTTTTTAAATTTTATCATTAAATAAATCTAATTGACACCTCCACCCCAATCTGATAGATAGTCAAGGCAGGTGTAAAATTTACAGGTAAATTAAAAAAAAAAACAAAAAAAACCACCATTCTTAAACAATTTGAAATAGCTCTATTCATCCCTGTAATATCTTCAGCTATTCTTTTAAAGGGAAAAAAATATTACTTACAATTGTTATCTAATTCAGTACTTCAGCTTTTGTACTAGAACTTGCATGCTGCTTTAGACACAATAATTAGATGTGCAGATAATCACTCAGCTGTCAATTATTCATTTAATAATTTGCATGGATATAAATTTTAATTAAATGGTTTCTAACAAGCCAAGTCCTTTCATGAGACAGCAAGAGAGCCCAGCAGAGCAGTGCTGATGTTGTCTCAGCTGATCTGCTCAACAGCATCGATTCCCTCTGCACAGATACCGAGTAGGAGTGGGCTGATTTCTAAAAATACTTCCAAAGGACAATATACTTCAAATAGAATTCAGTATATTCAAAAGGTTTTCAGGATTCGCTCTTAGATGTTATTACTGTCTCTACTGCCTCGTTACAACACAAAGGAGGTAAGAAATGTATGAGATCCTTTCACTAACAAAGTGTCTGAACTCAGCCTGGGTAAAGTGTTCTGATACCTCCCCCCTTTTTCTCTCTGACAGCTCATCCAAGATTTCATTTAAAAAAAATTATCTTTCTAGAGTAAGGAAAGTGTTTCATTAAAACCAGACTAAATGTGGGTTTTCCCATAGGTTAAAATTTTGCAAAAGCAAATACAGAGAATTGATTCAGTCTGATGTGTACATCCTGTGAGTCTTAAACAAATTGCATTAATTTCAGCCCCAAAGATCTGCTGGAATTGATGTGATTTGAATCACATCAGATTTCCCCTAAAATGTAGTGAACTAAGTTTTTCTTCTAACAGGTCAGGCAATTACAATTTTACAATTTTAATTTGCCAGCTTGTGATTTTGTGCACACATTAACAAACCAAGAAATCACTTGACAAAAATGTTCCATAGTGAAGCTAAAACTAAAGCTATTTTTCTCTAGTGAGGGATAGTAAAGAATGTTGTTTACCTGCTGTATTCGATGTTACAGGCCTTGCAACAGCTTCTGGCTTAGTTTCACAGAGAAAGTCATCAATGGAGGGGCTCAGGAGGGGTCTGCTCTCCTGCTGCTCATTCACCAGCTAGCAACAAAGAACCCCAGGTCACAGAGTGTTCTTGGGATGCAGAATTTACAGAAATAAAACATATTCTCACAATATCATGTGCTTTATTTTTAATTGTGAGAGTAAGATATTGCAATTAGATGATGCACAAATAGCACTGGGATTAAAATAAAACAAAATAAGGTTTAGTTACTGTTTTGGGGCAAAATTATATTGCAGTTTAAAAAATCACACAAAAAAATAAAGCAGCAAGATGATTTTTCCTTAGCAGTTATTGCATACTATTGCTTATAGGGCTAAAGTTACAGGGCCTGATGCAGCTCCCTTCAAATCCATGGTGAAGTTGCCCTTCTCTATCACCAGGAGGCTAAGTAGGGCTTTTTTCATTATTTTTAAAAATTTTTTTAGAAGAGCCCTTTTTTTTCCCTTTCCAGAAGTATCATGCTTCCCCACAGAACAACAATTTCGTCTTGCATTATAAGCATAAATAAGCATTAGCCCACTAAACAATAACCTGCTGAGACAGGAAACACTTCTGTGCCATAAAATGATGTGTGAATGACAGTGGATGGAGCCTGGTGAGTGTATGAACTTCCTGCATGAGTTCTAACTGTGGGAAGACCCATAAAATGCTTTTTATTTATGAGCAGTTTTCCATTTAAAATTGGATGAATGCACTGGTGTTCTGCTACCTGACAGAAATCTCTGTATTACAGTCTATTTAATGCATCAGAATTAAAAAGATAAAACCATACAAATCTCAGAAATAAAAGTCTCCTCTTTGCCATCTTTCTCTGATTAGAGGATTAAGCTGAGCTGGGGGGATGTCTGATGGTGTGCCCTGCACTTACTTTATCTTAGTACCTTGATTTCTTTATCTGAAAAATATGTTTTCCCACTGTTGCTTTTGTCTGGAGGTCTTTCAGCTTTATTTTATCCTCTCCACCTTCTTCTCAACCTTCTGTTCTAACTCTTTTTCCATGGTTGAATTTTCAAAATTTTCTCTCAGATATGTTAAAATTTTTAAATTTAGGAAGATAACATGGACTAAAACTGGCCAAAAAGGATATTTACTCACCCTCATGTTTGTTAAATACTGGCTCTGAGCTACTCCAGCAGCAGGATTATCTCTAAAGTTATTACAGCAAACCAGATTAGATTCACTGCTGTTCAGTACTTGATTTCTGTATTGCAAAGCTGCAGCAAAGTACTGGAGCTGTTGAAAAAACAAGCCCACTATTTTGATGGATCAAGCATTTAATCTGATACCCAACACTGACTTGCTGTGCTGCAAGTCTTGCACACCTGCATGTGCCCAGGGCTCAGAGCTCTGCACTGACACACCATTTCCATGGGAGGCAGGTGGGTGAGTGCCTGCCCAGCTGCGTGCAGCACAACCTGCAAATGTGGCATCTGAATTCAGAAATGTGGCAGTGATGCTGGCCCAGACTCCAAGGGTGCTAAACCCAGACTGCAGATGCAGCTCACCAGGGAATTCATCATGGGGGGCTTAGCTCTGGGTGGCCTGTCCAGGCTGCTGTCTCATTCAAAGCACAGAAGGCACCTGCTTAATTTGGCAAATCTCAACACTTAACTGGAAATTGCATTTATATCAACTGCACACCTCTGATTTCCATTATCCCCAGGTCTACAAATTTACCTAATGATTATATTTAGGACTTAAACAGACCTAATTTTTCCTTCTATGATTTGGTGACAATACTTACTCATGACTATTTTGAAAAACATGTGGATGCCTTAAATTAAGAGTTGAGTCTTTTTCCAAACTAATTTTAGTATTTTAAAATTTTATCCCGATGTCAGCAAAAGCTGCTTGTATATATTTTTCTTTCTGAATTTACACGGCATAAAGAAAAGTCCTAGACCATTTGGAGAGGGGCAGGAGGGAAAAAAGAAGAGGTTCTGTAAGAATCATTGAAAATGTAAAAACTTCATAGGAAATATTCTGTTTCTGTGTCTGTAAGACTATCAATAGGGTACATTATCACATAAGAGTCAGATGCTTATCAAGTTTCCCATTATATTCCATGGAAATTTTCTTCAATTGGAAAGAATGGGGGAAGGATGAAATGAAGAAAGGTTATGAGAACCAAGGTACCCAAGCTCACTCATTGCAGACAGTGAAGAATAGAAAATCTGAAGACAGCTGGAAAGGCAGTTTATTGCCCAAACCTGCTGCAGAGGTCAGAGGATAAACTCTGGGAAGACCAGAAATAATGTTAAGAATCAGAGTGATGGAGAGGAAGGAGACAAGACTTAATAAAGAGCTGAATTTTACCAAGGTCTAACTGAAGTATGAGGTCTGAGAATTTTTTTTTTTCCTTTTCAAAGATGGTTATTATGTCTTTAGAATTTTCTTTCTTGTGTTCATTAGATTTATTACATGCTAAAAGAAGACTATAAGAGTTTGGCTTTCTTAGGTTAACAAAATGAAGGTTGAGTAGGACTGCAGTTATTCTTCATGTACACATAAAGGGGGATTGGTCAGATGACACTGGAGGAGCAAAGTTATTTCAGCTATAGGGAAATGCTGGCCCAATAACAGAGTTCTAAACTGGGCATGAGAACATCTGGTCTGGGAATTAAAGGAACTGAACTATCCCAGCACTGAACTCTATGAACACTATTTTTTTCTTACTGCAGGGGGGCAAAATGCCCAACCATTTAAAATGGCTTTTTCCAAGCCTTCTACATCACTGTTTATGATGTGACTGTGACCCAGTGGATCCCTCCTGGTCCTGGGTCCTATCCTCCCATGGCTAAGGACTAGAAGCTGTAGGAATATCTTATTTAAAGTTTTCTTCCTGTGAAAAATAATCTGCTTTCAACTCAAATATTTTTGTTAAAACAGATTGCAAAACATGACCACATCTACTAATTCTCAATAACACAAACTACCTATGTGTAGCAATAGAAAATATCAGAAAAATTCTATTTTGATGTGAAGCAGACATTTAATGATGAATTAAGACTTAACAAGTCAGAGTGCCATGAGATGATATTTTTCCATAGAGAAGTGGGCAGTGGGGTAGGTTTCTGACATTACTCTGTAAGAAATGCCACTTGTTAAGTCCTTGGTCTCACACTTGGAATTTCATTTTACTGCCTCATATACTGTACCAAATTTATCCCTTGCTTAATACTGCACAAGTTATTAGAGTTATATCAGGCATGAATTTGGAGTAGTACATAAAAGATTTATGAGATGAAAACTATGATCTATATTAAACCAATAATTTATGGTTCTCAAGCACCTTTCAGGCTAAAAATCACAGAATGCCTTAAAACATTCATGAATCAAGCCTGGCACCACCACAGAGCTGAGGAGTATTATCTCTGTGTTGCAGATGAGGGGAGCAAAGTGAAATTAGGGAAGTGACCCAGCATTCCTGGGTGTTGGAGAAGCAGCACTGGGGGCAGGAGCTGATCCCACACTGGATTTATGTGCCCAATATCTGTACACATGCCAAGAGGTGCAGACTCAGCCTGGGAAAATGGGGATATCTCAGTACTAATTTAGCCAGTGGGCGCCATAAATTCTCATAATGTCTCTAGGAACTTAAATTCTCTCTATAAGATTCACTTTAATTAAAGAAGAAGCCCACACACTCCTTTAATTGAGGGATATGTGAAATCTGTGGAGGCTGATATTTCCTACTACCAACACATCTGAAGACACATCCATAGTGTAAGATACTCCTAAATTCAAACGAGTCTTCTGGGAGCAGCACAGCAGAAAAAGGTGGTTTTCTTACCCCAATACTGCTACTGTAATTTTTCATTCCAAAAAGCATGTAAGTGGAGCTTTTGGGTGCTTTGGGAGAGATACTAGGAGAGTCACAAGTGTCTGATATCAGCCCCACTGCTTCAAAATATGCAAAGCAAGGATCATTTAGCAGTAACTAAGGTATGGTCCCTCCATCCCCTTTCATATTCCCTCCTACTTCATTCCTGATCTTGATCTGTTTGCAGTGCACAAAGCCTGCTGGTTTGTTTTTTTTTTTTTAATTTTACTAGGGCATAACATAATGCTAGTCTTTAGGATAAATTATTTAGACACTAAATTGGGAGGGTTTCCAGTCAGGCATGGGCAGCTAATTAGCACCTATGTTTTGAGCACAGAGTGAACTAGTTCTCTTAAATTAAGTGCCTAAATTCCCTCCATGTTCAATAGGGAGAGATAAATGCCTAGAAAAGCTACTCCGGAGGGAGATTGTGTCTGCCCAATTTAGGCTGTCCCTCAGGAGGCTCTCAAAGGCACCTAGCTTTCCCCCTGCTATATATGGGATTTATTTTAGAAGGACTGCCTCAAAAAGCATCTAAAATTTAGATGTAATTTGCTACTGAAGTGAGTTGGATTGAATTTTGGATTGGATCCATTTTGTTGCCTGAGCCTGATTGAATTACTCACGGCACTAATTTAGGAAATCCCAAACTACTGCTGGGTAATCCCCAGTGCAGTTCAGCACCAAGGCTGCTCCTGGGCACTGGGACTTTTTCCTGTTGTGCCCCTCGGTGTGGTGAGAGGGAGGCAGGGCTGCCTCGGTGCCAGGAGCTGCTCCAGAGGGCTCAGAGTGAAAATGAACACGTGGCCACAGGCGTGGGAGAAGGCAGGAAACATTGAACTCAGGTTTTCTACTGGAAAAATGCTATATTTGAACTTGTCTGCTCTTTGGGTGACGCTTGAAAAACAGGTACAAGAGTCAGATTGACTCCAGCAGCTTTTAAGTGCTGTGCTTAGGCAGAGACACCAGCTAATTTCAATCACTAATTGTTTTTATGATGCACAGCAATGGTTTCCTGACAGACACCTGGCACTTTGGTGGCACTCACACAGGAGGAGGAAATCAAATCAATTGGAGGAAACAAATCAGCTGATTTCTACTACCTGACTCTTTCTAAAAACTGATAAATGGGAACCCCAACTAAGAATGTAGGTTATTGTTTTCTAGAGCATAACTGGAAGTATTGGCCTGACAGTCATGTCTGTGGATCAT